TCTGTCAGGTCCTCAGCAGACCAGGTCTACTCTGGTTCCATACCCACAGAATCAGCCAGCCACTGATTGGAAATATTTGGGCAAAAAATTTACATCTGTGCTAAACATGTACTGACTTTCTCCCTTGTCCTTATTTACTAAGCAATATCGTATAACAACTGTTTGCATAATATTTACATTGTATCATGTATTATAAATAATCTAGTGGTGATTTAAAGTCTATAGGAAGATGTGCATTTTATGTAGGGCCCTTGATCATTGTGGATTTTTTTTCCCCATTAAGTTTATTGGTACATTTTCGGTATACAATACAATTAGATTCATCATTGGGATCTTATACCTTTACATGCTGTATCTTGGTTCTTAATTTTTCCCCATTCCCCTGCCCTCCCTTCCCTATTTACAAAGACTTTGTTTCCATGTTTTTGCTTTCCTCATATTTTTCCTTTCCCTTCTTTCCTTTCCCTTCTTTCCTTTCCCCTACCCCTTCCACCTCCCCTACTCCTTTAGACCTTTTCTCCCTATTTCACAATATCAATTGAGCATTGTGGATTTTGAGGGGTCCTGGAACCAGTCATATTAGGCCTCATACCTTTAATTTCACTCGAGGTATAGCTCTGTCCCATCTCTGGGGATCCTTGAGGTCACTCTGTGTAACAGTCCAGGAGTGTAGCGTTTCCTTGTGGAATGTTCCTTGTGTGAGGTCCCTTCAGAATTTATGATTTGACTCCAGCTGTGCATCTTTGGCAAGTCATCGCAGAAGCAAACCTGGGCTCTTCTCAGTGCCTCTGCTCAGGCAGACCTGGGCCTGAGCATGCTGTGGCTGGTTAACTTGGATGACAGGATGAGGTTTCTCTACTGCCGTCACCCTTCTCCCTTTGTAAATAGTGTTCATTGGGCCCAGGAATGGTCATAAATGTCTGGCCTTACGGGCCCCTGTCCATGCTGTTGTTCGTTGGTTTCTAGCCCCCTAGTGGCATTTTTGTTTTCTCAAGGGAAACTTATTTTGAGGCCTTCTTATTCTAGGCTGGGAAACTAGAAATTTCAGGATCTTACATCATAATTTTGAGCCATGGGTCCTTCACATGGCTCTCTTCCGAGAGCCTGGTTTCAGTTTACCTTTAGGAACATAAGCAGCTAGACTAGATCCAAACAAAGCAGGGAGGTGCTTGGTCATTTTCGGTCATTTTCAGCCTTGCCATTTATCCCCACAGGACTTTTGTACGTGGTGTCTTTCCTCATTCCTTCCTTCCAGTGCTGGTGGGTACAGAGATGAGAGCAGGTACCTGGAGTGGACAAGCCTGGTATAGTGCGGTCTGGGGCTGGGCTGTTTGTACACTAGGGTGGCTCTTTGCTGGCAGGGTTCAGTGACTTTTTAATCACTAGTCAATGGTCTCTTGGTGGCCTTCCCTTCTGTGATCATAGTCTGGATTTGGTTTTCTTTTGATCTTCTTGCCCTCTGTCTGTTGTCTCCCCCCAAAGAAAAGGCCCTGGATTGCCTGGGATTCTGCCCCCAGCCCTGCTCCTCAGCTCTGATGTTCATCCTAAACTTCACACAGTCATAGCTCAGCATCTCCTTGTGCTCCCGAGCCAGCTTCGCTGTGGTCTTCATCTCAGGGGCATGTGTCATTGGCTCAGGTGGCCAAGAGGCTTGGTGTGACCTTGACCCCTTCCTCGCAGTAGCCCTCCCATGGCTGGTCATCGGCAGTCCATCGAGTCTGCTTTCCTATCTCTGTAACCTGCTCCAGGACAACGTCTGTCCCTGGTTTATTAAATGCATGAGCCTTCCAGTTGATCCTCCTTCTGCCCCTGCCTCTTCTGCACAGAACCCAGAGTGAGCCCTGCCCCCTTCCTGCTCAGAATCAGCTCGTGCTTCTCCTCCTCTTTGAAAATGAAGTCCTCTGTGACTTGCAAGGCCCTCCCTGGTCCGGCTCCCTGTTACTTATCATCTCTGCCTTCCCTTTGTTCACACTGCTCCAACCACACTGGCTCCTTTGCTTTTTCTCGCACACTCCAGGCGTGCTCCGTGTCAGAGGGCTTTTGCATTTCTCCCATTGCCTGGAATGTTCTTTCCCCAGTGAACATGGCCAGCTTCCTACTTCCTTCAGGTTTTTATTCAAAAGTTCCCTTCTTAGAGGCTTCTGTGGCACTCCAACTACACACTCAACCATCTCCGCTTTACCTTTTCTCCTTTCCAAACGTCATGTTCATCACTCACTGAATGCTGAATGTTTTAGCTTGTTTCTGTCTTGCTGCACTGAATGGTAAGCTCCATGAGGTCAGAGGTTGCTCAGCAGTCTCATCCTGTGGCTGTCTGAGCTTGCACAGTCCACTGCAGTGTGTGGAGATGTCTGTGTTCCAGTTTAGGAGTTGTTCTGCTCATACCTAGTATCTGCCTGAGCTCCTCACCCACTCAGTCTTTCAGCCCCTCCAGGCAGGCAGCTCTCCGCCTCCCTCTGGGCCTCCTGCTGATCCTATGTTCTCTGCTCAGGGTGCTGTGCTCCTCCTCCCCCAGTCCTGTGCTTGAGGCTCTGCCCAGCTCAGCAGTGCTGCCTCATCGGCAGAAGCCACCTCTCCACTGAAGAGGGGACCCTCAGTCTCAGTTCAGCTTGCCTGACAATATGCTCTTGCCTCTCCTTGTATAGTACTTTCCTGTGTTTTGTGTAGGTGTTGTGTTTGTGCTCGGACTCCTTCGCTGCCACACATGTGTAGGGCTGTGTCCCTGACTTAGGTCTTTGCCCTGCTGCAGTGTCTTAATTCGGTAAGCCCTCTATGAAATTGCATGATTATTTAATGACTAAGGCAGACTGCCCTGTGATGTGACCTTCTTGGTGATCTGTTTTCCAAAAACCTGGAGTTTATATTTTTATGTGGGAAGAACTGAATACCTTATGGACTTTTTTCATTTGAAAACCTCCAGATCACTTATTTCCAGTCAAACCTCCACCTACTGTGTGAGAGAATATTAAATATTAGTCCTCTTTTACAAGAAGACCACAGTACAGTAGAAGTTCAGTGTCGCTACATGTGAATGAATTATTGAAACAGGCTCAGTTAGAGTTGATTGAACTCAGTTAAGTCTTAGATCTTCTCACTAGTATTGCTCACTAATATTTGTATTATATGTAACCCCAGAAGGTCATAGTCTTTAGCTTGAGGCAAAAGAGTTTTAGGAGATCTTTTCGGTCATTTTTCAAAAAATTGAGTGAGAGGCTCATTTAAATCTTTTAAATATGTATTAATTTACTATAACATGAGAACCACTATTATCAGTGGCTAGTTTTATCTTCTTTGGCCAGCAGTCTTTAATTACGCTGTGTATGTGCTTCATGAAATTATATTCTTGGATACTCCATTGTGGGAAGCATCAACCAAAAGTCTGGGTGGCGGCTGTGAAATGTGTTGGGGTAGCTGTCAGTGTCCACTGCTGCTGTCCTACTGACTGTGTCTTGTGGGTTTTGTTCTCATCATCTTTGCTCTTACAGTTGGCATGCTGGTGCTCTTCCTGCTGAGATGGTCAGAGATAAAGTAAGGTCCACTCATCCCTGCTGAGTCTGTCCCACCAGCCATAGCGCCAGTTCTAGAGATAGGCCTGTTTTCCAGGATCTTTTGTTGTCACAGCAACAAAGTTCCTACTTGTTAAACTTTAAAAAACCCTGTACATGGTTCATACCCTTTGTACTTTCTCTGTTTTTCCTGTTTGCAGAAGTACATGTGGATAGTTACAGAAACCAGAAACTCTCCGTGCTCTGAAGTACCAGTTCCTGCCAAAGGAATGATTTGAACAAGGACCGCCTCCCTGGAAAGGTGGCTCACTCCTTGTTTTGAGTGGTTTCTTCTTGTCACAACACAAGGCCTGTCTTCCTTCATTATCTCCCTCCGCTGGATTATTTATATCTCTGGTGTGATCATCGTAATTGATTTTTCTGGTCATGCTACAGCCACCATTGTTTTTTTTTTTTAGCTGCTGTTCTTTTTCATTTTGAATAGTGACTATTTTTTTTCCTACATTTCAGATATTTTGGAAGATATCTGTGCCCATGAGTAATTTCATACTCAAAATAACATTTTCCTTATCAGCATCTTTCCATGCTAATTGTCCTCTCTTGTTACTTTCAGGAAAGAGATAACCTGGTTTTATAACAAATTTAGGAGTTTCAGTTTGAGACTTCATGTAAAGTAAATTTAATGCATGGGGAGGGGTGAGGGGAATGGGATTAAATTTCAAAAAGTAAATTTAAAGACTAAAATAATTTTATCCTCTTCTTATAGAATTGGCAGAAAGTATTTCAATATTTGAGTAATTTTAATACAGTGTCTCTATACTTTAACCTAAAAAATTGATGAAATTTGGGGAAAATTAAAGTGCTGGCTTGGGAAGTGCCCTAGAGATGGAGAGTTGCAAAATAGAAAAGTGGAGCATCTGAAAAAGAAGCAAAGCGAAGCATTATGCTCCCTTCTTCTTTGGCTGCTGGGATCGTCTGGGCCAACCCACTTCCTATTCCTGGTGTTATTTAGTCATTTTTTATTTCTTTCATTTTTCTCATTTATTTTATTCTTTCTTTCTGTCCTTCCTTCCTTCCTTTCTTTTTCCAGTGCTGGGGGTTGAACTCAGGACCTTGTGCTTGCAAGGCAGGCTCGGTGCCACTGAGCTAAATCCCTGGCTTGTATCCTTTTTAATTTTTACTTTATTTTATTTCATTTTGGGGGGGGTACCGGGGATCGAACTCGGGACCTTGTGCTTGCGAGGTAGGCACCAGAACCACTGAGCTAAATCCCCGGCCCTCTTTTATTTTTAAGACTGCCTTAAAACATTTTTGTGTGTGAAACCAGTGAGAAGTAAATAAAAGTGAAACAATGAGATGTTTCATGGCTGTGTTACACATTCGTCTTCTAACTGGAGTGTCTTTTTGACTCTTTTATCTAAATTGTAAATATAAGTCATATGTGGTATGTCAGAGTGCTACAGGTGTATATGTATGATGTTTTCTGTCTCGCAGATTGGCTCACAGAGCAAGTAATCAGCTCCGTTGGACTTGGTTCTGTGGTCCAAATGGAGTCTAGGACTCAGTTGTCTCGGCCCGAATGAGAGAGGCCTCATCTCCAAGATGGAGAAGAAGCGGAGAAAGAAATGAAAGCCTCTCTTCAGGCCAAGCCACAAAAGGCCATGGGACTTCACTTTTATTTACGTTGGACAAGACTGTAAGACAGCTGATCAGTAATGTTGCAGCTCTTAGCCAAAACAAAAATTCACTCCTAACCAAGGAAGACAAAAGTGTGATTTGAATTTATGTGATTTTTATGACCGTATTCACCTATGACCATGAAGCTTGTCAACATCTGGCTGCTTCTGCTAGTGGTTTTGCTCTGTGGGAAGAAACATCTGGGTGACAGACTGGAAAAGAAATCGTTTGAAAAGGCCCCATGCCCTGGCTGTTCCCACCTGACTTTAAAGGTGGAATTCTCCTCAACAGTTGTGGAATATGGTAATGACATCAGCTTACATTTTAGGACCTCCCACCCTGTTGTCTTCAAACTTAATATAAGTATTAGCTTTTGCCAAGGAATTTGTCCTTTTCAAATTCATTTCAGGTGGGATGAATGGGCAACACCTGGATGTCAGCTTTGCTTAAGTTTGTTTTCCCAGGTTGTTTGCTCCTGTGAAACAAGGAAGTTAACCTACAGTTTGATTTTGGATCACATGCCATTGTAGCTGTTGAGGATAGGTGGTTTGGAGGTGCTGAATGTTTGCTCTAAAGTTCAAGTGACCAGATGAAAGTAACTAAGAAAATAATGTGGTATTATCTATTCTACAGTTCTGGTTTTTTCAGTAAAATTAACTGAACATTCAATTCTCTGAATTTCTTTCTCCTATTTGAAAAAACTGTGTTTCCTTAATGCACGTTTAAACACCTATAGAGACTTGCTTTTTAAAAATCTCACAGGTGGGATGTGGGAGAGTGCAGGGTGAGCATGTAGGCAGCACCCCCCCATCACAGGTATCTGGTTTTGAATGTTGTATGCCATGTGATCAGGGGATTCATATAAAACAAAATGTTTAAAAACATTAAAACATTTAAATATGTTAAATGTTAAAATAAAGTTTGGCAAACTGCTGCTGTTCTGGACATTTAAATTAGTCTTTCTGTTTTTTGCACTTTGTTTTACTGTGAGTTTTCAGATCCATAATTTTTCTTTTACCAGTGAAATCTCAGGTTAGATATAATCTGAGTTACATATACATGAATTTTTATTTTTATTTGTGGTCATCGATTTCAGAATATATTGTGGCTTTCAATGGATACTTCACGGCCAAAGCTAGAAATTCATTTATTTCAAGTGCTCTGAAGAGCAGTGAAGTAGACAACTGGAGAATTATACCTCGGAACAATCCATCCAGTGACTACCCTAGTGACTTTGAAGTGATTCAGATAAAAGAGAAACAGAAAGCGGGGCTGCTAACACTTGAAGATCATCCAAACATCAAACGGGTAACACCCCAGCGGAAAGTCTTTCGCTCCCTGAAGTTCGCGGAGTGTGAGTATTGTGCCCTCTGGTCATCCCGTGCCCTGTATGTGCAGCTTCACTTTGAGGATTACATGCTGTGCAAAAGCTGAAAGTAGGTCAGGGAACTCCTGTGTCCCTTCATCTCGTTCACCAGTTGTGAATGTTTTCCTGGCAGGCACTTTTTTAAAGAAGAGACATGTTACTCTTGTGGTGGGGAGGCTCCGAGGGTCTGCACTAGAGGGTGGTGGTGATCTCCGTTTCTGCTGGAGTAGTCTCTGCCCAGGTTCACCTGGAGGCGCAGAGCCCTTTACATGCTGAAGGGAAAGACCTTGCCTCCTCTGTGCTTCTCGGTCCTGTGTCTTCTCTGTGCTTGCATTTTGTTCAGTATGGCAGTGTGGAGGTTTGTTTGTTTTGGCAGTGCTGGGGATTGAACTTAGGGACCTTTGCACTGAGCTGCATCCCAGCCCTTTTTTATTTTTTGAGACAGACAGGGTCTTGCTAAGTTGCCCAGGCTGGGTTTGCCTCAGCCTTCCACAGTGCTGGGATTACAGGCATGTGCCACCATGCCCAGCAGGGTTTTTATTTTTTCAATCACTCTTGTAAAAGATCTTTTCCTTGGGTTTCATTTTGTTTCTCTTCCAGCCCTCTGACCATGAATAGCCGTGCCTCAGCTGGACTTGTCTCCACCACCGGCCTGCAGGTGCAAGGCTGGAAGGAGTTGGTGCTCCCTTCTCAGCCAGGGCTTAGGCTTTCCTGCCCCGTCACAGCTGGGCTACTGAAGAGAGAGTTTATCCTTAAGTAATGAGTTGTATGTTTATTGTGAAATAGTTTACAAAGTCTATGTATTACCAGAGCATAGGCTTTTTCCTGTGTATTATAAACCAGTTAATACATTGCTAATTGTGTTGTTTACTCTCATTTTTTTTCACTAGAGGGAAAAGGAGAGAGAATTGGGCTTTTTCTCCTTTGTCTACCATCAGACTGGGCCTGAGAGGCTCAGGTTTTGTGCGTTTTAGGAAGAGTTAACCTATTTCCATAGTGTGACAATCCAGTTCTTGAGTCAGCTGTAGACTTCTGACATCTGACTTTAGAGCCTTTTCTGCTAGTCCAGATGTTTTATATTATTTTTCTCTATAAAAAGCAGTAGTCCTCTAAATGATCCAGGAAGAGAAAAACAACTCAGACTTGGTATAATTAGCCAAATGTGTTGTGCCGTAACTTCATTTTTATTTTTACTTTACTACATTCGTCTTACAGAGCTCTAGAAAGTTGTAGGTGACTCTGAGATGCCTAATTTTAGTACAAGAACTGTAGACCGTTCTGGCAGGGATTCCCATCTGTACCATCTCCACTGTGTTAGTCACATGCTGTGCCTGACACCCTGTAAGGAAATGTGCTGCCTCCTGATGTGTTTGTTATTTTTATTTATTTTTTTGGTACTGGATATCGAACTCGGGTCCTTCCGCTTGTGAGGCAGGCAGCGGAACCACTGAGCTAAATCCCCGACCCGTGCCTGTTATTCTTATATTTAGCCAGGACCTTGAGTAGTAAGCTCCTTTTCATCACCAAGCTTTGCTGTTCTTCGCCCCCAGTGCAGAGGTGCTACCTACTTGACTGGTTCTCATGAAGTAATGTGTGGGAAGAGTACTTAGCAGAGTGTTCAGGTTGCTGGAAGTAACACTAAATGATACTTCTTTTCACATCTCTTGTTGGAAGAAGGTTTTGCCGTATTTGGGGTTGAAGCCTGTCTCATGCTTGTTTTATCCCGTGGGTCCTAACGCCTAGCTAACCCATTTTCCACAAGACAACATTGAAAGTCACTAAGAAGATACCGTCTTTCTAAAGATGTCCATGGTGTCTTCTGCGGTGGTTTTTCCTCTGAGAGCTAATCCCAGTTCCTTCAGTGGTTATTCATGACATGGTTCATGTCCCTTGCCATTTTATTTGTTTTCTTTGAATCCAGCTTTTCTAGATTGTTCTTAAAGAGAGAAGGCCAGACATACAATACTTCAAATGTAGTCCTGTCTGCTCAGGGCAAAGCAGAACCAACCCCTCCCTGTTCCAGACGTTCTTCATTGGTAACTCCCAGATTGTCCTGCTGTTGACTCAAGGGCCGGAGCCAACAGCAGGTCAGTGCAGAACAATTTCAGTTGGACTGTGCAAACAGTTATTTCATGGAATTGACAGGAGTATGTATTTCCCAGGTCCCTGAACCTTCATGAGTGTAGCCTGATAAAGGCTGGAAGAAAAAAGGGAGCAGTTTGTTTTAGAGATGAAGTGCAATAGCATAGATTGCTCTTAAAACTGACTTGAAATATGGTTTGCTCTTCATTATAACATGGACTTTGAAAGGTAAATCTCTTGTAGTATTTGTTTCACACACCCTCCTCCTACCCCTTTTATTTTAAATAAAGAGATTTACAGATGATAAAATTTATCCTTTAGTAGTTTGGCAAGTTTGGGCAAAGGTACACAGTCAGGTGTCCAACCAACAAAATTAAGACAGAATAGTTCCTTCACCCTCACCCTGCTGCCTGGTTTGCTGGAAGGTGAAATTCTTGTAGGTAAGAACATTGAGCAATATACAGTTTTTAAAAGGTTCTATTGCTGTTTGGCTGCAGATATGTTTGGTGGGGTAACACAGCTTTTTCCTATCCCAGAAGTACAGCACAGTAAAGCCTCATGATCAGTCAGTGGCCAGTTTTTCCAGCTTTTTTTCTTCCTTCTTCTGGTTAAGTGAGAATAAGCTGCTGATAAACAAATCCGGGCTTTCATCAGTTTTAATAAGATGATTACTTTATTTCTTTACAAATTATTTTTTTAGTCTATCTTTGCTGTACGTTGGTTTGAAAATTCTCAGTAAAGAAACATTTAGAATAATAAGGCAATTAAATAATGTCCCATAATTATAATTTAATTTAGAAAATCTTTTAAAAATAGAGCGCTGGGTATGGTGGTCCACACCTGTAATCCCAGCACTTGGGAGGCAGAGGCAGGGGAATTGCCTAGAGTTTGAGGCCAGCCAGGGTTACATGAGTTCAAGGCCAGCCTACACTACAAAGCAAGACCCTGTCTGAAAAAAAACCAAAGGAAAGGCTGGGGATTTAGCTCAGTGGTTTCACCGCCTGCTGTGCAAGCTCAAGGACCCGAGTTTGATCCCTGGTACCAAAAAAAAACCAAAAACAACAAAAAAAAAACCAAAGGAAAAAAAATAGAGAATCCTACCTTCCTTCCAGTAGGACTTCAAGGTAATCATCGCATTGCAGGGTGACAGTTTTGCCCACCAGGACAAGGTAGCATGTTTATCCTCTTTGGTTCTGATTATTCTCTTTCTTGACTCTAGCTGACACTCTCGTACCTTGCAATGAAACCCAGTGGAGCCAGAAGTGGCAGTCATCACGTCCCCTGAGAAGAGCCAGTCTGTCCCTGGGCTCTGGCTTCTGGCACGCCACAGGACGGCATTCGAGTAGACGGCTGCTGAGAGCCATTCCACGCCAGGTTGCCCAGACGCTGCAGGCAGACGTGCTGTGGCAGATGGGATACACAGGTGTGTGCTGCCCATCGGGATGTGTAGAAAGGCCAGTGGCCAATGAGGTCCTTTCTTGGAGTGCCTGGTGCCACAGCCCTGCCGCCTTACGCATCTGTCCTTTTTGCTGCCCTTTGAATTGGAGGTAGTAAAGTACCCCTGTCTTTAACTCCTGATATGTGGGGCATCTGTTTCTGTGATTTCTAATTGTCACCAAATGAGCCTTAGTTTTGTTACTGTTTTTGAGGTTAGAAGGGGCAGATTGTGGAGCATTTCCTTCCCGTTAACACAAACACCAAGAAGCACAGCACTGCTCACAGCCTGAGCTGGCTGGCAGCACTGCCGAGGTCTGTGACCTTACACAAAAAGAGATGACATTCAGAGATGGTCACCTGGATGTGAGCAGATTCATGGCAGTTCATTTATCATTTGGTCTTGGTCCCCTGTATGAGGAGTGACTAGGTGATTGACTGTCACACTTGCTAATCATCTGCTTCAGAACAAGAAACAGCATTAATCATCATACCTTCTGAAATAAAACTCACAACCAATAAAGCTTTTCCTTTTTTTTTACTGACCTATCGTGGCAGAACATTCCTATTTTAACTAATGTGAAAACTTTTAACCTGACTTAAGTGTAAGCCAGTGTCTTGCCCCCAGTTACAAGTGGTTTGGTGTCTTACCCTCCCCCCAGGGCATAAAGACAGACTTTCCTATGATTTCCTCAGACCCTTGGCCCTCATCAGGTCTAAGGTGCTTAGACTTTTAACACCTGGCCAGTTGACCTTTTTTATTAAAATAGTTGTTTCTGGGCCGGGGATTTAGCTCAGTGGTTTTGCCGCCTGCCGCGCAAGTGCAAGGATTGGAGTTCAATCCGCAATACCAAAAAAATAAATAAAATGAAATAAAATAAAATAAAATAATTGTTTCCTCTTGCCCTTTTCTTTTTAGAGTGAGAGCTTCCTCACAAAACAAATTCTTTAATTAGAAATGCATTTTTATTCCTCTAAAATCAGTTTTATGTATTTTTAAAAAGCAATAATTTTAGTAGTTACCATAGTGTATTGATTATATAACGGTACCTTGATATGTACAGGAGTCTCAAAGCTGAAACCCATTACTTTCATTACATTGGTTAACTGTTAAGTAATACATGTGTCTTGGGTGCTTTTTTAGATGTTTTCTAAACTGACCGACCATTCACGTATCACATGAGTGCAGGTGCTTTTGGCCAGTCTGTGAAATAGATGTACTACAGACAAGTGCATATTGGAGTGACTTTCCTGACACTGATTAATTCTTCACAGTGCCCTTCTGCAGAGTTTGTTGTTATTAATGAGCAGCACTGAGTAAATGGCTGTCTTTGTCAGGAGCAGGGACAGTTTCCCCTCATGTTTGCCATGTCATGCTCCTTAGCTGTGTGCTCTGTGAGTCTTTGCAGGGCCTCTGAGGAGGTGTATGGGAGGGTGGGTACCTAGAGTAAGTTACCAGAAGGGGAAGCCACTCAAAAGGTCACAAGCCTGGAGTCTGAGGAGCCCACATGGGATGAGGAGCAGTGGTTCCATTCCTGAGTGTTGTGACAGTTGTGACAGTTGAGGGGCTCCAGAGAGATGTTGCTTGTTCTCGAATCTTGATTCACAACTGAAAGGCAGCATTTCCCCTTCTCAAGTCCTTTTTTAGTCTTGGCTCAGCCCACAGCCCTTGGATCCTCTGAACCTCTGACCTCTTGGCCTCAGGCTCTGGCAGTTTCTGTGGATCCCAGGATTCTAGTCTATGTGTTTTATACTTTTTTTTTTTTTTTTTGGTACCGGGGATCGAACTCGGGTCCTTGAGCCTGCACAGCAGGCGGCGAAACCACTGAGCTAAATCCCCGGCCCTATGTGTTTCATAGACAGGAATCCAGAAAGATGAATTTATTAAGCATGATTTTGCTGCTTTTTTTTTTTAATAAGGTGCTAATGTCAGAGTTGCTGTTTTTGATACTGGGCTGAGCGAGAAGCATCCCCACTTCAAGAATGTGAAGGAGAGAACCAACTGGACCAATGAGCGAACCCTGGATGATGGTGGGTCTCAGTTGAGAGAGTGTTTTTCTGTTGTCACCCTGTTTTTGTTGTGGCAGCTTTCCTGGAGCTCTCAGGATGTGAGGAGGCAGGGTTGGAGAGGGAGGGGAGTGCCTGGTGAGGAGAGTTTGGTGGCTGCCCCTCGGTGATGCTGGTGCCAGCTGGGTCTAGGTGGAGGCTCCCCACCCAGGCCACACAGGGTGAGCCCATGTGAGATCAATGGTTTGGAATTAGTGTTTTGTAGCATGTGTTGTCAGCCCTGTCTCACGGGCCTCTTCTTTCTTGTGGGCACAGGGCTGGGCCATGGCACATTCGTGGCAGGTGTGATTGCCAGTATGAGGGAATGCCAAGGGTTTGCTCCAGATGCAGAACTTCATATTTTCAGGGTCTTCACCAACAATCAGGTAGGTGTTTTGAGGCCCCTGAAACTTTAAGGAATCAGTATTGAAATGTAAAAAATAAAGCAGAAGAACATAAACACCCATTTGAAAGCAGCCCACATCTGTGACTGAGCTGCCTGTGGCCTAACATGTGCTGCATCTCTCACCATTGTCATTCTGCCTTTGGGTGGCAGGGCCCTTCTGCCACCCCCTTCCAGTCAACTATGAACCCCGACTTTGAGGTCACTGTGTTCAGGGATTATTTCTTGTTTCATCCTCCTTTCAGGCTTGCCAGAGGCCTCTGCTTGACAGAATGATTCAGGGTGTGGGTCACCTCCCTGGCCAGATTCCATCCGCTGCAGGGTTGAGCTGTATTATTGGCCTCTGTATTCCAGCATGATGTTGGGATCAGACTCATAAGCTGTGTTCTTCCCTTTTCATTTGGAATCTGTGTAGAAGAGGACAAGGATACTTACTACTATTTGTTTATTTTTAAAATGTAATTCTCGAGTAGGCGATACATAGCTCAAAAATATCAAAAGGCAGCACAGTGAAGACCATTTGTCTCATCCAGTGGGTTCTTAGTTGGCTCCCCACATAGTTCATGTGATAGTATTCTGTTATGGCTTATGTCTAGATGTCCTCCCAAAGCCTCAATGCAGTCAGGGGTGGGGCTTTTTCAGAGGTGGCTGAACTAAAGTGTGTGATTGATTCATGGTACACGGCTAGGAGTAAGGGTGAGTGATTACTAAATTAGTCCACTGATTGGTTTGGCACTGCCCTAATCTTGGTAGCCTGGATGCAATATAAGGGACAGAAGCTTGTCTTGCCCCTTGCTTGCTTGCTTTGCTACCTTCTCCCCACCATGAACTGATTCTCCTCTGTGATACCTACCTGCTATGCCACCCTGCCTTGAAGCCAGCTGATTATGTACTGAAACCTCTACAAACTTTGAGCTAAATAAACCTTTCCTCTCTTGTGGGTATTGGGTATTTTGTCTCAGCAACAAAAAAGGTAACTAAGACAGAATTTGGTACCAGAAGTGAGGTCTTTGCTGTAATTGTACCTGACCATTTGGTTTAGGAGCCTTTGGAGCTGGTTTGTGGGAAAGGGAAGAATAAGGAAAGGTTCAGAGATGCTGGCTAAAAAAGTAGAGCTGGGATGCCTTAGGCTGTACTTGATGGGAGATTCTGATCAGAGCTCAGAAGACCAGACTGCTGACAGAAATGATGCTGGTAAAGACCAGGCTCAGGAGTTTCTGATGGGAATGACTGCATTGGCCATTGGATTCCAGATGATGTGTGTTGTATCTTGACAGAAAGGTGGTCTACATTTTCCTCATGTCCAGAGACTTTGCCTGAGACTGAGATTAAGGGCAGTGGACTAATAGAAGAAATTTCAAGATGGTGTAATGTTAGGGCAGTGGGAGGGCTTCTGTTGGGAGCTTTTAGCCAGATTTATGTTGAAAATCAAGAGCAAAGAGCCCAGCATAATGATTCAGAATGTTTTGAGTTTGGCCAGAAAGGAAGCTGCAGTAAAGTTGGGGCATGCAAAGATGGAAGAGAGGAGAAATTGGTTGCTGAAAAGACTAGAAAGAAAAAGCCAAGTGTTCAGAAGAAGACAACAGAAAAGATGGTCTGAAGGCATCACAAGAACCAGCAGACTCCAGCCTTTGTAGCCTCAGGGTTGCAAGGGTGAAAGACTGCTTGGAGAAGAGAGCTCCACAGCACCATATTGAAGAATGGAGATGGCCTAGGGAAGTTATTTCTCGGGATTTGCTTCACGGTCACTTGACTCCTATAGCCAAGAGAGAAGAAAGCCTGGCTACAGCTCCAGCTGACAGCAGACCTTGGCATCATCCACATGGTGCTGGTTTTAGGTGCATGCAGAATCCAACAGTTATGGAGTCAGGAAGGCTTCCACCCAGGCTTCAGATGAAGGGGTGGGGGGACAAGCAGTGTGCCTCTGGGAGGGCAGTGTGTGAAGCTGTGAGTGTGAAGCCAAAGGTATAGTGGAGATCCCAGAAGTTTGGAAAAGCCAGGAATGTGGATCGTCTGAGGAAAACTTCAAGGAGGGAGCAGAGCCGGCCCAAGAGAGAAGCTGTGACAGGAGCTATACCCACCAGAAGTGCTGTAGGGGCAGAGCCACCCAAGCCCTTTGGAGTTCACATCTTGCCACAGATTGACGTGGATCCTGGACATGGAACTACAGGACTTAATGTTTGCCCTACTAGATTTTGGACTTGCTTTGGTCCCATTCCTTTATATCCCCCTATTTGTACCTTTTGGAATGGAAATGTCTACCTGGTGCCATTGAATGTTGGCAGTGTCTAACTTCCTTTTCATGTGTACAGGGGCTCGCAGCTAAGAGTTTGCCTTCAATCTCAGTGGAGACTTTGGACTTGGACTTTCCAGCAGTGCTGAAACTGTTAGGACTTGGGCAACTCTTGGAGATGGACTAAATGCCCTTTGCATAAAGGGATGTGCATGAGTCTTTGAGAGGCCAGGGTGGAATGTTAAGACTCGTGTCTAGGGCTGGGTATTTAGCTCAGTGGTTCTGCTGCCTGCCTTGCAAGCGCAAGGACCAGAGTTCAATCCCCGCTACTGAAGAAAAAAAAAAAAATACAAAGACTTGTGTCTAGATGTCCCCCCAAATCCTCATGTAGTCATAGGTGGGGCTTTTTCAGAGGTGGCTGAATCTAAAATGTGTGATTGATTCATGGTGCAATGCTAGGGATTAAGGGTGTGTGATTACTAAATCAGTCCACTGATTGGTTTGGCACCACCCTAATCTGGTAGTCTAGATACAGTATAAGGGACAGAAAGAGGCTTGTCTTGCTTCTTGCTTGCTTTGCCACCTTCTGCCTGCCATGAACTGTTTTTCCTCTTCGATTATGGACTGAAACTTCTACAAATTGTGAGCTAAGTAAACCTCTCCTTCCTTAACTTGTGGGTGTTGGGTAGTTTGTCTCAGCAACAAAAAACTTAACCAGACATGTTTTTAATTTTTTGTCTTCTCTTAGGATTTCTTTTACATATACAGTGGTCTCTTGGTTCACAACTTAATTCTTTCCATGATTCTGGTCGCAAACTGAATTGGACAAGAACCCACTCGGTTTAGGACCAGAATCGTGGAGAGAATTAAGTTCATGAACCGAGGTACCACTGTATAAGCAAAAATATAAGTCTGTACCTTCACTTTTCAAAGCCTTTTAAAAATAATTCTTAATCATTAGGCTACTTCTCTTTCCACTGTAAATTAATCTTATATTTAAAAAAATACAACTAAATGATGATCCACAAAGTAATTTAACTTATGTAAGGAAAGTAGGAGGAACTGGACATCAGAAACCTAATACTCTAAGTATTACTGCTGCCCTTTGTCCTTCATTCTGTTTAGGCTTAACAAATATTGGACAAACATATTAAACTGGTTAGAAATGCTTGACTTAGGGAAGTGCCTTAGGGCACATCCGTTTCTAAAAGAGGCCATGAGAGGTGAGGTCATCCCAGAAGGCACGCTGAGTAAGAACTGCCTATCACACCTGAGGGAGGACACCTGCAGCACATAATCCCACTTCCTTGGGTCCAGCCTCAGGGACTTCAGGTTTCTGGGTATAGTATTGGATATTCTAGAGCATTATTCATACTTGGGATTTATTTCTGTTGTTAATTTCAAAAAAGATTAAAAGAAATATTTCATGCTTTGGAAAGTCTGTGTTCTACTCTTAGAAATAAAAATTGTTGGGTGGAGGATGTAGCTTAGTGAGGCCCTGGATTTAATCCTCAGCACTGGATACAAACAAAAACCAAGAACTATTGTGACATCTTGAGACTTTTACGGGAACACTAAGAGGGTTGTTTTAATTTAACTAGGTATCTTACACATCTTGGTTTTTGGACGCCTTCAACTATGCCATCTTAAAAAAGATTGATGTGCTAAACCTCAGCATCGGAGGTCCCGACTTCATGGATCATCCCTTTGTTGACAAGGTTGGTCTAGTCACCACACAAGGATGTTGTATTTGGGTGCAGCTCCTGCTCTTTTGCACCTCAGCTTTGCATCAGTTCTAGTGTGCTGGTGGCTTTTCACCCAGGTGGTGACAGCTGTGTGAGAACAGACTGTTAATGACTTGAACTTTAGTGACTTGTATGTCATAAACCCAGGAGACGAGGGACCTTGGAAGTAGGTTTTTGTAAGAGGCACCTGGCACCTTGTTGATTGCTTCTTACCTAAACCTGCAACTTGTTTTCCTGAGAATGTCTGGGAGCTGGGGTCTACCCTGGGTATTGCACCACTCTGCCTTCTGGGTGTTGTTCTCCTTTAACCATCCTGCTCACCAGAGGGTCCTCTGTAGTGACCAGTGCTGCATTTGAGGAAGCTTCCCTACTTTTTGGGGACTATTTGTAGAAGTTGTGGGGTTTGAGGAATAATTACATATTGATTAAAATCGTATATTTTTATTCAGTAAACGCTTGCTAATTTTGTAGGTGTGGGAATTAACAGCTAACAACGTAATCATGGTCTCTGCTATTGGCAACGACGGGCCTCTTTATGGGTAAGCAGCCCCAACAGAGATGACCCCTGAAAAAATGGAAACTGTTATCAATCTGTTTGTATATCTAGCCATGTGTACTTGTTTATATCTGTCTGAAACTTTGTATTATGAAAGTTTCCAACGTTTAAAAAATAGAATGTGTAATGAGCTCCCGAGTAGTCACTGCTGGCTTCAGCAGTCAGCTCAAGGTCAACCTGCTAATTTTTTTCTAAACATTGCTATAAACAGCAGCTAAGAATCTTAAAATTTTTTTCTGATTGCTTTTTTTTTCCCCTTAAAATTCAGTCAGGAAAGTGAATCTGTTAGAAAGGGACTTTGAGTATCTGTTGAGACCCACTGTGTACAGAATGCCGAGGGAGGGAGGGAGGAAAGAGGGAAAAAGAGAAGGTGTCCGTCTTTCCAGGAAAGATCAAGTGCACAGTGAATCCATGGTGAGGAAGCAGAGGGTGCTGGGGCTTGGTGGGGACACAGACGGTGCCTTCAGTTAGAAGAGTAGTCACAAGTCACCAGTCTTTGTGCTGGTTGCCATGGGTTGAAGCAGCAGGAGAGATGGAAATGTCCCCACTGAAACAGCCTGTAAGCTTTGGTCTGGTTTGAGATCTCAGGTCTCTGGCTGCTTGCCGCTCTGATTTTGATGCTGCATAGAAGGTATGCTTAAGTATTTCTTTTGCCATAATGCTTTCAGAGGAGGATGTTGGTCATTGTCCAGTATTGAGTAGAGAGAGTGGATACAGGTCAGTATTGTAACAAAGTGTCTCAGGCAACTCAGGAAAGAGAGACAGTGACAGAGGGTGTGAGCTCACGTGCCATGGCAGAGTGGAGGAGAGATGAGTGTCTGCACTGTCCTTCTGTGTGTGCTTCTGGCTGAGACATCCTGGGAGTGCTGCTGAGGGAGAGCAGGCTGTCTGAAGGCTCAGAGCATTCAGACAGCATGAGGCTCAGCTGTGTGAAGGTGATGCTCATAGAGTCAGAAAATAAGGATGTCAACAGTCATGTGCTTCCGGTCTAGTTCGTGGGAGAGGCCTGGATTCTGGATGTGCTGTGGCCTCCCCAATGAGTGTTGTGGTTGGTAGAAATAAGCAGCATAGATGTACCTTCACTGTAGCTCTTCCATGAAAAACACTAGTTACTGAGCCTCGGGGCTGCAGCTGCCCCCTTTTCAGTACTAGCAGCAGTATCTTTATTTCCCAGCACTCTTGGTGCTAAGCATTACAGGGGTTGACAGGAGAGAGAGGGTGGGAAGTGGTGATCTCCTGCTGACTTCAGTAGGTGGTTCTCCGTGACTCCTGTACTCATCTTTGTTCCTTTCTTGGATGGAAATTTGTGCACTTTTTGCATCAGGTGATGGAAAACGATTCTGGTTCCTCTGGATGGCCACCTGGTAACATGTTGGTGGTCAGCAAGCTCAGAAGGCAGAACAGGTGTTGACTCGGTATAGTTGAAGTTGGTGAGTACAATTCCATGCTCTAGAATCTTGTTGCTATTATCCCTTAAGCCACTTGGACTGGGTCATAGTTTACAAATCGTCAGAGTATGTTTTTCTCAATAGCGGAGCTGTAATACAAAAAGTTTAGAAATACAGTGTTGTGCCAGGCATGGTGGTGTGCTCCTGTAATCCCAGCCTCAGGAGGCTAAGGTAGGGGGATTGCTGAGAGTTCGAGGCCAGCCTGGTTTACAAAATGAGTTCAAGGCCAGCATGAACTACGTAGCGAGACCCTGTCTCAAACAAAAACCACACAAACAAGGAAGGCAGACTCATAACTGATTAGTTCATATGTTCAAATCAGTTTCTTCGTGACTTGAAATGTTTTTGTCGTAATTCATTTCACTCTAGCTTCTTTGCAGATCTAGTGCACTTGTGTAGGGAGAATGGCATGGTTTTCTGGTCTGTCTTTTCTCTAAGGTGCTCAGGGTTGCAGAGTAATAGCAGCTGTTCCCATGTGCTTCTGAGGAAGTTGGATATGCTGTAAGAGCTCCATTGAAAGCTTTGACTTTGGGCTGTGGGTCTCCAAAAGTGTGCCTATGATGTCTTACCAGATTCCATCTAATATAGTTGAGGCAAGAAGAATGCACTTGGAATGATTGAAAAGTGACATGAGAATGTGTAACTAGGTGGTGCATTGTGAAGTGTGAACTCCTGGAAGTTCAGGGACAGAGAAATCAGGGAGCTGAGAGGAGTGAGGGAGAATGTGTCTGGAGCTGGGCGCAGTGCCCAGCAGTACGGTGACGAGGAGGGGAGAAAGCAGGGCTGTTCTGTTCCTGATGAGAAGACGGAAGTTGACAACAGCGCAGAGGTGGCGGGAAACATGGCACTTGATTGGCACTTGATAGGCACCTGTGAGGAGCAGCAGCCTGTTAAAGCCAAACAAGTCTTGTCAGGGAAGGACCTTTAGTAAAGCCTTACATTTTTCTCAGAGTATTCACTTTTATTTGAATTATTCACTTTAAACTATTTCTCCCCTCCCCTTTTTTGTGTGTGTCTCAATTTAGCACTCTGAATAACCCCGCTGATCAGATGGATGTGATTGGAGTGGGTGGCATTGACTTTGAAGATAACATCGCCCGCTTTTCCTCCAGGGGAATGACCACCTGGGTATGGCTTTCTGTTTAACGTGGGTCTGGAGCCATCGGTCTAACACTTCAGTATTTGTCAGTGCACAGGGAGAGAAGCGGCTTGTGACGCAGACCCTGAGCTCCACAGGTCGGGAACTAGGGCTGTGGGTTGTGCCTGTCATGAGGTCTAGACTGGCGAGTCCGGCAAGTCCAGAGCCACCTCACAGGGCATGGGTCACTTCTGAGCAGTGTCTTCCAGTTCCGCTTCTTTTTAATTTATTTCCAAGTCATCACTTTTTAGGTGAACTGGACTCATGCTCACTTGTCCTAACTAGTAATAGGAAGATGAACAGTTCCCTCAATGTAAGGTGAGATTGTTTTCTCCCCGTAGGAAGTAGAGGCCTACTTCCTCAGAACAGCTTAATAGCAATTCTCCTAACACAGAAATAATTGTATTTAGTTGTACATATTAAAATAACTCCAACAAGTTAAGAATTCAACTGCTTGGGGTTTGATTATGCAGCGAGTTCACCTCCTTTACCCGTCAAAACAAAGTTTGATTCAAAATTAGGTACCTCTGGGCCAGGGATTTAGCTCAGTAGTTCCACCGCCTGCCTTAAAAGCAGAGGGTCCCGAGTTCGATTGGTACCAAAAACAAAAATTAAGTGCCTCCTCAAAGCAACACTCCAGGTCTTTTCCCCCTGGCTACAGGGAGCTGGGTACAATTGCATGCTCTAGAATCTTGCTGCTGTTATCTCTTAAGTCACTTGGACTCAATTGTAGTTTACACATTGCCAGAGTACAGTAGGTTTTTTTCAGTAGCAGAGGTGGAGTTGTTTTGGAGTTGTTCCTTGTTCTGACTTGACATGTACTGAGCTCAGGCCTTGGGTAAGGCCCCAGAATGACTCACAGCTTCCTGGGAATGTCTGGGCTGGGTCCACACCTGTCACACTCCATGCCATAGTCTTCACTATGAGTCTTAGTTCAAGACAGTGCTGGCTCCCAGGCATGCACGCAGGTGCGCGCGCGCACACACACACACATACACCTACACCCCACCAGACTGCACGCCTCCTTGTGGAATTGATCCTCTGCTTGATGCCACAGACTGGCCAACCTCACTCTGATAGGCAGGTCCCCTGCTCTGTGTCCTCTCTTTTGTGCTCCTCAGCCCATCCTCTGTGCCATTGGACCCTAGGGACATCTGCCACCGTGGGTTTGCAGCTCACCCTGCACTGCAGATGTGATGTCATGCCCTTGGCCTTCACAAGAGCATTTTGAGAAATGTTTCTGAATTTATGCAGAGGTGTGGCTAATGGTACCTTCACTCAGGGCCCCATATACAAGAAGTGATCAGAATACAGTGAATGTTTAGCTAAAGAATGTATTGCAGGGCTGGGAATTTAGCTCAGTGGTTTCGCCGCCTGCTGCACAAGCGCAAGGACCTGAGTTCAATCCCTGGTACCAGGAAAAAAAAAAAAAAAAGAATGTATTGCAGTAAAAGCTACATTGCTATTAATCTCCCTCAAAATATTCCTTCTCTGAAACACACTTATCTCATCATTCTTGGCACTTTCTGAAAATCCTCTTTTGTGCCTATAAGAGATATGATAAAAAATAATTGGGTGAATGTACTGCTGAGTGCCATCCAGTGGAAAGGCAGGCCTCTGAAACAATATGGTGCATCCTTAACCACCTTATTCACCGGATTGGACACTGAGCAACTTCTAGTTCTTCCCCAAAATGACCACGAAAGGTAAACATTTTGAATTGATTCAGGACATTGAGGGTAGCTATGGCAGCACAACTAGAGACACGAAAGGGAACTTCCAGAACTTCAGAAAGTGGCAAGAATGATGGGATGAGGGTGTTCAGTGTGAGGGGGATTCATGACAGTGTGTCTTTTACTGTCGTAAATGTAAAAACAATTTTTTTTAGCATTTAGCTTAGTTTTTGGTCACATGTCTTAAGTGGTTCCTGTTTATTGGTGATTGATTGCCAGGGAAGGTTTTCTCATTCAGTCAATATACTTTTCCTCAACACAACATAATATCCTATTGTACTTCTCATTTTGCCCCAGTTTTCAGGGAGCTTAAGAGTAGACATTTTTATTTGTATCTTAAAATGAGTCATCTGTTTTCATAAAAATAAAACTATTAAAATGCTGTTTGATATATATAATAACTTGAATGATACTTCTACAAAAAATCATAACTAATGATATGTTTGTAATAATGGCGATTGTTAGATTTTTATGAAAAATGAGTAGCTGGAAATATGTAGCAATACTTAGTTAAAATTTTGGACCTCAGATACTGTGGCTGTCTAATGTAATCCTTTAAAAATTCTCTGCATTGTCAGTAACTGTAGTATACTTATTGTATAGTACTCAGTATTTTTTTTAAAGTTTATGAACTTATATTTATCAAATAAAAATTTTCCTACATTAAAAAAAAAATCTTACATGGACCTTCTTGATCATTCAAAACAGTTTCTTACCCCTATGAAACATCCAGTTATAACCATGTACTTTTTTCCTTATAAAGAAATATTTTTTCCTAATTTTTAATTTTAATTTTCTGATTCTTCCAATATATTTCTAAGTTTTGATTTATCTAGGGATAAAAGCAGTTTCCAGTTTCTAGTCTTAGTAATAAATCTATGGCTAGTTTCTGGTCTTACATGTTAGCAAAAGTGAAATATTTACTTTTGATTGCTTTATAACCTTGCTGTTGTACTGGTTGTATAAAACATTCTAAAAATAAATCTATTTTCTACATTATCACCTAAACTTTTTTTTTTTTTGAGTACTGGGAATCAAACTCAGGTCCTTGCACTTGTGAGGCAGGTGTTGCAACCACTGAGCTAAATCCCCGGCCCCCTAAGCATTATTTTTGTTTTTTGGTACCGGAGATCGAACTCAGGTCCTTGTGCTTTCGAAGCAGGCAGCAGAACCACTGAGCTAAATCCCCGGCCCTCCTAAGCTTACTTTTGATATGCACTGAGTTTCAGACCCAAACCCATACCTTCCCCAAGTGACACTGTGTTGAAGTCCCCATGTTTCTCTTCTGCTTTTATTCCCTCATGACCCCATGTGGCCATGTACCCGCACATGTGATGGGGAACCTGAGTTACTCTTATTCGTAGGAGCTACCAGGAGGCTACGGTCGTGTGAAACCTGATGTTGTCACCTATGGTGCTGGAGTGCGGGGTTCCGGTGTGAAAGGGGGTTGCCGAGCCCTCTCAGGGACCAGTGTCGCCTCTCCGGTGGTCGCAGGGGCCGTCACCTTGTTGGTGAGGTGAGTTTTGCACAGCTGAGATGGGCCGCTCTAGCCTCAGGAAAGGGGACATGGTGCATCTGACCTGGTGGTTGTGGGGCTCGAGGCCCGCACCGTCTCTGCTCCTTCATCTTTCCAAGAGGGGTAGGGCTCCCTCCTGTGGTGCTTCAGTGATGTGTGCCCAGCATACTTTGTAAGCCTAGAGTGAGCTGTAAGGCGTGTGCAGGGCAAATCGCTATTACTCCTGTTGTGGGCTGCATTTTTAAATACATTACATGCTAGGCGTGGTGGTGCATGCCTGTAATCCCAGCACTTGGGAGGTTGAGGCGAGAGGATTGCTGCGAGTTTGAGGCCAGCCTGGGCTACATAGTGAATTGAAAGCCAGCCTGAGCTACATAGTGAGACCTTGTCTCCAAAAAAAAAAACACTTGGGCCAGGGATTTAGCTCAGTGGTTTCACTGCCTGCTGTGCAAGCGCAAGGACCTGAGTTCGATCCCCGGTACCAAAAAAAACACAAAACCCAAAATAAAAATACATACATTTATATGCTGGAACTGTGTATAGATCAGGCAGGGAGCATAGAGTAAGCTGTTTCCCCACCATGCCCTTGAGGATGTACCTTTTGTTAAATTTTATCGTGTTTGTTTAAGATGTACCACATGATGTTATGGGGTATGTGTAGGTAGTAAAAGATTTCACCAGTGAGGCAATTTAACATTCCTGTCTTCTTGCATATTTACCCACTCTTGTTTTTGTGGCAGAGACTCTCCTCCATACCCTTAGCTAAGGGAGGCAGTCAGGGCCTCCTCATGGGAGACAAGTTTCTCTGGGCCATTTGTACTCATTAAATCTCATATAAATTGGAATAAAGCTTAGTCACTGGCCCTTACTTTTGCAGATAAGAGAACTAGAAAAAGGTCCTCAAACATAGACCAGCTTTAAAGCTCATGTGCTGACTTTTAAGTCAGGTAGGCCTTGTTTCCTTATTCTCAGAGTTATCAAAAGGATCTTTGGGCCCGAGATTTAGCTCAGTGGTTTCGCCGCCTGCTGCGCAAGCGCAAGGACCCGAATTCGATCCCCTTGGAACAAGCATTCATTTTGTCACAGTATGTCCCCCAAAATTAATCTTTCTTTTTTCTGTCTAGCTGAGGTACTGTGTTGTGATAACACAAAACTCTGCATATTTGAAATTTATAATTTATGCCAATTAAGGAATTAAATTAAAACACAAGTGATATTAAATGTTTTTATACTTAAAATTCTCTATAAAAAGTGAATTACATGTTGATCTTTAGCTTCTAATGCCAGAGATTATTAGTAATCTTTGATGGAGGTAGCTGTCTGCCTCTTGCTCTATCCTGCTCTTACAGGCCAGAGCCAAAATTCTTAAAAAGGTTGACATTGGCCAGAGTATCTCTGGAGACTCAACCTTGTGCCTGCTAGAAACTCTCTCTCCCTAATGTGACATAAAATGAAGCAAAGAAAGAAGGAATCAATACTCTTGGATTTACCTGATGGTGAGGATTCAGCTAAGGCTCCTTTTTCCAGGCCTGTTGAATCTGGAAGTGGAAAACACTGGTCGATTTCTCCCACTCGCCGTGATGTAGCAGGGAGCAAGGGTTCTGGCTTCACCACTGAGCCCATCAGCCATCTCTGCTGTGAAAGTAGCAGGGGGTGAAGAGCCTGTGTTTTCATCCTCAGCGCAGCTCTCACTATGCATATTTTGAGCATCAGGGAGACCTTTCACTCTCCCCATATCCTGCAGCAGATGAAATGCTTTTGTGATGTTCAGAAATGCTTTGTGGCTTGTCAGTAGCTTGTGATAGATGCCAAGCAACAGGGAAGTGGAGCGTAACCTTTAGTTTGGCTTTATAGACAGGAAGAGGAAGGAGGATTGTTGACCTATAGCTTCTAATAATTCTTTTATTCCATTATTAACAATCCTATAGTATTTCCTCTTATTGTCAGACTTCCCATTTAAAAAGCCTGCCTAGACCTAGAGACCAACCACCATCATATAAAAATATTTATGAACTTGGGCAAATAAGTTTTCCCTTTTTGCCTTCTGAATTTTTTTCCCTCAATTTAGGAAATAAAATTTACTTGCATAAAATGCACAAAAATGAATGTTTTAGTGCTAGAGTTAGCCAGGTTCCTGGCCCGGTAGAGCTGTGTTAGTTTGCTCAGGTGCATCTTAGTGGAGTGCTGCAAGTGGCCTGAAGTCTGCATGTTGTGAGCCTGTGCTGGAGTGGTTCACCCCATATGGGCCTTCAGATCTGGAAACGGCGGCCCTCTCCCATGTCAGCCCTTCTCTCTGGCGAGATTGTCTTCGCCCTTGCCTAGCAGCTATCCCCGCCCTTGGAAGTCAGTACCTCTTTGATGTTCTTGCATCCTGCAACCTGCATGGTCGATTTAGTCAGATAATCAGGGAAATTTGTGTTACTCCTAAATTTAGCATAGACATAGCCCATAAGTCACTCACTGCTGAGAAAAGGAATGTGGGCTCAGTACTGAGAAGTGTAGCTGTGAGCCATGTCCTTGTCTCATGGAGCACCACCAGGGAATGCTAGTTAGTTATAAAGCAAGGTTGGAAACTGATTTTCACTCTTTTACTAAAAAAAAACAACAAATGCTTGATTTTTCCCCCAGCACAGTCCAGAAGCGTGAGCTGGTGAACCCTGCTAGCATGAAGCAGGCCCTGATTGCATCCGCCCGGAGGCTGCCTGGTGTCAACATGTTTGAGCAAGGCCATGGCAAGCTGGATCTGCTCAGAGCCTACCAGATCCTCAGCAGCTACAAGCCCCAGGCCAGGTTGGTGCGAGGCTTTCACAGCAGCCTTTCTCCTCCCTAGGTGCTGGTCCCCTCTGCACCCAGGACCCTGCCTCACATAGCTCCACTGAGCACTCAGCTGCTGCTGCTGCCTGGGCACTGGATAGCCAGAGTCCTGTTACTTTTCTGAGAAATTCATAGTTTGTTCAACTTTTTAAACTTTTAAGATAATCCTAGGTTTACAGACATTTTGTAAAAGTAGTTTTTAGTTACCATTTCCCTGGCTTCCCCAAATGCCAGCCTCAGTGGATCATAGTACAGCTGTTAAAAGTGATTCATCACCATTGGTACAGTACAGTCCTGCAGGGATCTGCAGCCACTTGCACCTCAATTTTTCCCTGTTGTCACTGAGACACAATGCCCAGCACCCACAATTTAAAGGAGGAGAGGTTTAATTTGCTCCTGGTTTCAGTCCACGACCCACTGGCTCTAGAAAAGAGACATGATGGAGAAAGGGTGTGATGGAGGAGAACTGCTTCGTTCATGGTGCCTGGGAGCAAGCCGGGGAGAGTGCCAGCGTGGAAGGGCCTGGGGCCAGACAGACTCCAAGGGCACATCTCTGACCCGCTGGACACACCTGGAAGTGTGCTCCACCAATCCCCTGCGGACCCCAAAGCCAATCAAGTTGAACTTCCACTCTAAGTGCCACACCCCTCGTGTTCCTTGTCTGGTTCAGGGTCCAGGCTCGGAGTTGAATGCTGTCATCTTGGTCTCCTGTGGCTGGCACTTTATCCTTTTTTTTCTCTAATACTAGGGATTGAATCCAGAGCCTTTGTAATGAGATATATGCCACTCCTCTTTTAAATTTTTGTTTTGAGATAAGCTAAGTCTCCAAGTCACTAAGTCACCGAGTTGCTCAGGCTGACCTCGAATTTGCAGTCCTCCTGCCCCAGCCTCCCGCAGTGCTGGGACTACAGGCTTGCACCACCATGCCCAGTTGGTTCATCTGTTGTTGTCATTCCTGACCTTGACTCTGATGGAGAGTGCCAGTCACTTAATGTGTAGACTCTTGATGTTGAGTTTATCTGATGTTTTCAAATAAGGTTCTTTTTCACCAAGAACATTTTTTTCACCTTTTATTTTAAAATGATTTTAGCTTTACAACAGAACTCCACAAGTAGTACACGAGAACCCAGGGAACCCATAAATCTTTCGTCTAGCTTTCCCTGGTGTTGGCTTCTTCCATCACCACACTGGCAGCCTCGTGGCCTGGAGACAGACCGAGTCGCGCTGGAGACAGCCACTGGCTGGCTTACCCACTGGCCCATGCAGGCCCTGTTTCTGCCCTGGGACCCCACGCTCCACTCAGTTGTCCTGTCTCCTTTATCTCCTCCATCAGGGCAGGGCCTCATTTTTCTTTGTCTTGTGCTAGTCCTATTAATTGTCAGTGTTAATGAAGATGATGTGTCGGTCCTGGAGCAGGTGCGAAGGTAGGCTGCAGTGGCCGAGAGAGGCACTGGTGTGTGTTGGGGGGCCCTGTAAGGGCCAGGGGGAAGGTGAGGCAGGGGGAGTTTGGGACTGTGGAACAGCTCTGCTGCCTGTGAGGGGCAGAGGGAAGAAGGGTTGGTGGGGAAGAGCCACAGACCGGGAATAGTTTTGGCTGCTGAGAAATCCTGGAACTGAAGCTGCCCAGTGGAGGAGTGCGGTGTCGCCCCACTCTGTGCTCGTTCACTGGCTGGAGCAGCCAGAGGAAGCACAGCCTTGTCACCCATGGGGCAGGATCATAGGGCAGGGCTGCATTGTCCCCAGCTGTGTCCTGCAGCGGCGGCCAATGGGCACAGCTGCTGCACTCCTCCCCTGGGCAGCGTCTGTTCTTGCTGGTGACTGTTGTGTGCTCTTCAGGACACACTTTGAGATGATCTTGTTTCTCAACAACTTGCACTCCTGATTTTAGCATCCACTGATGGCCTTTGCTTGCTGTGGTTACTACTGAGGAGTTTTACATGTGCTGGTTTTTGTTTCCTTTATTCTGCATTCATTTAATTGATAATTGGAATTGTGCTGGAAGGAAGAAGTACTTTCTCTACTACTTACTTAATTCAGTTATTTATATTGGTGTGGATATTTATTTTATTCTATGAATCATAATCTGTTGGCCTCATTGTTTCATTTGTTGCTCAAATTGTCCCAGCAATGGCTGGTGGGAGCTCCTTCCAATTGGCTTCTGTATCTTTTTAGCGTGTGTCTCCGTCTTTTTCTGAGCATTTTCTCTCCTGGGCAGCATAGGACATTTCACCATGTATTTCCACACTCCAGCTTTGGGTTCAGTTCTTCCCTTTAACTGAGAATGATATAATATTTAGAAACCAAGATGTGGGCACCAGGTGTGCTTTTAGCTGATGCATGTACTCACATGCGCACGCACGCACCGTCTGTACCTATTTCTGTATCTCCCTCTATATGTAGTTAACTAGAAACACAGTCACACTTTCCAGCCCACACCGTCATACTCATTCTAGCCTCCCACTCCTGTTTGGTGCTCCTTTCTCCAACAGGGAGAAGCCTGGCTCTCACCAGCCACGGTGCGTGTGCTGATTTGCACCGTCCCAGTGTGTACCTACCACGTTGTTTTAGAATTGCTAACCTGTACCCTTGTGAAGAACAGATTTACTAACAAGTACAGTATTTAAGAATGGTGCTTTAATCCTTGCCATTATAGACTAAAGGCATACTGTTTTCTAGAGTTACTTAGGTTAAGTCTTCTTGCTGTTCATTTTTTAATATAGGTGGGCTCATTTTAGTATTTGTTTTCCTTTCTGAATTTCCTCACCTCCTGGCAAATTTTATCCAGCCATTGAGTGTGTGAGATGTTCCCATGGTTGTCAAGTTAGAATTGTGCACAAAGGCAGACCCATTGTACCCCACAACCCCTTTCCTTGCTTCCACACTGCTTGTAATGTTTGTGTTTTTTTAAATGAGCAAATACACGGGAGGGTATTACTGTAGACATTCCTTTGCGCTTTGCCTTCTCACTTAATAATGTACTGGAAATCACTCTGTCAGCAAATAGAGAACTCCCTCCTGTTTTACAGCCACATTGAGTGAATGCACCATTGTTTATTCAACCCTTTATCTGTATATGAGTATTGAGGTTGGTTCTCTATTTTGAAGTCATAAGCTATTGCAATGAGTGACCGTGTGCCTTTTTTTGGAGGGGTTTCTTCCGGGTAAAGCCCTAGAGGTGGCATCGCTGGGTCATAGCTCTGCGCAGAGACAGCTTGTTAGATGTTGCATATCCCCCCTGAAGGCTGGTAGCAGCGTCTCATTCCACCAGCAGTGTCGGAGATTGTGTTGTATTTGTTACTTTTACTCCAGTTTAGTGGATGAGAAATGGTGTCTTTGTACTGTTTTAATTTAGAGTTCTCTAGTTTGAGTGAGTGGACTATTTTTCTTTCTTGTAAACTGTAGTTTCTTTTTCTTATTTTTCTATGAAATGTTTGGTCCTTTTGTTTTGAAGAGTTCTTTGTGTATAGTACTCCATGGCCAGTGATACATATTGTAAATCTTTCTCCCAGTTTGTCAGGTGTTTTGGTTTGGTTTTTTGAACTTACGTAAGAGGTTCTTTGCCTTGTAGTTTTTCCTTTTGTTTTTTAAAATAAATTAATGTTAGTCATTTGTTGTTGGTGCCTCTATTTTGAGTCGTTAGCCTTTCTCTGGACTGAGTGAGGTTAAAAGGAAATTTTCCCATCTTTTTTCTAATACTTGTTTGCTTTTTTGAGATCCCCTGATCTGTTTGAAGTTTATTCTAATGTGTGGTGTGAGGTCTGGGTCCAATTTATCTTTTAGCAAGTGGCTGCCGATTCATTACAGCTGTGTGTATTCAAAAGTCCGTCTTTGCCTCGGTGATGTGAAGTGCCGTCTTCGTCATGTTCTGACTTTCATGTGCACACTTGGGTCTGTCATGGGCTTTCACTTCCTGGCCACTGGTCTGCTGGTGTACATGTGTACTCCACACTGCGGTGATAGTGAAAGTTTTCCACCTCTTCATGGCTAACAGCACTAGTTCGCTGCCAGTTTTTTCAGTGTTTTCTTGGCTTTTATTTTTTTGTTTGTTTGGGGTTTTTTTCAGGGAAGGTGGTACTGGGACTTGAACTCAGGGACTCCCACTTGCCAGGCAGATGCTGTACTGCTGAGCTACCTCCCAGGCCCTCTTGGCTTTTCTTGAATGCTTGTTTTCTTCATGTGGATTTTCCTGTCAACTTACCTAATTCCTTAAAAGAAGCTTTTAATGCTGAGCAGAGAATATGTTTCCATTTGTTGAAGGCTTCCATGTATCCAGGTTGACCATTGCTTGCCTGTAGGTTTCACACATTTTTTGGTAAACTTAAGTGTTTATTCTTTTTGTTGTTGTTGTAGATAGCATTTTCGCTTCTATTCTCTATTAAGTCAGTTTTGTTACTGTTGGTTTTATATCTTTTGAATTACTGAGTGAGTTTTAGTATTAATTCTTTTGGGTTTTCTAGGTACTTTATAATGTGCCAAATGGAAATAAAGATAGTCTTACCTCTTCTTTATCAATTCCTTCCTGTAGTGCTGGCAGTTGAATCCATAGAACTGGGCTACATCCCAGCCAGTTTTGTTCATTTGTTTTTTTGGTTTTCCTTACCAGTTCTTAAGCCGTTATTGCTTTCTTCTGTCCAGCTGCATTGGTGAGGACCTGTAGCATCGTGCTGAATAGCAGTGGAGATGGTAGGCATCCCCGGATTGTTCTTCATCTTAGTGGAATTGCCTCTTGTATTTCTCCATTAACATGCTGGCTTTACAGCCAAGAAGTGTAATATTATCATAGTAGGGTATTATCCATCAGTTACTATTTTCTTGAGTGTTTTCATCAGGACTGTGTGTTCAGTTTTGTGGATTTTCTTCGGCATCTGTGAAGGTAACCATAAGACTAGTTTAGGCCAATTAATATGGCTTAAGCTATTAATGGCTTTCTAATATCAAACCAATCTCACATTCCTGAAATAAATCCCATTTGGTTGTCGTGTATTGTTTTCTTAATATGGTGTTGAATCATTTGCTAATGACAATTTCTTAGTTGGTTCTCTTTAGTTGGAGTAAACTGTTTACAGTGCACGAGTACCAGCAGAGTTTCCCGACGTGTGTCAGATAGAGCAGGTGCCTTTGCTGCCTCGTGCACTGGTAGCCACCACTCAGGAGTTTTAAACTAGCTTGGACCTATTTTAAATGACTGAATGTGACACATATTAATTATAACTGCTGATGAACGTCCTGGTATCCCTAAAGGTATTTTTTGGGTTTGTACATATTCACTTGGCCCTGATAAATGTTTGTTACTATCAACTAACCTAAAGTCCTGCTGGCATGTTGGTATTCACAGTAGGTGAGCCATCCTTAGTGAGGTGAAGCAGCAGAGCAGGGCCAGGTTCACGTGCTCCTGACTTTCTGGGCAGGGTTCTCTCGGGTCCCATCCTGTCTGAAGCACTCACCTCCCCCATGTCTTCTAACTGACCCTGGAGCTGCTAGGAATGTTGACCAGCACACATTCTTCTCAGGTGAGGGGAAATGGTGACGCAAACAAAAGCATGGGAGCACTGTGTCTGCTCCTCTGCACTACTTCTGTCTGGGTCCCAGGACCAGTACAGGCTCAGTGCTTTGCTAGAAGGACTCACAAGGTTCGGCTAAGATGAGGGTGTGGTTGTGCACTGCAGTGGCACAGTAAGGGTGTGGAGCAGATATGTAAAGGAAAAGGACACTTAGGTGCAGGGAGTGTGGAGAAATCCAGGCTTAGGCTTTCTTAGTGCCCTCCGTCATGCCCACCCCAGATCTCTCAGCTGGCCCCTCCCCCAGTAGCAACTGCATGAACACGTGTGTATTTCTGCCCAGGAAAGCCCCCTCTCCACTTTTTGAGCCTGAGGTTTCCATCAGGGCTGGTTGCACATGGATTGTCTGCCAGTCATAACAACTACCAAGGCCCCAGACCTGCAAGATGCAAGAGGTCGGTATCCCTGTGCACTGTGCTGTGCTGTTTGTACCAACGGTCTAGCAGACTGGCACAGAGCCTTATCGGCACAGGAGCACTGCACAGCTCAGTTCCCAGGTGCCACCCAGAGCAGCCGGGCAAGCACATGTTTCTGAAGTGCACTGACTGCTTCCTGCTCATGGCACTGTTCTCTGTCCTCCTCACTGTGGTCTGCGCTAACGCTGCATTTCTTGTTTCAGTCTGAGCCCCAGCTACATCGATCTGACCGAATGTCCCTACATGTGGCCCTATTGCTCCCAGCCCATCTACTATGGAGGAATGCCAACAATTGTCAATGTCACCATTCTCAATGGCATGGGGGTCACAGGAAGAATTGTGGATAAGGTAAAAAACTCTCAGACTCATTGGTGACTTAGATACGGCTCAAACCTTTGTGCCTTAGGTATCTCTGCTGAAGCTAAGAAAGGAAAAATGCTCCTCGCCTCTCTAGGGTCACAGCCATTGTAAGTGGTGGTTTCCCGTCCCTAATACCTGAACAAAAAGGTTAGGGCATAAGTTAAGGAAACCAGTTTCATTTTTTTGCTTTGACATGATGAGTTTGATTCTTCATATTTTATTCCTTAATAAGCGTGAATGGGCTGTCGTGTTTACAAGGTATGATCTTTCTTTTGAATTTTGCTTTTATAATTTTTTCATGACTTATTTTGTAGACATTATCACAACAGTAAGGGACTGGGGAAAAAGAGTGGGAAGAACTGACTTCTAGCCCCAGCATACTAATACAGGTCTGTTTTTAAAATATTTACCAATCCCTGACCTGAAATACATACTTTTTGTTATCTTTGTGTGATACATAAAAATTTACCATCTTTTTTCAGTTCTCGTTATGGTGTAAACCTTTAAAAATGTACCAGTGTACTTTTAGTGGTTTTTTAACATGATACTGAGTTGATAGATTATAATTTATTTACTGTTTTCCCTTGCTTGAGCAATTAGGTGGCTTTGAACTCTGAACATTTCATTATATTTGAGTGTATGGTTTCCTTAACATAAGCTCCCTGGTTTGGAATCCTGAATCAGAGAGTGTGAACACTTGCCACATACAAACAAATTCTTTCCAAGAGAGTTACGTCAGCTCAGACGGCTGCTGGTATTTGGAGGGAACATGTCTCTAGCATGTCTGTATTGATGGTACAGCTATCTCTTTTACTCTTTTATTTCATGAGTTTTGTTAAAAAATGTACATGTAATTTACATACCATAAAATTTAGCCTTTTAAATTGTGCGATTCAGTGGTTTTTAGTATATTCACGAGGTTGTGCCAACATCTCATTTCAAAACATTCCCATCGCCCCTTACAGAAATGTTGTACCCATTAAGTAGCAGTCACTCCCCATTCCTTTCTCCCCTGGGCCTGGCAGCCACTAGTCTGCTTTCTCTGTCTGAGTTTGTTCGGCATTCTTTATGTGGATGGGCTCGTATGGCATTTGTCTTGTGAGTGGCTTCTCATTGGGTTCATGGTGAGTGCTTCGCCCCTTTTTATGGCTGAGTACTACTCCACTGTTGGAGTGGGCGTTTGGCTTTTCCAGGTGCTGTGTCTTTTGACTTCACATTTAGAGGGATAGGCACTCTTTCAGTTATTTGTGAGGTGGATCTCTCCATGTGAGATTACTGATTATATTTCCTCTGTTTGAATTCCCCTTTTTGTTGGCCCATTTTTATACTGGGATTGAGATTTTTTCCATCAATACTAACTGTCATAGAGAAACTAGACATTGATATATTTTATACAAAAGTTCCTGCCAGGTTCTTTATCCTTTTGTAAGAATTTATATTTTGATGTAGTTGCACTTTCTTCTTTGGTGATTTCTTCTATTGTTGCAAAGATTAAAAACTTGTCCCCACAGAGACATATATAACCTGTTTTTAATTTTTTAAATAATATAATCTGTTTTAAATTTCCACTAATTTTCCTGTTAAATACTGCATTTTTTCCACCTATGTTAGTTTGCTGTTTGGCGTAAGAGATGGGTGAAAGTTGATCTTTCCCAGTTTCTAAGCAGTAGCCCTGAGAGCACTCATTAAAAACCCCTTCCCTTCTCACTGTTGTGATGCTGTATCCTACAAATATTTTTCTTTCCCAGATTTTTTCTTTTTTTGATATACTGATTCACTTGGGGAGTATGTTCTTGCTCTGTGGCTTTTGAGGGAAATGAGTAATTTAGGTTCATTTGAAATATTGGCAATTATAAGAGCAAATGCATGTTTCTTCCAGCTGGTCTCACTCCTCACTCCGCTTTCCTCTGATCTCAGAAGAACAAGGGCAGTCAGACCACAGCCAGGCCTGCCCTGTCTGCATCATCCCCTCACTAGATTCGGGATTTGGTTAGGGACAATCGATGTTCATGGCATTTGATGCTTTTCAATTAATGGATTCTTTCAGTATACAACTAACTGCCATCTAAGAGGTTTCATTTGTATAAGTTCTTTTTTTTTTTTTTTTTTGAAACAGGATCTTACTCTGTAATTTAAACTGGCCTTGAACTCATTGTGTAGCCCCAGGCTGGCCTCTAACTGAAGGCAGTCCTCCTGCCTCAGCTTTCCGAGTGCTGGGATTACAGGCATGTGCCACCATGCTCAGCTGAGATAAGCTCTTTAATCAGAATTTTCATCAAAGAACTTGGCATGTGTCTCTCATTCTTTATTGGGGGGGGTTCTGTGAAATTGGAGAATAAAATAGTGGTATCTGCATACATTTCATCTTTCCCAATGTAATGAAGTACAGAATTTCTCGAGAGCTGATGTAGATAGTGGAGGAACTGAGCTTTACCTGGTGCCCAGTGTTCCTGCTATGTGCCTTCACTTCAGCCTGGCCTGTTTTCTTTCTCCTGCAGCCTGACTGGCAGCCTTACCTGCCACAGAATGGAGACAGCATTGAAGTCGCTTTCTCTTACTCCTCGGTGTTATGGCCTTGGTCAGGCTACTTGGCCATCTCCATTTCTGTGACCAAGAAGGCAGCTTCCTGGGAGGGCATTGCCCAGGGCCATGTCATGATCACGGTGGCTTCCCCAGCGGAGACGGAAGTAAGCAGAGCCAGAAGTGGCTTGTTTTCTTTCACCTTTTACTGTCCAGGGAGGAGGGGCATCCTTAATGCTGGGATCTCAGTTTACAGTGCAGTGGACGGACAGGGTAAGCTTTGCCGCCACGAGCAATGGTCCAGGGCCCCCGAGCAGTGGAGCTCACCACCAGCTCTGCTGATGGGACCATGCTGCTGTTCTCGGTGCGGCACCAGGGATGAGCTTGTTGGGCAAGATTTCGGGCTCAAAATGAGGGCATTGGAAATGGCCTTCTCTAAAAGGAAATGTAGGGTCATCCTCTGTAGCTCTCATTTTTTGGAACAAAGGGCCTTAAATTTTGTCTTCAGCTCTTAAGAATTTGAATGGAATGTAGCTGTGGCATGTGAACCTTAAATCATACACATATGTGTTGAAGTTCTCATGTTCAAATTTTGTGTGGTAAATAGAAATGACTTCTTTAAACCTGAAAACCTTGGAGGTTTTTTGTTTGTTTGTTTGTTTTTCTGAGAAAAGGAGACATTTCAAGTCTGGGATTTTTTTTTTTAAAGTCAAAAATTGGTGCAGAACAGACATCAACGGTGAAGCTCCCAGTTAAGGTGAAAATAATTCCTACCCCACCCCGGAGTAAGAGGGTCCTCTGGGATCAGTACCACAACCTCCGATACCCCCCTGGCTACTTCCCCAGGGACAACTTGAGGATGAAGAATGACCCTCTGGACTGGTAAGTGGCCACCATGCTCAGGTGCTCTTTACCCCTCCTTCCACTTGGGGCTGAGTGCCCGCATCCCTGCCACCTTGTCGTGCTCTGAGGACACCCAGCCTCCTCCTTTGAGCTGTTCATAAGTATAGTTGAGTAAAGTGAAAACCTTGACGTCCCCCTCTACTGATGTCTGTCCCTGACTTCTCCCATTAGTCGACCAGCACATCTGATCAGTCCCACGGTCAAGCTGTTGCCAGCCCTTCCCTGTGTGGCCTTCTCCTCCGCCCCTAGCTGAAGCCACACATTCCTCTCTCGGCTCCTGGTGGGTCTCATACTATTGGTTTTGTTCCCCTAAATTCCATTCCATTTCATGTTTGAAAACAAACCACAGTTTTCAGTGATAGTCAATAAAGGGAGCCTAGGTGTGAAAGCACAGACTCCATCATGATTTCCTTCATTCTCTAGTGACTGCCTCTTCATACATGTTCATATGGCCAGACCCCCTGGGGTGAGTTGCATGGCCCTCCTGGGGACGAGGCAGCTTCCTTCCCAGCCCTCACATGGCCTGGCTAGCTGCTGACCCATGCCAGGCTGCTGGGCTGACTCTCTCTTGGCCCAGAAGCCAGGCACATTTCTGTTGTCCTCCTCTGGGCTCAGCACCGTGCTCCTTCAGAGATGGCCAGGTAGGCCTCTGTTGGGAGTGAAGATAGCTCATTTCAGTGCCCGGCTTACTGCCTTCCAGGAACGGTGACCATATCCACACGAACTTCAGGGATATGTACCAGCATCTGAGAAGCATGGGCTACTTTGTGGAGGTCCTCGGCTCTCCCTTCACGTGCTTCGATGCCACGCAGTATGGTGAGCAGAGGCGGTGTGCTGGCCAGATGTTCTTCCAGCCTGAGTCGAATGTGTGTGAAGTGTTTGAAAACGAACCACAGTTTTCAGGGACACGTCAATAAGGAGAGCCTGGGTGTGGTCTCCACTTCCTGCTGGAGGTGGAGAGCAGACCCTGAAGACCTGCATACCAGTTGCAGGTTTGGGCAGTGACAGTTCAAATACAGATGTGTCCCATTGATTGGGAACAGGGACAAAAGAAGCTCTAGAACTGTATTTTGCTCCTTGAATAAGTGAAAATTTTTAGAGTGAGCACAAATGAAAACCAAAGACCACAATTCACTGTTCCCTGTGTATGGCCAGGCTCTGATTCTTTTATTTTTCACCCTCTTCTATGGTGGTACAGGGTGGCACAAACCAAATTATAGAAGCCATTAACTTGAGGTATGGATCCCGGTAAAATAATGTCTTTCTAAAACAGTGACATCCTGTCATTCAGAGGTGACAGTTCTCAAACCTTGGCACTTTGTCCCTCAGGAACTTTGCTAATGGTGGACAGTGAGGAGGAGTACTTCCCTGAGGAGATCGCCAAGTTGAGGAGGGACGTGGACAATGGCCTTTCGCTTGTCATCTTCAGTGACTGGTACAACACTTCTGTTATGAGAAAAGTGAAGTTTTATGATGAAAACACGAGGTAGGCAGAAGTTGGCATTTGGATAAAAGCATGACTTCAGGGGAATTAAATTTTACCTAGCAAGTACTTTGTGACTCTCTGGCCTGCTAGTGGTCTTTCTAGGCAGCAGACAACATGAGTGGAAAAGCTCTGTGTATATTCAGGAGAAGGCTGCTCATAAAGTAAGATGCTGGTTGATCCCAAGTGGTAATTTACAGGCCCATTGTCTTTCTTTATTGATCTTAGATACAAGGACTTTTAGCTTTTGTTTAGTTTTCTAGCCTCCCATCTCTCATTACTGAATATGTGCAAATTGAAATGCACCAAAGGAACTATTATTTAAAGAGCACTACTCGTTAGTTAAGTATTGACCAAGGATTCCTAGTGTGTTGCAAATATGTCATCTTTATAATATACTTTGAATTTTTCTCTTTGGAGTCTGTGACTTTAACTTATATAAGCTTCTTTCTTATTTACTTTGGTTCATTGATTCTGGCTAGGTCTGGTTATATGTGGTGCATTTCAATGAAGTAGAGTTTTAGTTCATTCAGTGAAGCCGTACTGTATTCTGTACATTGGCTGAAGCAAGTTATGTTTGCAGTATTTCTGAAACCCAGACAGCTGGTTTCAGTTGACATTTTCATGTGGATGAATGGACTGGATTGTGGCAGGAGACATTTAGCTTTGTCATGGAAAGATAAAGTATGCATTGGGGGTTTTTTTGGTTTGGATTGGTTTGGTTTGGGATTTTTTGTGGAACTGGGAATTGAACCTAGGGTCTTTGCCCTGAGCTACATCCTCATTTTGAGACAAGTTCTCACTAAGTTGCCCAGGCTGGTTGTGACCCCATGATCCTTCTGCCTCAGTCTCCCCTTGTGAAAGTGTTTTAATTCTTGCCCTCTGTGTGCTCTTACTACCTTCATAGGCAGTGGTGGATGCCGGATACTGGAGGAGCCAACATCCCAGCTCTGAACGAGCTGCTGTCTGTGTGGAACATGGGGTTCAGTGATGGCCTGTATGAAGGGGAGTTTACCTTGGCCAACCATGACAGTAAGGCTTTGTATTGTATATAGAGGGTGCTGCTCCTGGGGAGGAGGAACACAAACTGAAGTCTGGGGTTCAGAGAGAATGGTGTATTATTCGATAAGCTGGCTAGAGCTAAGTCAGCATTTTCAGAAGTGCTTCTGTAACAGTGTCAGCCGTTCAAGTTTTGTCTTGGTGTTTAAAATGAAAATATTTTGTATAAGCATTCTAATTTTAGTACTGCCTGTAGGATCTACATTATATATATATATATATATATATATATATGTTCTCAAATGGGAACTACCTCCTAGGTTCCTGGTTATTTTTTAAATTCTGTTTATGAAATAACTTTACATATCCCATTTAAGAAGTTTCTCCACAGGTAAGTTTTTGGTTCTAGTTTCTAGAATAATGTCTTGAACACTATTAGTGGTTTCGCAAGTACTGATTCAGGCTGTTTTGAGTCTCTGACTTTTCTGACTTACAAGGTCTGTTCAGAATCCTTATTTTACAAAAAAAAAAAAACCAACGAAATCATTGGGCCGGGAATTTAGCTCTGGTTTCACCGCCTGCTGTGCAAGCTCAAGGACCTGAGTTTGATCCCTGGTACCAAAAAAACCCCAAGAGAATCCCTATTCTAGTAGTATTTTTTTACTTGAATTTTGAGACAGTTATTTGTAGTGTAAGTGTGATAGGCAATAGCAGCTTCTCTCTTAAGATTAAAAACAATCTTTAAAAATATACGATGTCTGAAGAATGTGTTTTGGATAAATTGGGTAGCTGTGGATCGAAGTGTTCCTTGTTTCTGTAACTTTGACCATCTGTTTTCCAGTGTACTATGCTTCAGGGTGCAGCATTGCTAAATTTCCAGAAGATGGCATAGTGATAACACAGACTTTTAAGGACCAAGGTAAAAGACACTGCTCATAGGCTCTTTGGTTCCTTTTTCTCTTCCTCCCTCACTCATCTCCTATTCTTGGCTTCTTTTTTTTTTTTGGACCGGGGATCAAACTCGGGTCCTTGTGCTTTCAAGACAGGCGGCAAAACCACTGAGCTAAATCCCTGCCTTCTTGGCTTCTTTTGATAATAGCTTTATTCTATAGAATTTACATTCTGTAATGCCTTCTAAAGTATTCAATCTGGTTTTCAGTGCATGCACAAAATTGCACACCGATCACAGTCTGCCTCCTGACCCAACTCCCACCCTAGAGATCCAGTCAGTTCTGCTTCCTTTTGAAACTCACTGCAGTGCTGTATGGTGCCTGTCCTAGCGTGGCTTCAGCAGGGCTCATTAGAGGAGGCAGAGGTGGGCAGCACAGACTTGTGCTGACAACTGGCGTGTGCGTGTATAGTGACCACTGCAAAAGAAGTAGAATAGCTGTGCACAACTGTTTGTTTCTACATGAACTGTTCTGCTTCTGATTGTCAGATGATCAGAGAACATTTTGACTGTTTTGAAGTTCTTAGCTGTATAAAGATATAAAAACATTAATTATAGAGTAGCCTCTAAAATTCTCAAGGTATGTTCCGTTCAGTACTGCTTCAGCTGTAGGCAGACATCAGTGTCTGTGACAGCACTGAGTGCACACAGCCCACTTGGTGAGCCGGGGCAGGATGGGCCACCTCTGCCTTTGAAAGCCAGGGCAGGCCAGTAGTGCAGAGAGGAGCCCAGGACATCCTTCCTGTGCCTTGCTTGAGGGCTGCTGTTCTGAGCCATGAGGGTCCTCTCCTCTCTCTCACAGGCACAGTGAGGCTGTTAGGTGCCCCAAATGACAGCCCTGTGGAAACCTGCAAGGCGATGGTGTGTGTTTCTGAATGACAAACCTCTGGCATTGTAAAGATTGCTATTTTCTGTGATTGAGAAGAATAGTTTTATTAGTTGAAAATGTAGAGCTTTAGGATTTCTCAGCTTATCTATCTGCAGTTCCAAGGTGGAACTTTTATTTGTATTACCTAGAAGGTTTTCCCTTCCTTTCATCAAAGCAAGGTCAGTTGCTGAGCAGATCTGTAGTTCCTAGGGTTCTGTTTTTTTGGAGTTTTTTTTTTTTGGTACTGAGGATTGAACTCGGGACCTTGTACTTGCGAGGCAGGCAGCAGAACCACTGAGCTAAATCCCCAGCCCCAACCTAGGGTTCTGTTTTAACCTTAAGCACATAGCGACCTTGTCTTCCAGCCCTCGGCACAATTCCCTGTGGTTTGGTGCCTCTGTTTAAAAGCAATTCTCGGGCCGAGGGTTTAGCTCAGTGGCACCGCACCTGCCTCGCAAGTGCAAAGTCCTGAGTCCGATCCCTGTTACCAAAAAAACAAAACCAATTCTCACAGGCAGCATCAGTGCAGGCAAGGGTTAAAAGGGTGGTCTCCTGGTTTGCTGCCTTGTGGCCACTCATTGTTCTGGTGGTGGTATGGGGGGATCAAAAGTAGATACGAGGATGCATATTTTATTTTGTCATTCTGGTATAGTCTGAAACTAAAAATCAGTTGCCTTGATGGGGTGAATAATCATTTGGGTGCAAAGTAGAACTTTGAAAACCCAGGTCGTGCTGGATCAGAAAAGACCTAGTGTCAGAAAAAAACCCACATCAAGCCGCGAGGCCAAATGACAACACAGTGCACATCTTCCCTGCTGGGTCTTCCTCCTTCCAGAGATTATCGTGCTTTTTCCCCCATTAGCTCCTAGTGAAATGATACACAGTGGACAGCAGTGTTACACTTATGTAGCTGCAGACATTTTAGACTGTATTGACACAGAGAGTACTGGTTTCTGATGCAGCTATGCATCATTTGCCAGCACTAAGGAAAGCATCTGCTTTAAGGGTAGAGATCCTGGGATTCTGTGAGGATAGCTGCTGCCCATGGCATTTGTATATTTTTTGCTTGCTGATTCAGTAAACATTTTAGATTAGTGTCATCTGTTAGGGCAAAGATAAGAATAAGAAGGCTTTGCCATTGGAAGTTCATATTTGTGAAATTAATGTAAAGTTCTTAAAATCTAAATTGAAAATAGTATGTGGATATACATTTTAAAAATCAGTTACGGTTGCCAGGGATTTAGCTCAGTGGTTCCGACGCCTGCCTCGCAAGGGGAAGGACCCGAGTTTGATCCCTGGTACCAAAAAAAAAAAAATGAGTTACGTTTGTACTTGCCTTTAACAATAAACACAACACCTCTGTTGTCAGTCTGTGTAACTGTTCAGTTGAGCAAGAGCTGCTGGCTGGCTGCCCCTGGAGAGCAGGTCCAAAAGCACCTTTCAGCATAATAAGAAAAATAGAAGTTTGTTTTTTAGGATGAAAAAGAAGTTACATCTTTAAGATTGTAAATATAATGTGCTGCTGTTTAAAGTGAAAATGAAAGAGAGTGAGTACAGCAGTGCATGCAGAGTGAATTCTGCTAAAACCAAAATTAATAATACTTAAGATAATGCTTTTCTGCCTTAAAAGTTTGCACTGTTTTGACTGAATACTATTAGATTTTGCTTTTTTTTTTTTCTGGTCCTTTTGATTAAATCTCAAGTGGCAACTAAGAAATCTTTCTTCAACCCAAAGGCTCATTACTGCCTTGTGTTGTTTCAGGCTTGGAGGTTTTAAAGCAGGAGACAGCGGTCGTTGAAAATATCCCCATTTTAGGACTTTATCAGACTCCAGCTGAGGGTGGAGGCCGGATTGTGTTGTATGGAGACTCCAATTGCTTGGATGACAGTCACCGACAGAAAGGTACGAGAAAAGCAAATGGGATTTAGTGACCTGGGCACACAAATGCCTTCTTCCCTTTGTGCCTGGAAAAGCAGTGACAAAATGCTGGTGAGTAAACAGACATCTGCTCATGCGAGCTGGGGACAGCTCAGGAAGTTCCAGTGGCTTTGATGCTTGGAATATCTTGATGGCATTTAATAACCAAAATAAGCCTGCCTTTGCAAGTTGCAGTGCCCTCCTCCATCTTCCAGTCCCATAGCCAGTGGCCGAGTGTCACCACACTGAGTGACTCAGGTTCTGCCCTTCCTGGACACCCCCCTCAGCTCACCGGTTATGTGCACCTCGGGGCTGCAGTGACATGTGACGTATGTACCCTGTTCTGGTCTGAGCTGGTCTTCAGGCCATACTGCCCAGAGGCCTCTCCCCTAGCTGTGCCCCAAGACCTACAAGCCTGGGCTGTTGAGACCCTTTCTCTGTGAGGCTCTTCTGTTATATTTTTAGGGGTACAGGGGAGGAAAGGGGCACTGAACTCTAGAGCTCTTCTGCTCCTCATTGCCAGCCTCCTTTGGTGAACCTTCCCAAGGTGGGGGGTTGGAGCTTAGACACAGACTGTTTATTTTCCTGATTTTGTGAAGGAGGAAACAGTGGTGAAAGTGTTATGTGTGTTTATCTGGTGAGATGGTGACAAAACCAGAAGAGAACCTGACTTTGAGGGACTGCTGGAGAGGGGTGGGTGGGGAGGTAGCAGGTGAGGGCCCATGGACAGCAGGCAGCTCCTGTGGGAAGCAGGTCTCGGGTGGGCGAGGAGAGCTGAATGTTGTACCTCTCTCTGACTTTAAGGTCTGGTTGACTAAACTCCAGTCATTTATGTAAATCCTGAGAATATGATTGGTCTTTTTAAAATAAAAAATGAGAGTTAAAGTCACAGTTGAAAGAAGATTAATGTTTTATATCCACAGAGATTGTCTTTTAAATTCTGAGATCTCCTGGTAAGAGTCTTTATTAAAATTTTAAATACCTAAGAGACTGTCCTCGTCTTTAAATTTCAAACAGGAGCTTTTAGGATCTTTCAGGGCCTTCCTGCACTTGACCAGAGTGCTCTTTTGAGAAAGAAAAGCGCTTTGCAGCGTTTTCCTCTCCTGATGCTCATGTCATCGTAGGTGGTGTTGATGAGCTGGGCAGGCAGGCTGGGGAGAGCAGTGTGCAGGCAGAGTTCCAGCCTGGTACAGCAAGGGGCCATCCAGTGGCTCTCAGTGGGGTTTGTGGACAGTCTGGAGCCTCAGCTCCAAGGTATCCCCAAAGAAGAATCACCCACTCTGGCCAGGACCCCCTGATTCGAAGGCCAGCCCAGATTTTTGACTCTGCTGTGTGCCTACCTGGAGCCCATGTCCCTGTGGTGTGTCCTCACGGTGCGAATCAACTTCCTGCCCTCCGGAGTACTTCTCGGACAGTGGCAGAAGCTGAGAGGCTGTTGTGCCCTCCTCTCTTCCCCTTTTCCGTGGCGCCCCTGCTTTCCAAGCTGTTCTTTCCTCAGTAGGAGACACGTGCTCTCGCCAGCACTGAGCTCCATCCTGTCCTGGTCTGGGAGGGGCCCACAGCAGTTGGCCCAGCCCAGTGACAGTGGCAGGAACCTGCCTGGAGCCCTAGGCACTGGGAGTGCACCCGCCGTTGGCCAGTACTGGTGCATGCTGACCGGAGTGGGCTGTGATGCCTGCTGTGGAGAGTCTGGTCCCACGAGAATGGGGGACCTAGTGTGAGCCAGGGTTAGTTTAATCTCACTTCTGAGTCCTAGATACCAGCTTCCCCTTCTTTTAGGGAGCTAGCTTTCTTTTATTTCACTGTAGAGATTCCTTTTTCTAAAACTGGATTCCTGAACAGCATGCCTGTTACCCGCAGACTGCTTTTGGCTTCTGGACGCGCTCCTTCAGTACACATCATACGGGGTCACCCCGCCCAGCCTCAGCCACTCGGGGAACCGGCAGCGCCCTCCCAGCGGAGTGGGCTCGGCTGCTCCCGAGAGGATGGAAGGTGAGTAGCCTCCCGGTGGCCTCATTGCTGCTTCAGGAAGTGGGTTAGCGGGGATCATGGACGGCGTTTCTTAGTGGCTGCTGGTGCCGAGCAGGCAGGGGCCCAGCCTCCTGCTCCCGGGGTGGGTGGACATAGGGCCCATGCAGCCAGCCTTCCCATGGTCACTGCTGCCCTCACAGGTAAGACGTCTGTCCCCAGGGTCTTCAGGAGCAACCACCACCATGCTTGGGCACTCACTGGGTACAGGCACCGAGCTGGGGTCCTTTTCAGGGATTAGCTCACCAACCCCTCCAGGAATCCTGTGGAAGCAGGTATTATCATTTCAGCTTACAGATGAATAATGTGGCTGAAGGGAGCTCAGGAACTGCCCAGGTCACGGGTAGATGGGCAGTGGAGCTGGAAGCTGGACCTCCAGGCCTGTGTTAGCGCTCTGGGGCCTCCACCCACTCTACACACAGCAGCCTAGGTCCCATACCCGCCCTGGCTACAAGTTCCAATCCTCCAAGCACTGTCTCTAGAAATGAATGTGATGTCATTTCAAACTTTCAAGGTTTCCAAACCTTAAAAAAAAAAAAAAGAAAAGTGAAATTCATTTTAATAGTATACTTTAGCACAGTACATCACAGATACCATCTAGACATGTGACACTGAGTACTTGTCAGTTGCTCAGTGGGCACATGTAGCTAGTGGCCACAGTACAGGGTGGGGCAGATCTGAGAGGATTAAATATTTCAGAAGAGAAAGATTTCTTTTGTGACCACATCTCTGGATTCCTTGAAGGTGGCCTTGTGTGTGGTGATGGTTAGCAGAGGTTGGCCGACCAGTGCCATGCGCACAGATGAGGAGGCTAAAGGGAACTGAGCTGGGTTTTCCGCACCCCTGATTCAGTGGGGAGGACACGTGCTCTCTGGGCAGCCCGTCAGGTGGGCCCGAAGCCTACTGGGGGATGGCTGCCAGGCCACAGAGGGCTCTCAGCAGGAAGCGCAGACAGGCACATGAGCCATGTTTCCTCCCTGTGTTCATCACAGTGACGGTTTCCTTTCTTGTTGACATTGCTGCTAACCACAGGAAACCATCTTCATCGGTACTCCAAGGTCCTTGAGGCCCATTTGGGAGACCCGAAGCCTCGACCTCTGCCGGCCTGTCCACACCTGTCATGGGCCAAACCACAGCCTTTGAATGAGACAGCGCCCAGGTCAGTGTCTGACTGCACTTCCTGTCCTTCTACAGGGCATATGACTCATTCTCTTTTTTAATAGGAGAGAATGGAATTCTACTGGCATTATTAGTGAATAATCAAATCATCTGGCTTGTCATTTTCTGGTGGTTTAAATTAGTGAACCCCCATCGTGACCTTTAGAAATATGTTCTTTGGTGGCATCCTGCATAAAGGAGTAAGTATTTGGAGCATCACCATTGTGTTGTTAGTCATCCCATATTTGAAAGCCATGGTCCAGCTGTGCTGCCACTGAACAGCAGTGGCTCCTGAGAGGTGCTGTGTGCAGTGACGCCCCATCCAAGGTGTCAGTACACATAGATCCCTGTGCCACCCCCAGGCTCTGGGTAGGTGTGGATCCTGCCACAGCAGCCCAGCCAGGAAAACTGTACCATTTGCTTCCTGTCTGGTTGTGTGGATGGTGGAGCACCTCAGTCTCAGGGAGGCCCTGACTTCGTCCACCAGTCATTGCATAGCTGCATGTGGTGCCAGAACATATTACTTGCTTCTCTGTCTCAGTGTCTAAGCCGACCTCTTGATTTACGTCATTTTCCTTCAGTTGCCAAAACGTGAATTATTGGTACTGTTGCTGCTGCGGCTCTCTTCACCCAGGCCAAGCCAGTTGTATCTGATTTCACCTCCTTTCTCTCGAGCCAAGGAAATGTGAGATGAATGGAGGCTTCTCCTGGCATGGTGAAGCAGGAACCAAGTATCGCAGTACCTACTTGCCCACCTCCTGACCTTTGCTACCTGGCACCCGCCACACACATCTAGCCATTGGTGGCCTCTGGAGAGGTTGCCTACCTGCCTTCTTTCCCTGCTCTTGAGGCTGCCAATGTGCTTGGGTCAGGGAGAGACAGGCCTGGGATGGCCATGGACAGACAGCAACCATCCACGCTGTGATGAGGAGGAGGATGCCCATGGAAGGCATTGAAGTGTTCTTGGCTTTACTGTTCCCACAGATAGGGGCCAGGGATTTAGTTCAGTGGTGCCGCCGCCTGCCTTGAAAGTGCAAGGTCCTGAGTTTGATCCCCAGTACCAAAAAAAAACAAAACCATTCCCATAGGCAGAAAGGGCTAATTACACCACTTGGTGACCACGTGCCTTCATTTAAAATAGGCTTGATATTGTGAAAGTTGTGGACATCACATTGTCTTCTCAGAAGCAATTTTCTTTGTGAATCCTTTAATTACTGAGTACTTTTCCATTCCACTTAATGTCCCATCATTTAAAACTTTGGAGATGTTTCTGTTTTTGCATCCTATTTATTTATAACCCATTACTATCCTAGCATGTAGATCAGACTTAAAATTCCAGACATAGCAATTCATACCCAAAGGACAGTCTAAGCGTTTGCTGAAGTTCCAGAGAACAAATTATGCTCAGAGTGTTGTCCAAGACTCTGAGAAACAGATAGCAGCATCCTTTGCGATCCATCTGTCTACGTCAAATAACCCTTCAAAAACTGAGCCCATCAAGGGTGCAGATAACGCACTACTCCTGAAATTTAATTTTGACTGTCGTTTTCAGTAATTTCTTTTCCTTAATACACTGCCACGTTTCACATTTGTCTCACATTTCACATCTTGTTGAAGATTATTCCCAGTCCTCAGAGACCTAGATAGAGGCATATTCTGAATCTCTAAAAGTCATTTTGAGACCAGCTTTGGATAGCTACAAGCAGCCATGGGCCATGCTGAGGGCAAAATTCCATCTTTGAAAATTAAGAATTTTCTGGGGCCGGGATTTAGCTCAGTGGTTTCTGCTGCCTGCTGCACAAGCACCAGGACCTGAGTTTGATTGCCCTAAATAAATAAATAAATAAACAAATAAATAAATTTTAAAAATGATGAATTTTCTGATATTTCACTGAATGTCAGATGTCCTTACTTAAGAGTCACTGTCTGTGGGAGTGTCTCTGGAACCCCTGTTTGGACAGACCTCTGTCTTTGCATCGTGTACTGTGAAATTCTCTCAGGTGGCGGCACAAGGGTGCTGTTAGGATGACTGCTCCATCAGGAAGTGCCATCACCAAATGATTAAAATGGACAGCACTACTGGAAGGACAGCGTAGCCCACTGCTGAAAGGACTGACGTTTTTACCTTCCCCTGGCCAAGGCAAAGGCGCAGGCCAACGGTGTGCCAGGGAATAAACAGCACAGACAGGGCTGCCCTCGTTGCAAATGTTTCCCCTTGGGTTTCCATTTGCACCCTTTGCTGTAACCGAGGCGTGTTCCCAAGCTATCTGCTGCCATTGCCGTTCCCAGCAGGGAAGCTGCTGGGCTCTGCAGTTCTCTTCACATTGGCCCAAACAGGTTCCTCCGTGGGCTCACGGAACGCCCAGGTTCCACCACATGATGGTCACCCAGCCCACAGTGGGGTGGGCACGGGCTTCTGCACATTCACTCACCCTCTCTGGACTGGCCCCCTTGAGGACGTGATGACGTCTGGTTCTCAGCACCCATCTGCTCCTGAATGTGGTGGCTGTGGGGTCCCTTTTGCTGGTTTGCTTTGTGCTCATCAGAAAGCAGGTGTGACCGCTCTGGCACCTCAAGGAGAGGACCTGGTGCTGCCCTGCAGTCCCAGCTGTGTCACTCACCTGGCTTCAGCTGCTCCGTGCTCCCCAACTGGCTTCTCAGGTTGCTTGGCGATGTGTCCAGCAGCGAGCTGTTGTTGGCAGTATTATAAACCCAGTGGGACAGACCCCTTCTGGGAGCACGGACTTGACGATGACATTTCTGCCTCAGCACCTGGAAGTGGCCCCTTGCTCTGGTTGCTCCACAGTGGCAGTGAGGCCCAGAGAGATGGAGATGCCCCAAGGCACCGTCTAGATCACTTGCTATTTCTTAGGCATCTCCAAGCTTCCTAGGCTGGTACAGTTGCTTATCTTTATTTTGTTTTAACCCCATTTCTCTCAAGTAATCTTTGGAAACATCAAAAGTTGCTCTCCATCGACTTGGACAAAGTGGTGTTACCCAACTTTCGATCGAATCGCCCTCAAGTGAGACCCTTGTCCCCTGGAGAAAGTAGTGCCTGGGACATTCCTGGAGGTGAGGCTCAGGAGCTTTGTCATTGTGCTAAATTGTTCTGTGTTTGTCCCCTCAGGAGTGGACCAGGCCCTTTGTGTCCGAACCGTCCTTGGTGGTTCTGGCTTTCTGTATAGTATAAATCAGCAAGGCCAAGGGCAGGTCAGGATGAAGACCTTGTTTCTCTAGGAAAACTCTGCACAGACTTTCAAACTTCAGTTTCTTTTATATTAGCCAAGTGATACATTTACATTTTTCTGGAGTAACTTGCACCTTCTGAAAATTTTGCAGTCATGTATTATGAACCCTAGGAGTGCCTGTCCTCTGATGGTTTTGTAGTGGCCTTGCTGGTTCCCCAGGTCTCCGGTTCTCTGCCCTAGCTGTCTGGGATGGCTCTTGACGAAGCTGGGGTGACATATCCTGTCCCCTCCCCATAGACTGCCTTTGGTCTGAATCGGCTGCTTGGGCCGCCACCTTCCTCTGTAGCTGGGATGATTGGTACCGGATCACTCAAGCGAGTGTGGGCAGCCCCTCTGCTCTGGACACCACCGCAGTGTCTGGGTTCGGTAATGACCCCAGCTTATGTAGCCCAACTCTGGGCACTCCTGAGGTCCTTGTGTGTGAGTCACGGGGAGCACTGACGGTGGGAGCTCAGGAAGCCTTGGAGTGGCCCAGTTACAGTCCCTGACATTCTAACCGAGGGTCCTCCAATGGCCACTCAGCTTTTCAGCCACACGCCCCATCCATGGAGACCACCTGTCTGACCAGGGGACATGGCACGCGGTCCTCACTACCTCTTTCTTCCTGCCGCTCAGCTAAGTGGGACTGGAGCATGCCCCTCTTCCTCCCTGGACTGAGGCTTGGCGTCCTGTTGGTGTTAGGAAAACAAAGCACCTCTCTGGGCCCCGCTGTTGTAGGCTGTCCGTGTCTGCAGGGAGCCCGGGAGGAGCAGCAGGTGCCCCACCCCGAGCCCACAGTGTTGCTGGCCTGGTCACTGCGACCGAGGTTTAAAGTGAGGTTTGCACTGCAAGCCTGAGCGGTAACCTGATTCGTAGAAGAAGGCTTCATTGATGGCACTGACACTATTGACCATTCCCTGTCCTCTCGCAGGGATCATGCCTGGCCGCTACAACCAGGAGGTGGGCCAGACCATCCCTGTCTTCGCCTTCCTGGGAGCCATGGTGGTCCTGGCCTTCTTTGTGGTGCAAATGAACAAGGCCAAGAGCAGGCCAAAGCGGAGGAAGCCCAGGGTGAAACGCCCGCAGCTCATGCAGCAGGTTCACCCTCCCAGGACCCCATCCGTGTGACACCCGCCCTGGCCGTGTGAGCCAGAGTGCCTTCCAGGATGGCTCTGGTGGACAGGCAGACCCTTCGAGGGTTTCCTGGGATGGCCTGGTCTTCATCTGTGGCTCCAGCCATTGGTCTGCACGAGCCTCCCCTGTGATGCACCCAGGCCTGCAGTACGTCTTGAAATACGCCATGGCCAGGGACCCACCTGGGGGAATCCGCTCAGCCTGGAGCAGCGTCGCACGCAGCAGCTCAGTGCACCAAAGACACGGAGGACTAGAAGGCTGTTGGCCTCGGCCCTGCAGGGGAGGGTAAGCTTTTTAAATAAATGAAACAACCTTGACCAAGTTAAGATACGCTTGTTAAAGGCTATTTTCTATATTTATTGTTGGGAAAAGTCACTTTAAAGACTTGTGCTGTTTGGAAGCAAAACTATTTTTTTTGTCAATGGAATGCCGTTTTGTACTATTCCAACATGCAGAGTCACAGATCCATCCGTCATCTCCTTTGTGATGAGAGGGCAGACAGATCTGAAGAAACAGACCTTCGCTTTATTTTTATAAGTATCAACTGCCACCATGTTTTGTAATTTGGGGTCTTGGTTTCACCGTTGTTGGTGAAGAAAATTTTTAATAAATATGCGTTACCTGTATGAAGCTGGGAAGTGTTGTGTAATGGCTCTTCTTCTGCCTGTCCCATTTGTCCGAAACAATGTGGAATGAGTTCCGAGTCAGCCTGCTGACGTTTTTTGTTTGTTTTTTGTTTGTTTTTTGTTTTTAATTGAGACAGACATTTCCATTTCTTACTTATTTATTTATTTATTTTTGGTACTGGGAACTGAGCTCAGGGCCTTGCACTTTCCAGGCAGGCGCTGTGCCACTGAGCTGTATCCCCGGCCCAATCTCCATTTTAAAGTGTACAGTTCAGTGAGTCTCAGCGTATTCACTGGAGTATGCAACCATCACCACTCGCTTCCCAACTCCACAGTGTTTCCAGGGTTCCCCAGAACACCCTTGTGCCATTAGCACAAACACCCGCATGCTGTCCCTACCCCCCAGGGCCTGCCAGCCAGGCTCCTGGGCATGCGACTTCAGTGGATCCACAGTATGCAGTCCTCCCAGCTGGCTTTCCCCATGTCAAGTCCCCAGGGCTCATCATTCCTCCTTATGGCTGAGCATGGTCCCGCTGTACAGATGTAGCACCAGCACGGCTTGTTTCTCCAGATCTTTCCTGCTCTTGTGAAGCGAGCTTCTGTGAGGTTCCTGTGTGTATTTTCATCCAGGAGTGATGTATGGTTCTGAGTTAACTTTCTGAGGAATTGCTGACCTTTGCTGCAAAGGGCCTGCACTCTTTTACACGCCTGCCAGGACTTGGATCCTTCAGCCCAGAGGTCCAGTTTCTCCACATCCTTGCCAACTCTTGTTATTTTCTCTTTCTCGTTAAAGACACCCCACCAAGGGTGAAGTGGCATCTCACTGTAGTGTGACTTGCACTTCCCTAAAAACAGGATATGGAGTATCTTTTTGTGTGTTCATTGGTCATTTTTTAAGAGTTGTCACACCCTCAGCCTCATGCAGTTCCTGGAACATATTAGGTCTTTGTTAATTTGTTGAAGGGTATCCTTGTCATTTGTGTATCTTTAGAGAAGTGTCGCCCTCTTTTAATTGGGCTGTTTACATCTTTATTCTTAAATTGTAAGAATTCTGTATGTATTTCAGATAAAATCCCTTAGCAAGTATTCTCTCTCATTCTCTGGGTTGTCTTTTCACTTTCTTGATGTTATCTTTTGAAACATAAAACCTTTGGATTTTGTTCAGGTCTGGCTGTTCTACTTATTTCTTGGTTGGTTGGGTCATGTCTGAGAAGTCATCACCTGACCCAAGGCGGCCTGTCCCTGTCATCCCTGCCTGACAGGTGTGTTCTGTGTGCCTCCTAGCCAGCGCTGCCCGCAGACACAGGGAGGGCAGAGGCCCGGGGTGTGACAGGGTGAGGCAAGCAGGAGGAAGTCGCAGAGGGGAGAGGGGAGGAGGGCCATTCCGGCCACCTTTTCCTTAGGGGTCCTCGTTGCTGGCAGGTCCCATGGGTCCCCGCAATGCTGGCTGCGTTAGTAGCTGCTGTTGCCTGCAGGACTTCCTAAGTGTTCCTGAGAGCCTGTAAAGCATTACTCCCTGTCAACACAGCCCCGAGGGTGTCAGAGTTTGGCACGGGGTCCAGTACTCATCATCAGCAGATGGACATGGATCCGAGTGTGGCCTCTACCATCCAAACGGGCAGTTGGCTGTGGAGCCCCTTGTCTCCCTGCCAGTCCTCCACAGGTGAGGGTCACTCACTGTCAGCCCCTCAGCACTGTGACAGCAGGGTCACCAGCACAGCCCTGGCATACAGGGCCAGGCGGGTCACAGGAGAGAGGAGAAGGGCAGCTGTTGGCCTGAGAGTGGACCATGCCTCTCCTCACTGTGCGGCATGCTCACCCTGCTCTGCAAGGGTCCCTCTTACCCCTACCGTGGACCCCCATTGTCTGTCCTAGTGAACAGCTGCATCTCTAAAAACTGAAAAAGAAGAATCATCCATCCTTAACCACAGATCCACCTGAGAGTCCACAGGGGATGCTGGGCTTCCTGTTATTCTCTCTGGTGAGTCAGGTAGGGCCCTGACCACAGGGACCTTTACAATGCTGCATGGGTTGAGGTGCCAGTGGTGACTCAGCAGGGTGCCCTGGCCCACCTCAGGTGGCCCGGTGTAGGGGACAGTCGAGTCCAGGCCTTTCCACACACACTTGTCCATGCCGCATTGTGCACAAGCACGTTCCCCTGCACCATCACTCGGGCCACCGCCCACAAGGACAGACCTCTAGAGGCCCGCCAGGCAGCAACTGCACTGGCACCTGCCAAGCACCTGCTTCTGGGCGTGAGCTGAGGTGCAGAGCAGGAGGCCCTCAGGTGTTCTAGGCCTGCAACCGAGATAATCCGGAGCCAGCTGGCATGAGCCCTTAAGCCCTCCATGCCAGGCGGGCAGAGGAAACCCAGTAACCAGAGGGCCCATGGATCTGGAGTGGCTGGACACAGAATGAAGAGTCAGGGCTTCTTGGAGGGCAGGCTGCCTGTTCTTACGTACACTCGACAGGCGTTTCCAGAGAAGTATCACAATTCTTGGTTTTTTTAAGGCCCACCCCGGTAGATCTTAATAGAGGGTACTGGTTTCATTTGCTGGTGATACAGAGGCATTGCAGGAAGGTGTCCTGGAAACATAGGACTTAGGGCTTGTCTCCCCAACCCCCAAGTTACTTCATTGGGAAGAACCTGAAAATGTGTTTCAAAGCTCCTCCAGGACAGAGTTACTGTACAGCCCAATGGTTCCACTCCTGGGCACCTTCCCAAAGAAAGGAAAGCAAGTGGACAATCAAAAACCTCTGGGAGAAAGTTCATGGCCGGAGCATGCACGGTGGCCAAGAGGCAGAACCACACTGGGCTGTCCGTGAATGCCATGGTCTCGGCAGACAAGTGTCCCCCTGCCGTGGCGGGGGAGTGGAGTCACAACCCGTGCCTCAGCGTGGTGAGGCTCAGACACAGTGCTGAGAGGAGGGAGAAGCCACAGTCCAGACACCACATCATCTTGTCTGATCGCGTTTCCACAACATGTCCAGAGGAGACAGACCCGAGAATACAAAGCAGGTCAGTGGTTGCCAGGGCTGAGGGCAGGAGCTTTCTTTCGGGGTGAGGAAAATGCTCGGGAATTAGGTAGTTGTGGCAGTTGCACACTATTGCGAGTATACTTCAAGCTACTACAGTGCATACTTGCCAGTGATTAAAATGGTGAGTTTTATACTAGTTCTGCCACTTTTCTTCCTCCCGAGTGCACACATGTACCTCCCCAGTGGACGTGGCCAGGACGACTCCCTGGGAGCCCTTGGGTGGAGACTGAGTGAGGCTCTCTGCCTCTTCAGACCCCAGTATGAGCGAGGGCCCCAGGGGCGGGGACATGGTGGACACAGACCCTGTGGCTCAGTCTGTGCTCAGCCCTCTCAGCTGCCAACTGCCCTCTCCAGCAGGCAGGAGGGACAGGGACTGAAAGGGCTGTAGGAAGGCTCCCACGCACTGAGTTTCAGAGCCCTCTGTCCTGCTACCCCTTCAGGCTGGGACTCCTGAACCGGCTGCATCAGAGGGAGGGGGTGGAAGACTGTGGAGGCTGGGAGCTAGTGGCTTAAGGTCCCTCCAGCTAGGACTGAAACAGGCCGGTATCTTCCCTTCCAGTTCCTGCAGTAGTGACTGCAGATCTAGTGCCTTAAAACAACGTTTGTTCTGCATTTCTGGAGCTTGGGAGCCTGAAAGTGGCTCACTGGCTAAAGACTTGGTGCTGGTCCTCCAGGAGAATCTGCTTCCCACCCTTCCCAGCTCCAGGGGCTGCTGCATACTTGGCTCTGGCCTCTTCCTGTCTTTCATCCCCACCCCCACCCCTGCTGTCTGCAGGGTGCCATCTCCTCTCTGACCTCTGACCCCTGTTGTGCCCTGTTCCAAGAACACTCTGATGACACTGGACCCACCTGGGTAACTCAAGGGCCTTGAGATGGGAGAAGCTTTGTGTTAATTCACATTCTACAAGCTCTACAGGTTAGGACGAGGACATCTTGGGGCCCTGAGCAGCTGACCACACTGGGTTTCTCCATCCCAAAAGTGGCGTGCATTTCCATGGGAGGACTTTGGGTGCAACCATGCATCAGAGTCCAGGGGCCCTGCATGGGAGAACATGGAAGCCTTGCTCTGCTCCTTCAGAGTCCTGGAGGTGCTGCACCAGCATCGGTCAAGCTGCCCCTGTGGGTCAGGCCAGGACTGAAAGCTGCAGAGTAGGAATGGCCACGGCCTTAGGGGCAGAGGGCCTGTTGGACGCCCTGCCAGTTCAGAATGCAGCTTAGCACATCAGGCCGTCAGGCTTCCTCTGGGAGCATGGTAGGAATTCTTTCCTGCCCTGCAGACCACCAGTTACTCTGGGACTCCAGGGGTTCACTGGCACGGCAGGCGAGAAGGATCCTCAGGTCCGAAGACGGTCCAGAAGGTCCCAGCAGGGCAGAGGCTAAAAGACAGACTCGTACAGGGGAAGGTGACCATGCCTTCCCACTGGCTCCTCCCAGCAGCCCCAGACAGGAGGCGCCGAGGAAGCCAGTGAGTGACAAGGCTCCCTCCCCTTCACCTCACCTGGTGGCTCTGGAGTCCTGCCCGCCATCTGACCCACAACTTCCCAACGTGTGAGCACCGAGGAAACAGCTGCTCACGCTGCCCTGAGAGTCCCTGGCCATCCTCTGATGCCCCCTGTGGGCAGGAAGGAGGGGTCCCCAGGAGCCCCTGATGAACAGGGAATGCAGAAGGGAGATGGCCACAGTGTGTGGGGTGCTGAGTGGGTGCTCTGTGGTCCCCAGGCTCCTTCGCACCCCCCTTGCCTGCCCTCCACACCAGAGCTGGCGCCAGGCCTGGCGGGCTGGGCAGAGTGGAGGCGGCCACGGCTGCAGATGGGGCCCAGCAGGGCACCCCTGCACAGCTCAAGAAAGGTCACGAAGCCCTGTGATGCCGGCCGCAGAGGGTGGATATCAAAGCTCCTCAGAATTAAGAGGTTTTCCCCATTGCCTGGAATTTCACAGCCTAGTGGCCAATTTCTAAGTCATGCACACTAATGGGCAGCTAATGAGGGACCCACGGCAGGGACAGGGAAGTGGCCCAGCCGCTAAGCCAGATTAAGGAGAACAAAGCCCCAGCCACTGGTGCAGGGCTCTGCATGTTCCCTCGGGAGGCCCAGTTTCAAGGGAGAATGAGTGGTTTAGCTGCTTAGAAGCCCCAGGGTTGTGTGAACATCGTGTGTGGCCCCCTCCGCTCTGCCCAGCCCCATCTTCCCAAGGCTTACGTGTCTGTCTGTCTCCCTGCCAGGCGACTGACCGCTGGCATTGGGACAGCCAAGGGGAGAGTCATGCATGTACCACCAATGTGTAGGCCAGCAGGAGCGTGCTAGCGACCTCACTTGAGTGCTGAGGACTTGGGCTTCAATCCCTGGTGCAGCAAGAAGGGCCTTAGCCAGCTGGGCCCAAGCCCAGACCTCAGACCACCTCGGCCTCCTAGCAGCCTTGGCTCAGATGGGCCCCAGGTGAAGGCAGAGGTGGGGGTGCGAGTGACGTGGCCACAGCCACCAGGAGCACTGTCCCCCCGAACCTCTGGAGGGAGCGAGGCCCTGCCCACTCCTTGACCTTAGAATTCTGGCCTCTGAAACCAAGAGGGTAAATGCTTGGTTGGTTTTCCTGTTGTTTTTATTTCTTCAGTACTAGGAATTGAACCCAGGGCTTTCAGAATGACCTGTTCCCCTAACCCCTTTTTATTTAGTTTTGAGCCATGGTCTCCTAAGTCACTAAATTGACCATGCTAGGTTCTTACTTGTGGTCCTCCTGCCTCAGCCTCCCAGAGTGCTGGGATCCTAGGCGTGTACCACCATGCCCGGCTAAATTCACTTTGTTTTAAGCCACCATGCTTGTGGCATTTTGTTACAGCAGTCACAGGGACCTAATAGCGTGGAGAAACAGTGACTTTCCCTTTTCTAGAGTCTGTGCATTCATTCATGCATCCAGTTCACCCTTGACAGAGCCGGGTCAGAGTCAGCTTAGGGCGCCGAAGCAGTGTGACGTCTCAGCTTTGGAGGTGAGACAGACTCACTCGGATGTGAGTCCCAGTCCCATCCCTGGCCACTGGGGTTGCTGGGAGCTGCCTGCTGCACCGGCCTGAGCCAGCCCCTGCACTGTGCCAGCAGTGCCCTTTCGGGCTTTAAGTGAGCATTTGTCCAAAGCTTGGATCATAGGGTGCATGAGTGTGCCCAAGTCATCCGCCCCGGAGCTCCTGGACCACAGGACTGGCTCCCTTTCCACAGCTGTGCTGAGGAGCTGGTCACAGCTGCTCAGGCTCTGTGTGCTGCTTCGAGAAGGTAACCAAGCCAGGAGCCGAGACAGTCCGCAACCAGTCAGTGCAAAGACTTTGGGGTCTCAGATGCGGGCTGTTGGGCTGGGGCAGGGCTCTGGCCATCAAAGATGCTTGATTTGAAGCTGCAGTTCTCAGCGAGGGCCCCAGGACCCTCAGCATTAGCACTGCCTGGGAACTTGATAGGAATGTAGATTCCCAGGCCCTGGGCCAGCCCCACTGAGGCAGAAACGCTGGAGATGGGGCCTGCAGTCTGTTTGAACAGTGCTCCAGGGAATTATGATGCCAACCTCAGGGTAGGAATGGGAGTGAGAGGGAGGCCCATTTCCAAGGACAAATAGGCACGGATTCAAGATTCGACCTCACCTGTCAGTGCAGAGTCTTTATCTGGGCCGTGTCCACAGGGAAGGAGTCAGCCTGCTTCAGCGGGCGCGCCCAGGACTATCCTGAGGGCACAGGATTACCCTGAGGAGCCTCATCCCTGGAGCTGGGGCAGGAAGGAGTGGGAGGAGACCAACTTCCATAATGCTCCCTTTGGAAGATGAGGTCACAGGTCCGGGACACTCAACTCAGTGCCTTCCACAGCATCCCCCCAAGCTAGGGCCTGGGGGGGCCGGGGCTTCAACCCCAGGTCCTGGGTGGAATCAGCTGAGCTGGGTGGGCCCTGATCACTTCCAGCTGAGCTCCCTCCAGCCCTCCAGGGCTGCTGAGGAAGCCCCACCCCAGGGAGGGCCTGGGAGAAGTCTCAAGTTTTAAAACACCCTGAACAGGTCCGCAGGCTCAGAAGCCACAAGCTCTTCGGACCAGTGGTCCTGACTGCTTACCCCTGCCCCATACGGGTCCTCCAGGGCTCCTGAGTGAATGACCCAGCCATCACTGGCAGAGTTAAGGTTCTTCCTTGGTCCGTCCGACACCCTGACCCAAGCCTGTCCTGGGAGGCCAGACTGTCCTGCCCCTTACAGCGGGATTTGGTGGTAAGGGCTAGCTCATGGGCACTGGGTGCACGAGTTAGGAAGCAGAGGAGTGGGCAGGGGTGGGGGGTGTCGAGGATCGATGGGAGGAGGAAGTTGGAGTTTGCAAGGAAAGAGGGAAGGAGGAAGAGGTCTGTGTCGCCTAGGGGGTAAGGGGGTCTCAAGGGAGGACTGAAGTGAGAAGAAACAGTAAACAGGGTAGACAGGTCGCCGCCTGAGGACCAGAAGTCGTGGGGGCAAACGGATGCTTTGAGCTTTGACTTTGGAACGTGAGGCCAGGGCAGAGGAAGAGGGCAGGGCCGGGGGAGGTTGAGCTAGGGGCTCTGCTGCTTGTAGACTTGGGGAGGAACCTGCCAGATCTCAGGCTGGAGACTGAGCTGGGAAGACAGGAAAGGAGAGTGGTGACTGCGTTCCCTTCTCTCCAGTCCTCTGCGCCCCGGCCATGGAGGAACAGCCCCGAGGAAGCGGAGGCCTTCCAGAAAAGCCGCTCCCCGCCCCTGCTGTCCCCACTTTGTCCTCGTTGGGTGCTGTCTTCATTCTGCTGAAATCGGCACTGGGGGCCGGCCTGCTCAACTTCCCCTGGGCCTTCCACAAGGCAGGGGGCGTGGTGCCTGCTTTCCTGGTGGAGCTGGTAAGTCCCCGGGAAGGATTCGGGCTCTCTGGGGGAGTTGGCATTGGCTTTTCTGGGTGGGATCCTTGACATAGCTAACGAAGAGCTGCTGGTCTCACTCGCTAATGGGGGGTGGTGACCCATTGCAGCCTTAGCCAGAGGACATAGCCTTCCGCGGCTGGTGAGCCAGATCCACAGCCAAATGGCTCCCAGGTAAAGGCCAGCTGGGCCGAGTCTTCGCAGCCAGGAAGGAGCCGCCTGGTCTCAGCTCATACCTCAGCTGCAGTGCTGTGTGCAGACGGAGCCTAACACAGGTGTGGCACTGCCCATCAGCGCAGGCCAGGCTTGGTGGAGCATAGAGGCGTCCGCCCCTCCTGCTTCTTCAGTCCAGCCTGGGCCCCTTCCAGGGCAGTTAGACTCAGCCTCCCGTGCTCACCCGAGGCCCGTCTTCCCATACTGCTCTTCCCAGGCTCATGGAACTGCTGATTGGGGACAGGTGTGAGCTCTAACATGCTTGATGGGAGCCAGCTGACATCGACCTGGCTCCGCCCCAGCCTCGGGGCCCTTCATGTCCTCGGGAAGCTGCTCAGCTCACTCCATGCCTGGTGTCACATGAGCAACCCAGTGTGGTTCCTGTCCTCGTGGAGCTTTGTTCTGATGAGAAGTCAGATGGGACACATGAGTCAGTGAGAGTCTCGGTGGAGGAGCGGAGGGTCACGTGCAGGGTTAGACATGACCCAGCATGGTCAGCAATGGCCAGGGAGGAGGTGAGGTAAACTGAGCCCAGCAGATGTGGCAGACACTTCTCGAGGTGTGTGTGTGGGCCAGCATTCCTGTGTTTCTACCCGAGCTCTGTGAGGGCCACCATAGTAAGAACAAGCACAAAGCTGGTCCCAAGCCGTCATAGGGTCACCATAAAGTAGCAGTGGGCTGGGCTCAGGGTAGACAAGGCAGAAGGAAAGGCTGTGAGGCCAGGAGATGTGTCCCTGTCCCGAAGCCTTGTGCCCAGGAATCTCCTGTCATCTCAGTGACGTGATGTGTCACCCCTGCAGGCTGGGTAGCATGAGATTATGCTCTGCTTTGCCTCCGGGTGACATCGCCGTTCCCCTAGACCTGAGAGGGAACCCAAGGGGAACTCCCTGCAGGGAAGGGAGCCAGGCTGGTGAAGGGAAACCTCCCACCTCCCCTGACCGGGCTTCCTTTCTCCTGGGAGCTGCCTGGGGGGTGGAGTGGGACAGCAGGTGACATCAGCATGAAGATCCAGGACTCTGGAGGAGTTGCCTCTCCCCCTCCTGAAGCCAGGGAGACTCTGCCCTGACCCCGCCCCCTTCCCCTTCCCCTTCCCCTTCCCTGAGCTGGCTCAGCCCTGGGAGCCTTTGCCTGTGGTTCCCGCTGGGAGGTCAGTGGACAGACCAGTGTCCCTGTTGGGGTTGGAGGTTCGACATTGAATGGAGCCCAGACCCGCTGTTGGGCACTGCAGAGACTGGGCCTGCTGCAGGGAGCCAAGGCTCTTACCTGCCTTGCTGACGCCTCTTGATCACTCGGTCCTGTGGGTGTCCCCAGGCTGGGGCCCCTCGTGCCCTCTTCCCTTCCTCCAGCCACAGGTATTTGCTGAACGCCTGCAATGGGACTAAATGGCAGACAGAAAAAGACACAAGCTGGCCTTCCAGGAGCCTGGAATCTAAAGGGGAGCAACACCAAAGAACCCCAGGGCAGGAGGAAAGGCTGAACAGCCCCTCCCTAACTGCACAGCTCTGACATCTGTTCCCACAGCCGCTGTAACAAATTCCTGCAACATGTGGTGCTTAAAACCCCAGGGGCTTCCTTCTCACAGCTCTGGAGGCCAGAGTTCCAAGATCAAGGTGGCAGCAGGGTCCCAGCCCCTCTTCTGGCTCTCCCGTGGCTCATGGCCATGTCACCACCTGTTCCCACGGGCTGTGCTTTCCCACCTCTTGTAAGGACACTTGTCATTGGATCTGGGGCCACCTGGAAGACCCAGGCAGCCCTCACCTGAAGCTCCTTAATTCTGTGGCCAAGGACTCTTGTTATTTAATTGCATTTCCATTATCGATATCGACAAAGACTGTTGCCAGGTCACATGCACAGGTGCTGGGAGTCTAGCCAAACAAACCGTTGATGGGCATGAATCTTCCCCCACGCCAGGCCAAGTGGAAGAAGCCAGATATGAAAGTACCAGAAGGCAGAAAAATACCAAGTCAGTGCTTCCTCCTGGGGACCAGACGGAGGCAGAAACTGATGGGGAAGGGGCCTGAGGGACGGTGTAGGGTGTGGTAGTGCTCTGTGTGCTACAAGGGCTTGGATCACACGTGTGTGTCACACCACCCTAGTGAAGCACAGAGGATTCTGCATTGCCCTCTGTGAAGCTGAACCCGCGAGGGAGAAGGAGCAGCCTGGCATGATGGGCACACGGGAGTGTTTGGGGGAATTACACTGACACCTGCAACTTCACATGCACCCAGAAATCAGCCGGCATGGTGGCACACACCTGTAATCTCAGCTACACAGCCAGCTGAGGCAGGAGGATTGGAAAATGGGAGGCCCTGGGAAACTTAGGGAAACCTTATCTCAAAGTTTTTAAGAAAGGGACTGGTGATGTAGCTCAGTGTGAAGACCGTGGGTTCGGGGCCAGGGATTTAGTTCAGTGGTTTCACCACCTGCTGCGCAAGTGCAATGACCCGAGTTCGATGCCCGGTACCAAAAAAGAAAAAAAAAAGACCTTGGGTTCAGCCCCCAACACCACAAAAAAAGTTTTAAAAAATTCAGATGGATTGGTCCTGCACAGATGGAGACATGATGAATGGCCATCAGAGCCTGCTCATTGTGCAGTCCAGGCTTTGAATTTTGAGAGTTCGTTGCAAAATTCTAACCCTCTTGTATGTGTGGAAGGTGTTCACAAGAAACATTGGAGGAAAATACTGTATTTAAGCTGCCATGGAGGGATCCCAGGAGGAGGTGAGGGCCACCGTTCTGGTGCACTCGGCCCGGGCAGGGCTGAGCTGAGGAAACCTGCTGTGTTCAGCACCCTCAGCAGGTAGGCAGGGCTACCCATTTCACAGATGGGAAAGCCGAGGCTGACGATCTTCACCACCCAGCAGAGAGCAGCTGAGTTAGATTCCAAGGCCAGGCTCGCCTGCTCCACCTCAGGTCTGGCCACTACACCCTTCCTGCCCACAGCCCAGGTGATTTCGAGAATAGTTTCTGGGTCTCCCCTGACCTGCTGAGGCAGGATGGTGTCCGGATCCCGGATTTGCAGACACGGAGGCAGAGCCTCGGAGCTGCCCTGGCTTTGCAGCTCTGATTGCAGGCGGGGCTGTAGTGTAGCTGGTGGAAGCCCCGTCCCTGCCCCTGCTCTTGTCAGTTGTCAGGGCACACGCAGGGTGTGTGTACCTGGGGTGTGCCCAGCCCCGCGGTCCTGCTCCACAGGTCTCCTTAGTGTTCCTGATCAGCGGGCTGATCACCCTGGGCTACGCAGCCTCCGTCAGCGGCCAGGACACCTACCAGGGCGTGGTCCGAGGGCTGTGTGGCGCCGCCATGGGGAAGCTGTGTGAGGCCTGCTTCCTCCTCAACCTGCTCATGATCTCCGTGGCCTTCCTCAGGGTGATTGGGGACCAGCTGGAGAAGTGTGAGTACCTTTGCTGGAGTCTGGGTGGTCCAGGGCACAACGGTCAGGGCCCTAGTGGAGCCCCGGGGCCAGCAGAGGTGAGACCACCCCTGAGCTTCTGATGTGGGGATGGGAGACTCAAAGCGGCAGCAGGACCATAGTGAGGCAGTGGAGGGGAACATCCCCTTCATGGGTGGAGAAATGGAGCCACTGCAAGGAGCCCTGTCGAGACCCCCAGGAGCACCCCTGTGCTTGGAATGACTGGGATCAGCCCCACAGCCTTGGCCTCTGGTCTCCTAAGGCTTTCCTTTAGGCCTGCTTCACTGCCTCTTAGCCATTGTGAAACGTTCTGTTTGTCTCCATGCCATTGAAGGTATTTGCTAAGTTTTGCTGCAGTTTCTTTTTGACCTAGGGGATGTTTGAATTAAGTTCCATTTGGGGAGATTTTAAGATCCCATCTGCCTCTGCATTGCGGCCAGAGAACCCGGGTGCTGGGAGTGGAACCCAGGGCCTCACCCGGCCTGGGTAAGCACTCTACCACACTGCTACACCCTTAGCTCTCGATCTTTGAGGGGTCTGTGGCCCAGCACATGGTCGGTCTTGGCGAGCAGCCCACGTATGCTGCCGTTGCCGGTGCAGTGTTAGAGACAGCCCTTAGATCGAGGTGCTCAACAGCTCTCTTCCTTCGAAGACTTCTTGGCTTTTTAAAAATTCTGTTCTAGTTCTATCAAAATCTCAGGAGTGTTAAAATCTGCAGCTATGATTACAGATTGATTGTTTCTCCCTTTAATTCTGTCAGTCTTTGCCTCATGATTTTTGGAGCTCTGTACTAGGTGCATCCTTCTGTTATGAAATATTCTGCTTTACCTTTGGCATTAAGTGTGTACCTTCTCTGCTGTAGTTAGGGCTGGCCCAGCCCAGCTTCCTATGTATGTACAGTAGGCATCTTTCCTCTTCTTTTACTTTGAACTTACCTGTGGCTCTGGATTTTAAAATGCATTTCTGGTAGGCAGCATATGCTCAAATCTGGCATTTTTAACCATCTTGAGAATCTCAGGCTTAATTGGAATGTTTAGACATATTTGGAATGTAATTGTCGATAGGGTTGAATTTAAGTCTGCTATTTTGCTACTTTTTTTTTTTCTGTCTCTTGACTTATGCATGAAAAGGCTCCTGGCTGTGGAATTTTGGAATGAAAGCAGCCATGGCTTAGGAAACTGTCTTCCACCACAGAGTTTTGCGGTTGGCATCTCTGAACCCCTTGGTGGGTGGATGTTCACAAAACGCCCTGCCTGACAGTGGCAAGTGGAGTCTTCCCCGAGTTTCAGTTCCGGGGAGCTGATGGTGTTGCTGTGTTGAAGAGGATTTGTCAACACACAGTCAGTGGGGGAGCACTGTGACTCTACTCATTAGGATAGGCACCCCCACCGGGCTCCAAGCGAGTGGGGTGGAGAGCACTGCTCATGGGTTTCTCCTTAGATGTCTGGGGGGAAGGGGGGTGCTAAGTGGAGTTGGGCTGCTTAGGAGAGTCATTGCATGAATTACGTACAGACGACCACTGTCTGTGGTGCTGAGGACCTCAAGGAGCGCCCTAGAAGTTGCAGGTTTAGGGAGGAGCTGGGGTTGCCCCAACATCGGAGCAGGGCCTTCCTGATAGTAGCTGATTCCAACAGATAGGAAGGGCTGCACCCTGTCCAGCATGACGTAGAGGTCTAAAGCCCGAGGTGTCTATGCCTTTTGGGATCTGCATCCTTCTGGTGCCTCAGCCTGGAGCCCAGGCTTCACCTTCCCACATGGATGGCTCTGTACAACAGCATAACTCCCCCTGTGCCATCTCAGCAGATGAGCTGGTCTCAAGGTATTTCTTTCTTTGCATGGCCATCTTTGTTGAGAACAAAGAAAGGTTTACTAACCATGTGCAGATGTCCCCAGCCACCAAGACCCACCCTCTGCCTCTGCCCTCAGTCGGATTGCAGGGGCCGCCTTCCAGTGCTCCCAGTGTTCCAGCCATCATCTGCCACCCCGCTGGCTCCCTTCCCATCTGTCCTGCCTCTTAGATCAGCTCCACATTATCCATCTAATGGTGGCAGAATAAAACCAGCCCCAGATTCTTTGCTGCTGCTTCCCCTTAGAGGTTCTGTCCCCTGCCCTGGCATCAGGTGGGCTCTTGGACAGCTTTGCCCTGCAGGATGCGGTAGGCGGGACCTATCCAGCTCTCAGCTTGGCTTCTGTGACAGGCAGCTTCCGCCTTGGCCTCTAGGAATCCCCAGCTGCCATAGGTGACATTGGGCTGGTAGTTGGAGGCCCATATGGAGGGACCCGGGACTGCAGGGCACCCCCAAGTATCCACAGGCAAATCCATAGTGGCCCCAGTTTGACCTCAGGCAGCCCCTGAGCCCCTGAACTCCCAGCTCAGCTTCTGCCCGGTTCCCAACAGTGTGCGAAGCCCTCCTGCCTGGCATCCCACAGCCCTGGTTCACTGCCCAGCGCTTCACGCTGCCCCTACTCTCCACACTGGTCATCCTGCCCCTGTCCGTGCCTCGGGAGATCGCCTTCCAGAAATACACCAGGTACACGGGCTGCAGAGCATGTGCCCAGGTGGTTGTGCTGGCTGCACCCATCTGTGAGCACTGGTGCAGAAAGGACACAGGAGCCTTGGGCTGGACCTCCTGTTTGGAAGAGGAGAAAAATGAGAAATCTTGCAAATAATATGAGCCCATGGGAGAAGCTATAGATGTCACATCCTGTTTTGTATTTAACTATTAGAGGCTCTGCGTGCAGACGCCGAGAGATGTGCAGGCCTTTTCTTCACCTTTGCCTCCGGGCTTTCCGTGCACTTTTGGAAGGAAGCCTGGCACCAGTCCCAACCCCGTGGGCTGCCTGACCTTCCTGAGCTGTGTACAATTAGTGGGTTTTCCCTGGAGACATTAGCGGAGGCCCACTGTGCACTCCTGTCTGTACTCCTCGAGCCCGGGCCAAGGTCGCTTCCCCCTCCTGTGTGACTGAGCTGATGGTGACCTGACTTGAGTGCCAAACCTGAGCGGCCGGCTGGCTGTCATGGCATCCTCAAGGGTGCCAGATGACACTAGGATCCCACAGGCCTGACTCTGGGCCAGTGCAGTGCTGCCTGAGCTCCCCACACCACTGTCCTTGGACAGATGAGGGTATGCAGGTTCTGGAGCAGGGGGTGGGCGTACTGCACTGGCCGGGGCTGAGCTGGGGTTCAGTGCTGCCGTGCTCCCCGGTATTGGCCACATGTGTCACCCCAGGAAGCTCCTGACACTGTCCCCATCTGCGTGTCAGCATCCTAGGCACCTTGGCTGCCTGCTACCTGGCCCTGGTCGTGACGGCACAGTACTACCTCTGGCCCCAGGACTTCAAGCACGAGCCCCACCCCTCACAGAGGTGAGTCTTTGGGGAGGCGCCTTCCAAGCCTTCCGGGGTTGGCTGCAGAGTCCAGCTCCTTCCCCTGGGGCCTTTGTGTCTCTGATGTGTGATAAAGCCAAGGGAAAGCCCCCTTCCTCCAGGAAGGACAGGCCTAGGGACATAAAGGCACCAAAGGCCACACCCGCCTGGGGCCCCACCCCGGCAGATGCAGAGGCAGCGGAACCCAGCAGCTGGACACAGGTGCCTGGCACAGGAAACAGCAAGAAGGGGGAGGCCAGGCCAGCTGGACCCAGGGCAGGGGCTGGGGTGAGGGTGGGGCCTCCAGGACAGCTTGGTGGTCTCCGGGTGAGTTGGGAGACACTGCCTGTTCTGACCGCAGCGGTGGCTGTGCTGGGGCTTCTCTAAAGGACACCTGGGCCCTGTGGACTGCTGAGTGGGGTCAGAGACAGAGACTGTAGGGACCCTGCCCAGATCCTGTGCTTCCAACTGAGGAGCTTGGGGAGGAGATGACAGACGTGATCAGACTTGCTGTAAAGTGACCCCACCTGGAGGGCTCATGCCATCAGGAACGCCTCTGGGTTCTGGAGCTCAAGTCCAAAATCAAGGTGTCTGACGGCCGGGGTGTGGGCAGCGCTTCCCTGCCTCTTCAGCTTCCGGTGGGACCAGCAACCCCTGTTTTCTCTGTCGTGCAGAAGCCTTGCTCTCTGGGCTGCCGCCTCCTTCAGATCAGCTTCTCCCTGAGTCTCTTATAAGGGCCACAGTCGCAGGGTTTGGGGCCCCTGACCCAGCATCACCCCACCCTAATCTAACTGCGCATACATAGACCCTGTTCCAAATAAGGCAGATTCTGAGGTATGGGGGACACTACCCCATGCAGGGTGGGGATAATAGGGGGTCCCTGAAATTGACAAAACTGGAAGGAGGTCGGAGTAAGCAGCCACCAGGGTGTCAGATTTGGCCATGGAGGTCACTGATGCTGCAACCAGTTGGAACAGGTTGGGGCAGAGCCAAGGTGAATTAGGTTCAAGGAGGGGATGGCAAAGATCCACAGAGGCGCCGCAGAGCAGGGAGAGGAGCAGGCAGTGTGAGGGGAGCTGGTGGGCCAGAGGGCAGCACATTTGGGGGCCTGTGGGAATAACCACAGAGAGAAGTATAGGAGTGGGCTGCCAGCTGCTGGCCTTTGTCCTGGGGGGCGGGAGGGGAGGACCCTGCCCCTTGGCAGGGAAGCCATGAGGTTGGGGCTCCACTGCTAGTGCCTGGGGACAGGAAGGGCAGGCTGAGGCCCAGGGCCTGGCAGGTGCACAAATGCAGGGTGGAAACACAGGCATCCCATGACTGGGGAGCCCAGCTGCCCCTGGGTGTGCCACAGCACAGCATAGAACAGGAACAGCTCTGGCTGGGGTCCCGCAGCTGTTGTGGCAAGGGGCCAGGGCTTAGCAGCGTGACACAAATGTCCTGCTCCCTGTTCTGAGGTCAGAAGCCCAACCCCAGAGCCACACGGTGCAGTGAAGGGAGAGGCAGGGCTGGCTCCTTCCAGAGCTCCAGAGAAAGTCATCCTGCCTTCGCCAGCATGTCACAGCCACCCGTGGTCCTTGGCTTGGCCCTTCCTCTTCCCACGGAGCAGCCACCTGTGTTTCTCTGTGCCTCCTGCCGCTGTCACCACTCCCTCTGTCTCTCTGTCCCCCACAGCCGGGCAGGGATCTCTGCCGGGGATACTGTGCCCTTGGGCTCACCTGAATGACCCGGGGGACTCCCTGTCTCAGGGTCTCACCTCATTCCCAGAGTTCTTTTGGCCTGTGCGGTGACACACGTGCAGGTTCCTGGGGAGGGAGGGAGCCTCTCTGGAGGCTGCTGTTCTGCCACATCCAGGGAATCCTGACTGCAGGGCCACTGTTCACATCCCAGCCTGCTGTGTGTTCCCTTTTGGTGCCAAAGGTTGGCACGTACAGGAGCTTGTCAAAGGAAGCTGAGCCACCAGGGGGGAGCCCCGGGGCTTGACCTGCAGGCTCTGGCCGTGCGCAGCTGTGCCCTCGTTGGTGGCTGGACTGACTGCTGGGGTACCTTGGGTGGAAGCTCCCTGTGCCCCCACCTCGCACCTGACACCTTGGGAGCAGGTCCCCTAGGAGGGGAGGGAGGAGCCCTGATATCCCTCAGCTTGCGCAGGCCTCGCCCACGTGGGGACTGCCACGTTATCGAACATCAGGAAAGGTGTTTTCCGACAGTGCAGCGCGGATCCAGCATCCGCTTCCATCCCCCAAGGCCTGGTCAGGGGCACAGTCATTAAAAACACCCCTCACGGCCACACTGGGTCACATCTCCCTGGAATCATTTAGATTCCTCTTCTCCCGTCGAAGGCGACCTGAGTCTGACCATTCTTAGTGAACACCTGTTCCTGTCTGCCTGCAGCCCCTCCTCCTGGACCTCGCTGTTCAGTGTCTTCCCCACCATCTGCTTCGGATTCCAGGTGAGTGTGGGAAGTGGCATTTCAGACACTTCCTGCTCCCCGGGGATGGTATAGCCTCCCTCAGGGACCGGCTGGGGCACTTGCTCTGGGATGCGGTGGGTGTCAGTCGTCTCCCCCAGACTCTGCAGATGGGACGGGATCTGGGCTCCCTAGGGAGCATAAACTGCCCTTGAATTTGGAGACCCAACTTCCACATGTAGCAACAACAGCGCTGAGCCTGTTGGGTCTGGGGTACAGCAGGGACCTGGGACCTGTCCGCCTCTCTGCAGACGCTCACAGGACTGTCACCGCAGGAACACCTGGAAACAGGTGGATTCTGTCAGTGTCCTGGGGCTGCTGTGGCCCGAGAGAAGGTTCACACCTCGGGAGGCCCTAGGCTGGAGGGGCCAGGAGTGCACAGGTGTCCACAGGTGTCCTGGTAGTGGGGTCGGGACAGACAAGAGTCTGTGCTAGAACCTCTGCTGGAGTGAGGACTCGGTTCCATGTGGCATCTGAGAAGGGGGCCCAGGGCATCAGAGACACCTGCGGAAGGTGGTGGTGCCAGACAGCCTGGAAGGACACATGGGAGGAGCCAGGTGGAGGGAAGCGAGGTGAGGCCCGTGGAGGAGGTGGGCGGCTGCTCACGTCCCAAGCAGGTGGTGGTCAGCGCTGCCCTTCACGGGTCCCTGTAGGGACAGTTTGCCTCCGACTCCCGAACACAGCCACTGCTTACCAACACCACCACCACCATTCCAAGCACAGCCAGGTCCGTGGGCTTTGGGACGGGTCCTCAGTTTGCAGCCTTTGAGATTTTCCTTCCCTTTATCCACCAACTCGCTCCTGTTTCTGTTCTTCATCTTGCGCTTTCTGGGAGAACCATTTTAGAAAAAATCTGAAACATTTCTATTTCTCTTTTCCTTGAAAAACATTTTTGAAAACACGTAGGAAATGTCCCCATTTCCCTTCCTTATAAATAACTAGTGTCATATCTGGGGCTTGGCTGGCAGCTCACTGGGCTCCTTGTGTTCCCCCTTGCACACCCGATATTTTAAAAGATGCAGGGTCCCGAGTCCCTGCCAGCCGTCGTCTGGATTCAGCGCGGCTGCCCCGGGCCGGACCGAGCTGCTTGGCACCTTCCAGATGCCTGCGGGCCGCACCTTTGCCCCTACAGCTCCTTCATCCGTTCTCCTAGCAACGAGGCCAACTGTGGTTGCCTGGCACATGGGCCTCAGCGATGGGGAGCTGAGGGGGCCAGAACGTGAGCGTGACGGCCGGGCTCAGGCCGGAGAGGGCGTCAGGATCTGGCTTAGGGTGTGGAGGGCTGGCGGGTGGGGAGAATAAATGCAGGTGAAGGTGCCAGGAGACCACCAGGCCCGCCCTGCTGTCCCCAGGAACTCAGACCCCTCCCCCAAACACATTTAGCAGTGCACAGCCGCCCCCCGCCCAACGCTGGACAGAGCCCCTGTGGCCACACTCGGACTTCTGACTTTTGATTTTATGCCTCTTGACTGACATGTAACTCACCTCCCATCCAGTCCACCCCTCTACGGTGTACATCCGAGTCACACAGCCATCACCAGGAGTCCTCAAACCCTCCGTTAGTAGTGGCCCTGCACCCCTCCCAGCCTCTAGTAACCTCTGGCCCACATCGGCCACTGGGTTTCCCTGCGGCGGGTGTTTCATACAAAAGGGGTTGTGCCACGTGCACCCCTTTGTGTCCGGCTGCTTTCCCTGACGGTGTGTTTCCAAGCTCTTCTGCCCGCTGCATGCCATAGCTCCATTAGGGTTAGTAGGTGAGTGAGCTCCAGGGCGCAGACAGCACAGCCTGCCTATCTGCGCCTCAGTGTGCACCTGCGGGCTGCCCCTGTGTTACTCCTGTGGCTCTGCACTTGCTCTGCCTCCACAGCCAGCCTGACACTCCTGCAGAAGGGCCCCGCTCTCCCGCCAGCCAACCAGAGACACGGCCTGTGCAGGAGTAGGACAGGGTCGCCCTGCAAGGTGTCCGGGTGCCTGACATGAGGGTACTGGTGTCCCTGAGCTGTGCCGGTGGCAGGGGAGGAGCATGGCAGAGGTCACTGTTGTGGGCAGCAGGGCTGCAGGTCCTCTGGGGCATCCCGAAGAGTCAGGACGTGTGACAGGTGCAGGAGGCAAGGACTTACCCACGAGTCCGGCTGCTGCTGGTCGAGGTCCAGGGTGCCCCGCCGCCTGGCTGAGCCTGCCAGCAGCCCAGGTGCCCCAGGAGGTCAGGGGGTCCCCAGAGAAGAAAGCAAAGGCTCAGGGGCCAGGAGGGTGGTGCCCCACTTCCACAGTGTGTGCTCCATGAGGGGCGCCACGCTGGCTGGTTCACAGTGTGCCCCAACTTGCATGGGGCTGGACTCGAGCATTTGCGTGTTGGCCAGCTGGAGGGAGGTTGCTGCTCCCCCTGGATGTGGCATGCTTTGTGCTCGCTCAGGACGAGCAGGGCTGTAGGACCAGGCCAGGAGCCCCTCCAAGGGAGCACCTGTGCCCCTTGGCTTGGGAACAAGGGGCCAAGTAGACACGAGGGGGAACCCTGCCAGGGCCAGGAAGAGCCCAGTATGAAGGGGCACCCGTGGCACCATCGGCCTCAGCCCTGTTGCCCCTTAGGGCCCTCAGCTCTGTGGCACTGGTGCTGGGACCACCAGAAAGCTGGATTGTAGGCGGCTTCTGGTGTTGGCTGGATGATGCTTATTGTGACATTACACGTGACCTGAAAGTGTGTGAATCACAGGTTGGGTGTTCTCCATGTGACATCGCCACCTTCTCCAGTCAGTAGCTCCCCTTCCCCTGCCCTGAGCCACTGTCCTACTGTGCCACCATGCAGCTAGGGGCCCAGCAGGTGGTAGTACCCTGGGGAACACGTGACCGCTTGTAAATCCGTTTTGGGCCATCGTGGATGGAGGCCCGGGTGCTGCATGTCATCCAGCAGGACATGGGAAAGCCCCACCACCAGCAGTCGACTCTCCCCTTGTGTCACCAGGGCAGAGGCCCAGGCACCTATTGTAGGCTTGTCTAGCTTGTGACCCGACATCAAGCATGTGGAGATGTTCTCTCCTGGGAGTGGGGGTTACAGGGGGTTGAACCCAGAGCTTTTATACTGAGCTGCATCCCCAGCCCTTTTTATTTTTTGAGACAGTCTTACTAAGTTACTAAGCTGCCTAGACTGGGCTCAAACTTGCAGTCCTCCTGGCTCAGCCTCTCAGAGTGCTAGGATTAGAGGTGTGCACCACCACTCCGACTATCTGGCTTCTTTTTTTGGGTTTGTATTGTGTCCATATGACTGTTCTGTATTGAGGCATGGGGTCATGCTTAACCTTTTTCAGAGCCACATAACACTCCACAGTGAGAATCCTGTGGTTTGCTTCTAACTCTGCTGCTTGGGCACGGACAGGGTGCTCCACGCCTTTTGGACACAGCACTTGCCCCGTGGCTCCGGGTGGGTCTAACATCCACTGGCTAGAGTGCTGCTGAGCCGCAGCTCTGTGTTCCAGTGTCACGAAGCTGCTGTGTCCATCTACTGTAGCCTGCGCCCGCGGAGCCTGTCCCACTGGGCCCTGGTCTCTGTGCTGTCCTTGCTGGCCTGCTGCCTCGTCTACTCACTGACAGGTGGGCACTGCCTGGGGTTGGTGGGGGCAGAGGAGGAAGAGCAGGGCGGTGCATGGTGCCCTGCGTTCTGAGGGCCTTCACTGGTTGCTTCCTCAGCACCCACAGGAAAAGGCCCCAGTCCATAGTGGGGAAGCTGAGGCCAGAGGGTCTGGGGCTCAAACACAGCCTCACACGGGAAGGGCAAAGCTGAGACCTGAGTCTGGCTGCCCACCCCGCCCAGTGTTTTGGGGGACAGCCTGGTGGTGTCACATCCGGGTGGTGCATTACAACGTGGTGCTCCCTGCTTTGTGAGGAGGCTGGGGCTCTCAAAGGTGACGAAAGTCTCAGCAAGGGGTGTGACATACCCGAGGTCACACAGTACATCAGCAGCGCAGACAGGGCATGGGCTGACTTCCGGGCGGCCGCTGTCCAGCCTGGCTGTGCTTTCCTTCATTGGGCTCTTCTCCAGGAAGGGCCTTGGGCTGCCAGCAGTCTCCAGGGCACCTTGGGCTCTGAGGTCCCAGAGAAGCTTGCTGGGGGACCTCTTCCCAGCAGGGAGGTCCTGAGGCTCTGCAGCCCGGGCCAGAGCTGTATGTCTGCAACCGCACGGCACCTCCTGACATCCCTGATGCTGGGCCAGCAGGATCATGGGACTCTTGGGCCCTGGGAGAAGCCAGAGGTGACGATGCTTCAGGACAGCTGGGGATGGGGGTGACTGAGACAGCGCTGTACCGGGCCCCGGGGACGGGCAAGCTGGCCAGTCCTGTGTGACTGGCTCTGTGATTCTGGGCGATGGTTGACGCCCCAGCTCTTGGTCTGGCCCATTTGGAAAGTGGGTGCCCAGGCAGCTGCTCTCTGTAGCTGCTGTGGAGCGAGGTGGACAGCCAGGAGGTGCATTTGGTTCCCAAGTGCTGCATCTCTGCCAGGCCACTGTCACTCTAAAGAAGCTCTGTGAGCAGTGTGCAGGAGGCCCAGCCCAAGGCAGTGGCCTGCAGGCTTGGGAAAGGACAGCCACGGGAAACAGCAGGACGGGTCCCGCGCAGGACCTTCTGCCAGCCTGAAGGAAGTCCGTGGGGGCTGTAAGTGCACTGGGGCAGTGGCGACGGTTTCCAGAGGGAGCTCCCTGGCCTCCATCTTTCCCCTCTGCAGGGGTTTATGGCTTCCTGACCTTCGGGACGGAAGTTTCCGCTGACATCTTGATGTCCTACCCGGGCAACAACACAGCCATCATCACTGCCCGGGTCTTCTTTGCCGTCTCCATCGTGACCATCTACCCCATCGTGCTCTTCCTGGGGAGGTGAGCCCTGCCGAGGGCGGAGGGGGTTCCCCCGCCACACAGGGTGCTTCTGGGCCTCCTGTGGCAGGCGGTAGCTCGATGCAGGGCTGTCCTCAGCTCTGAGGACCGGGGGAAACAGGCACGGAGAACTTAGGCGGTTTGCCTGAAGCTGGCCACGCACTGCCCTCCCCGGCCTCTCCATGCTGCCAGCAGCCCAGGCCTGGTGGTGGTGGAGTGGCTGAGGGTGTAGGGCAGGAGGCCCGCTGGGTAGGGGTAGGGGCTGGGGAGGGCTGGCTGCTGCTTGATCCCCCTGTGTGCCTGTGACCCGGTGGCCTGCAGGTCCGTAATACAGGACTTCTGGAGGTGGAGCTGCTGTGGGGCGCAGGGGCCACTGGTGCTGGCCGACCCCTCGGGGCCGTGGGTTCGGGTGCCACTGACTGCCCTGTGGGTGGCTGTGTCGCTCGCTATGGTCCTGTTCCTGCCCGACCTCAGCAGCATCATCGGTATTATCGGCGGTGTGAGCGCCTTCTTCATCTTCATCTTCCCAGGTGAGTGGTGCAGTCCGGCATCCTGCCTACCGGTTCTGGCCGGCTGGGCCCTCCATGGAGCCCTGTGCTGGACAGAGGTGGGAGCCTGGGGTGGGTGCCTGGTCACCGAGGTGGGCCCACGCTGGGCCCTCCGTACCCGCTCTGGTGGAGCTGCTCAGCAGCCCTCTGTGGGCCCACCTGTGTGAGATGTAATCCAAAGCTACAGTAAAAGTAGACATTTAAAAAATTTTATCCCACTGAAGGACACATTGCCGCGAATCCCTCAGATTACTGCCCTCACTTCCAACACTTACCCATCCTTCCTGGCACTTCCCGAAGCCGCTCTGGAAGTGCTCTCTGGTGTCTGTAGTTGTATCGTCATGGCTGCCTCGAGGTCCTGAACTGATTCAAAATGTTTCCCTCTCGTGGTCGTTTTGGCTTTGGGGAAGAGAAGAAGCCACACAGTGCCAGATCTTGGGAGTAAGGTGGATGAAGACACAGCCATGTTTTTACAAGCCAGCTTCTCCATTGGATGGCACTCGGTAGCCGAAGTCACATATTTCTGATCACACTTGTAAAACACTCAGGAAAGAGTTGCCGGCCTCTGGCTGAGTGCTTACGGGGTGCTGGCCCCCCAGGCCTCTAACCACAGGCTGTGCCACCCAGCCAGGGCTGAGCAGGGGTGGGCGGGGGACGCCTTCGCCAAAGGCCTTGTGGTCTCCCGCGTCCCCTGCGGGATGTTGGTGGCTCTCGGCCACAGCTCTCCCTTCCCTTGGTCTGCTAAGGAGGGCAGAGTGACCCTGTGTCTCCTCCCCAGGTTTGTGCCTCATCTATGCTGTGGATGTCGAGCCCATAAGACCAAGAGTCAAGTGAGTGTCCCCAGGGTGGGGGTGGCGTTGTGGCTGGGAGTGAGGCTGCTCCTGTCCTGTAGATAAGGGACAGAAGGCTGCCCTGGGAGGTGGCATCTGGGCGGTTGGGACACCCGGCCAGCCACGCTCAGGCCTGAGTTCTGTCCGTCGACACCTTCGGCCCTGAGTGGTCATCTGTGGCTGGAACTTTCTGTGGATCTGGCTTGGGGAGCCCATGAGTGGCGCATCTTCCTCCCATCTCATTACCTGGTTCAGACTAGGGCAGGATCGTGTGTGTGGAGGCCTCGAGCACCAGAGCCCAGCTGATGTGTTGTCATGGTAGCAGGCTTGCTGGGGTCCTGTCTCTCCACCCCTCTGGGAGTCTCCCTACCCTGTGGATGGGGCGAGGGCAGGAACCTGCTGAGTCAGGGGCTCAGCCTAGGCCCCTGGATCTGAGCTCCTACGCTGCCCGCCTCCCACATTCCCTTCTGCAGATGTGGAAGCAGAGGCCAGGACAGAGAGGGTGTGTTAGTTTTTTGGGGGTACCGGGCATCAAACTCAGGACCTTGCGGTTTGGAAGCAGGCAGCGGCACCACTGAGCTAAATCCCCGGCCCAGCTATTAGTTTTCTGGGGCCACTGTCACAAATCACCACCAGCTGGGGACTTAAGGCAACAGAAATTGGCTGTCCTCTTCTGGAGGCTGGAGGCCAGAGGCTGAAGTGAGGCTGTCCCTGCTGCTGGAGCTCCTGGGCTTTTGGCTGCATGGTTCCAGAATGATCGCCTCAGTCTTCCACTTCATTACCAATCTGCAAGGACCTGTCACCAAATGACATCACTCTCAAGTGCCAGGCAAGGGGAATCTGGGGGCGCTTCAGTCCCCTGCAGATGCTCTGAGGCCACAGCAGCATGGACCTGGGTCCCAGGCGCAGGCCTGCACCCCACGTCCTCTGGCCCCAAGCTCCACCGTGCCCAAGCCTGTTTCTCCAAAAGTGCAGCCATGGTGTGGTTCCCAACTGGACTGAGAAGGGTGTTGTTCTGGACACCCCCAAACTTTGCTTGGGCTCCCAGCTGTGCCCCAAAGAGACTTCTACATCCCCTGGAGTGCTGCTTGAAAAAAAAATTTTTTTTGTCAGTATTGAGAGTTGAACCCAGAGCCTTGGACCGAGGTACATCCTCAGCCCTTTTTTATTTTGAGACAGGGTCTTGCTAAGTTGGCAAGTTGTTCAGGCTGGGATCAAACTTGGGATCCTCCTGCCCCAGCCTCCAGGGGGATGAGCTTACAGGTGTGTACCTCTGTGCCCAGTTCTCCTCAGACCCTGGCTGTGTGGGCTTTGTCCCAGGACGCAGCTCATCACAGTGGTTACCCGTGAGCCTTTAAGAATTTCCTGGAATTTCCCTCAGTCCTTCTGCTCCCCGTGGTGTGGTTTCAAGGGGCACTGTGGCCAGGTCCCCTCTGTCTTGTGGGACCCTGAGCAGCCACGTGACAGCCGGTGCGGTGCTGGGGACCAGACACCCCCATCACATGGGTTCCCTGCCTCGCTAACGGGGCCAGCAGTCCCTCCGGCAGCCCTGCCATTTGGTGGAAATTCTCATTGGTGTCCTCTTCTCGGTTGCATCTGCTTACTCCAGGAAGCTTGGGCCTGTGGCCTCGGTGGCTGTCAGTCCCTGCTGGCCCTGCTCCTCCACCCTCTCCACCCATCTGCCAGATGTGCATGTAGTAAGCAATAGAGCAGGGTTTTAAAAAGGCTCAAGTCGGGCCGGGGATTTAGCTCAGTGGTTCCACCGCCTGCCTCCCTGCCTCGCAGGTGTAAGGACCGGAGTTCAATCCCCAGTCCCCCCAAAAAAAGGAGCTGCTGTGGGTTGGACAGCACAGGCTTTCTCCGCACGCTGACCCCTGGGGCGGAGGTGGAGGCCTCCAGTGCAGGCTGGCTGATGGGCTTTGTGCCTTGGCAGGTGCTTCCTGGAGGCCTGGGGTGTGGTCTCGGCGCTGCTGGGCACCTTCATCTTCGGGCAGAGCACGGTGGCCACCATCCTGGAGCTGCTCTGAGGGCCCCCGCCGGCGTCTGGCTTAAGAGGAGACTGGTGTGGCTGCTGTTAGCGTGAAGATGCCAGGGCACGGCACCACCGCTCCCCGGCTCACCGGGCTCTGCCTCCCTCGGGGTTCTGGGTGCACCAACTCGAAGTGGCTGCTGCCCATAATTGGAATGTGGCAGGGCTGTGTGCTCCCTCTGGAGGCCCCTTCTTGCCCCTTCTTCCTTCTCTTTCCTGCCGGGATCCTGGGGTCACCTGACTCATTGGTTTCCCTCCAGTCTCTGGTTTCATCTTCACGTGGCTGCCTCCCTGGATGTCTGTGTTCAGATTTCCCTCTTGCTGTGACAGTGCTGGACATTCAGTTAGGCCGCAGCCTAATTTAGTGTGTTGGCATCTGGACTTGATTGTATCTCATCTTAATTAAGATGTGCAAGAGTCCAGTTTCCAAGTAGGGCCATGTTCTCTGGGTCCAGGGCTTAGGGCTTCAACTTCTCTTCCTGTGGGTACAGCTCAGCCCTTAATAGGGTGGGGGTGAGGCCCAGAGAACCAGGCTTTGGAGTATTGGGATCAAAGCTACCAGCTGAGCACCTTGGGTGGGGGCACAAAAGGGAATCTAGGGTGTGTCCCTTGCAGTGGCAGTGGTCTCAAGCTATGGTCACAATCCCGTCTAGACCAACAGAGCCCAGTGTGATGGTTTAGATCTAAAATGTACCCCCAAAGTCTTGGGGCCCCATGCTTGCCAGTAGATTCATCCACTGGTGAGATCATGGCTGAACGTGGTGGTAGGAGGTGGGGCCTGGTTGGAGGTCACCGGGGATGTGACCTGGAAGGGTGGATTCTTGTCCCCAGCTCCTCCCTTCTCTCCCTGCTTCCTGGCTGCCATGGGTCGAGCCTCTCCCCTCTGCCGGGCTGTTTCTGTCTTGGAGCCAGCCAGCCATGAACTAAACCCTCTAAAACCGTGAGTCCAAATAAACCTGTCCTCCTCTAAGCTGTATCAGGTATTGTGTCCTAGTGACAGAAAAATGACTGATAGAGACAGGAGACGACTGCCCAGGACAGGCCTGTGCCCTTTCTTCCACTCACTGCACCGAAAGCCTAGAACCCGAGTGGATCATGGGCCCTGTAGCTCTCGCCTGACCCCTCCCTGACACTGTGCAGTTGTCACACCTGCCACAGTGTGAGAGGGCACAGAGGGTCATCCCCAGGGCCTCGGAAAGCGGAGTAGTGGGAGTGGGAAAGGTCCCGTGTCCTGCCTTTAACCCCGCCTGGGGCCGTGTCCTGGATGTTGGTAGACTTGGGCCGCCTTTTCTACCTCGGATTCACCCTCTTAGAAGCCAGCAAGGTGACAGCCAGGGAGAGTAGAGCTGACGTTCCCGACACTTTCTATCATGCATCGCCTTCCTGTTTATGTCCTGTGCTGTGTCTGGGACCATGTGAGGTTAGGAGTGATAGGCTCAGACTTTTCTTTCCAGCCCATCCACATGCATGCATTTGAAAAATGGCGATGTAATTTGCATGCCCTAAAATCTGCCCCTTTACAGTGCACTGCTCAGTGGTTTCCAGTATGGTCACAGGGTTGTGTAGCCACTCCCACTGTCTGTTCCCAGCATGCTTTCATCACCCCTAGAAGAGCCCTTAGTATCAGTCACTGCCCAAGTCCCCTGTCCTCAGCCCCAGGCAGCAAGAGTCTGCTTTCAGCCTCTGAGGTTTACCTGCCTCAGCTGCCTCCTGTAGATAAACTCAGGTGGCACAAGGTCCTGTGTGTGGCTCCCTGTATGTCACGTGATGCTTTCAGATGTATGCATTTTGCAGGTGAAAGCCACTGAGGCCTGGCAAAGCCGAGCCTGCCTGTCCTGCAAGGCACAGAGCTGAGATCAGAGTTGGTTTGGGGCTGAATTTCGTTGTCCACACTCCATGCCGAGGAGGCACTGTGGGCTGGACCAGTGTGCCTGGCCCGGGGGAGGAGAGGCGTCCTCTGCCAGCCTCCATCCTGGCCACAGCGGCAGGGGCATGCACTGTGCAGTGGCCAGCATCCTGCCAGGTGAGGCTCTGGGGAGCTGGGGCCATGCAGGCAGAGTTGCTTCAATGGAGTTTTATCATCTCAGCATGGGCTGGGGGCAGGCAGTCTTTCATTCATTATTGATCCCCGTCTGCTTCCTGAAAGGCTTTTCGGTGCCAGCAGGGAGGGCTGGGCAGTGCTGGGGCCAGTCAGGGGGTTCCCAGAATGACAACTGCGCAGGCGGATCCTGCCCCAAGGAGGCCGCGGAGTCTTGGAGTCGGGAAATTGATGTTTCCTAACAGTGCCTTAGCAGCAGCCAGAGCAGGCTTACTGTGTGATGTGTGTTTTTTAAGACAGAGTGCTGGTGACCCTCAAACAGCTGGCGCACAGCCTTGCACACGGTGGGGACCCAGACAGCTTTGTTTCAGGAAGCCTAGGATCAGCTTGGCAGAGGAACATCAGGGTTCCTTGCACCCGAGAGCAAAGGGCCATTGTGAGGATCTGAGGGCTCACCCAGACGCAGGAAAGCGCACCAGGACGAAAGGGGCCCAGCTGTGAATGCTGAGAGGGAGGCTGAGGGCTCTTTTAGGCACAGCCGAATGTTCCCTGTAGGGCAGAGGTTTCTGTCTTGACTGTGAGCCGCACATTAACCATTGCACCGCAGGGACAAGGCCTGGTGTCAGGAATGTAGGGCTCTGCTCTCCGGCCTAGGGGAGGGACTGTCCTGCTCCAGGCACCTCATAGCTCCCTCAAGGCCTGGACTGTGGCCACACGTGGGGAGGACACGTGTGATGTCTTCAGGCAGGTCGTGTGCAGGGCTTCAGTGTGCGCACTGGGGCAGGGGGAGCTGAGTGTCCTCTCTGCCGCTTTCCAGCTGTGTCTTTGGTGAAGGCCCTGCTCTCCGTGCACGGTGCCTGTGCCTAGGTCGCCAGCACATGCTGTTCCTGGTCTCAGCGTCCTGCCTCTGGCCATAGCTTCCATCCTCTGTGTCCTCATCTGGGACTAAGCTGAGGACAGCCCCTCCCTCCAAGGCCAGCCCTGAGGATGAGCAGAGGGCCACCTGCAGTGCCCTTGGCAGGGAGCCTCGCCTGCCATGAGCTCCAGGTCAGTGCGGACAATTCTGCCTGGGTGGAGAGACCCCTGTCTGTCTCTGCTCACTACTCCCAGAATGGCCAGGTGACATCTTACACGGGAAGGACCTGAGCTACCTTGGGCATCGTGGGCTGGTGGGCACCACTGCTCCAGGGGCGCCTGTCCACAGGCTCGGTGGCCCAGCCTGGTACTGCTGGCCCTGCAACCCCGAGTCATCACCATGTGCCTCCCGCAGGCATCCTGGGCTTGGTATGGGGCCCCGAGAGGATGTAGATGGGGCAGCTGCACACAGGTGGAGCTTGCTGTGGGTGAGTTGATGGGATTTTGAAAACTGCAGTGAAATTTGTGACAGCAGATTGGCCACTCTAGGTGTGCGATCTGGGGTATCTGGTATATAAGGTGCTACAGCCCTGTCCCCTCTGGCTCAAAACCTGTCCATCAGCCCAGTAGCCCGGGGTGCCCCATCAACTGCCTATCTGTGGAGCTACCCGGCAGGGACATTTCCTGAAAGTGCAGTCATATGTCACGGACACCTTGTTCAGCAGGCCCACCCAGTGTGCCGAGTTGCCACGCGCCAGGCCTTTTTAGGGTTGAATGTAGTCACCCCGGTGAGCCCACAGGGCGTGGGTTCCAGGGCCCACCGACCTCGAGTCTTCATGTACAGCGGTGTGGTGTCTGCCTGTAGCCTGCATCTCCGTAAAATGACCTGCAGCACCTGATGCAGTGCATGGTCACGAGGCTGCAGTGCGCAGGGAGTGATGGCTTGGAAAGTGCCCTGCACCGGGTCAGCACAGATGGACACTGCGGGCCTCGATGGACCTGACTGCAAAGTTCAGGTCAGCAACCACGGGGTGATTATTTTATTCTCACCCATGCCTGGTCGAACCCACAGCTGCAGAACCCGTGGGCACGGAGGACCAGGGTGGGCACAGCAGTCCACTGTGCCTTGCGTGTCTGTCACTGGCTGGTGAATGGGAACCTGGGCTGCGGACACAGGGCCGAAGCGCTTGTGTGGAGGTGCTCTGCATTCTGTGGGGTGCAGCGGCCCTTCAGGACTTCTGTTGGTAGCTGGTGTGGATAGTAATGTGGAGCCAGGTGTTGGTGCCATATGGCGGGTAGGTGAGCACAGGGATAGGGTCGATGGGTCTGGGTTTAGATATGACCTGGGCTACTCATGTGCTGTGTGACATCTGATGAGGTGCTGGCCCTCTCTGTCTCACCCCTCCTGATGGGCACAGGATGGCTCAGTGTGTGTCCCAGGTGAAGGCCTTCATGGGCCACGTTAGTGCCCAGCACTGGAGCAGGGATCAAGGGTTAGCTATGTCAGGTACAGTCGAGACCTGTACTTGGTGAGCCACTCCCACCTGCAGCAATGCCAACCCGGGAGAGGGGCAGGTGGGTATGGGGACACAGGGGGCCCCAGTGGGGCCACTCAGTTGTACCCCAAAGAGCCCCAGCTCCTGAGAATGATTTTTTTTTTTGGTACTGGCAATCAAACTCGGGACCTGGCCCTTGCGAGGCAGGCGGCAGAAGCGCTGAGCTAAATCCCTGGCCCCAAGAATATGAATTTTAAGTCGAGTTGCCAGGGAAAGCGGCAGACAGCATGTTCTGGCCTTTCAGGCACTGCAAGGAGGTGGCAGGAGGTGGGGGTGCTGATCAAGGGAGCGGGGGCTTCCAGGTAAGCTGAGGGGCAGGAGCGAGGCAGGGCCGACTGCAGCAGTGCGGCCCGACTGATGAGCTCCCCGGGCTCCCCAGGCTCCCCAGGCTCCCCAGGACCTGCCCGCGACTTCCCTCCCCCCAGTCCTCCCATCCTGTTACCCTCACGGGGAGGGACTTGCTGCTCTCGCCGCCTCTTTGTGCCCTGAGACTTCTGTGGCAGTCTGTCCTGCTAACAGGACAGAAAGATGGGAGAGGAAGCCACAGAGCTTCCGGAACAGCACTTGGGATGGGATGGAAGTGCAGTCGTGGCCCCTGTGTTGTGGGAATAGAATTCCGGCTGCGTGGCAGAGGATGACACCGGCCAGTCTCAGGGACCCCTGGACTCAGAGCTGTCACCACCCCCGTCACGAGGAGGACACCAAGGCCTGGGAGGCCCAGTTCGACTTCCACGGTAAAGGAGGGGCTGTCCTGACTCCGAGATGCCCAGGCCCCCAACGCCGACAGCTTCATCCCTCAGCAACGAGGAAGCACAGCGCACAGCCGGTCCTGACCGGAGTTTATTTGGTGCCTGTGCCCGGTGGTGGCAGTCTGCCAGGTGTGGCCCTGGCTACATGGACTCTACTGCTGTCCATGGGCCCGGCCCGGGCTGAGCTGGGGCACTACAGGGTCGCGGCTCCTACCAGGCAGAGGAATGGCAGCAGGGAGGGAGGAGTGGGCTGTCAGGGTGCCCTGCTGAGCCTCAGCCCTGTGGGGTGTGGGCCCAGGAAGCCACCCTGTCGCCACTGCTGTGGCCTCAGCAGGACACTGCTCTGCCCACTCAGGAGGGGAGGCTGGGCAGGGTCCTCCTTCACATCCGGCAGCAGGGAAAGCCCATTCCTCTTTAGAAGTATATTGAAAAGACAGCTCGTGTACCAAAGTGTCTAGAAAAGAGGGGCATCCTTTACAAGAGGAGGGGCCAAGGTAGCAGGCTCTTCCTCAGGGCTGGGGTGGTGGTCAGTCTCGGCCCACGGTGCACCAGGCAGCTGGAGGGGGAGAGAGATCGGGGGGACTTTCTGGGGAGGCCGGACCCTTCCCTGTATTGTCAGTGCAGGTAGGGGTGGCCGTTGCCCAGGAAGGCACAGTGGCATGGCTCCCTGGCACTGCCCGTCGGATCCATCTGCTTCCCCACCCTCTGTGCGGCACAAACACAACGGCCATGGTACACAGCCCTGCGTCTGGTGCTGATGGGGCCGGAGCGGGGGAGGGCACCGCCAGAGTCACAAGCAGAGCCAGGCTTTGGAGCCTGCTGTGGTCACCCAGGTGGCCACGGAGGGGTCTTGGGGGGCTGCTATGCGGGGTGAGTGTTCTGGTCTCTCTCCTTGGCCCTGAGCCGTGCTGTGGCTATCTTCCCTCTGCACAGCCAGCCTTGGCGGCCAGAGCTCACAGGGGGACCTTGACTCTGGCGTGAGGAGCGAACCCATCTCTAGAGCTGCCTGAGTCTGCCCTTCTCCCAGACAGCGAGGCCCCCATCCCCTTGCTGCTCCCAGCCCTCTACCTGGCACGGAGATGTGGGACAGGACCTCGGGCTGGCTCAGCGTGTCCACCTTCACGTGCCGGAAAGCCTTGCACACGGAGCTCTGCAGGTGCCTGTAACCGGGGCAAGGTCACGCAGAGGGCGAGGAACGAGTGGGCAGGGGCCGCGCTGGGCCCAGGAGGCTGCCTGCCGGGTCTGAGCCCTCGCCGCATCCCAGCAGGGAGGGACTCTGGCCCCTAGGAGCTGTGACCGCTGTCTGCTGGGGGCGGGCAGTATGGTGGGACGACACCGGTGTAGAGGACCCTGGAGCCCCGAGAGTGAGCAGAGCGCGCACAGGTACTTCTGGACTCCGTCCCTACGGTCACCCGCCCACCCGCGCCCACTGGGGGCCGTGGCGTGCGTGCGCGTGTCAGGGAGGCCAGGAGCCACCCACATCTGTGTCTGCTGCCACCTGGCGATCCGGAAACCTCAGGGCTGCTGCTGGTGAGTCCCGGCCCCATCCAGGCAGGGCAGCCAGTGCCCTGGCTGTGGTCTGAGCAAGGACAGCCCGACAGACGGAGGCCCCCACAGCCCCCCTCCCCGCTGTGTGTGGGAGTTGGTCGGTGGTAGGGCCCAGGACTGAGCAGCGGGTCACAGCCGAGTTGTGCGTCCTGGGCACTGCACCATGCCTTCAACTGAGGCCCTTGTGCAGGAGGGCGCCAGGGGAGACACGGGGAGTACCTGAAGGGCTTCCCAGAGGGCACGAGGTCTGGACTCCAGAGAGCTGAGGGGCAGAGGGGACTTGGAACGCATGGTGTGGTTTTCACACGCTCATGTGTGGCAGGTGGCCGAGCCTGAGTGGGCCGGCCCTGCTGAAACCTGCTCCTGGAGCCCCAGGGCCCGAGCTGGGGTGAAGGGCAGAGGCTGGCTTGCTCGTCTGGGGGAGACACGGCTGAACCTGGAGTGGGGCTGGGCAGCAGCATCCTACCATCTTGTGTATAAAGATCCTCTGGGCAAGGAGCGAGGCGCACCCACCTCTTCCACTCCTCCTCCGTCTCCCAGAACTCATAGACGACAAAGGTGCAGCCATCAGCCAGCCTCACTGCGGCGATGCTGCAGGGAGAAGAGGGGCTGGGGCTCGCAGTAGGGGTCTAGGGCGGCCTGCACCAGGCAGCTCCCACAGGATGCTGAGGCTGCTGGGCTCCCAGCACCTGGTCTGGCCTTGTCCCACGGGTCCCGGCTCCACCTCCTCTCACACCCCGGGCAGCAGTGCACCCTGAGCCCTCTGTCGGGGTGAGTGCCCAGCCGCGGCAGTCCAGGCAGCTCCAGGCTGGGCCTCACAGGCCAGTGCAGGGAAACGAGGCCTCCAACTGCATGCAGCATCGTGGGCTGTGCTGGGCACGTGCTCCCTGTAGGTGACGGAGAGCCTGTGCCCTGTGCTGGCGCCACTCTGGCCCCCACCCCAGCGCCAGCACCAGCCCCAGGTCGTCAGCAGCTCTTGGGGTCATCTAAGGTTGGTCACAGCGGCGGGATGCAGCCATCATAGTAACAGTGCTCGCTTGGCTGACGCTCTAAAGCCCCCTGGTGAGGACAGATGGCTGTCGTAGACATGAGTTGCAGGGAGGACACACATGCATCACTCAACACACAGGCATGGGACCTTCCTCTGTGCGTCCTGCAGCTGCACAGTGCCACCAGGCGGTCCCATCCTAGCAGCGGGGCTAGGACTGGTGGGGTGCACAGAATCACCAGGGAAAGGAGGAAGGCAAAACAAAAAACCCCAGGGACACAAGGGGGCCAAGAGCTCAGAGAAGGTGGCAGCTGTGGCAGTGTGGCTCACCCTTCTCACAATGGGTGGCTTGGAGCACCAGCTGCAGCAGTGGGGTGTGGCTCAGTGGTAGAGAGCTTGCCTGGTACGCACAGGCCCCAGGTCCAATCCCTAGCGCCACACAACCAAGAGCCATCTGCACGCTGCTGGGCCACGTGCTGTCCTCAGTCGGCTGTGCTGGCCCCTTGAATGTGCCGTGCCTGCCTGTGCCGCCTGCCTGTCTCCCTCACAGGCCACATCCTCTTCAGACTGCTGTGCCTCTGCCCCACCTCCTGCCAACTCACTGGGCAACCATGCGGCTCCTCCTGGGTCTCCTCTCAGGGGACGCTGGTGCACCCCAGCCCATCCTCATGCAGCAGAGCAAGGAGAACCTGGCTCCTCACAGTGTGACCTGGCCCTGGTGCTTGGCAGGACAGGTCCTGTTGTCACCTCGGTGCTCCTGTCCTCCATCGGGCCACACCAGTGCTTTCTCGCTCCCAAACACGCCTAAGCTGCCGCCTTGAGCTCAATACCTCTACTCACAGCAGCACCCCGAGCCCCTGGGCACCAGCTCTGTCTCCCTTTTCCTGCCCATAATAAACATTCTGCTGAGACAGCCTTGTGCCTGCCTGTTTGCCAGCAGCGGTCCCAGGACTAGAGGGCAAATGAACATGTGCAAAGGGGAAACAGGCCGGAGGGCTGCTGTCCCTACTGACCCTTGGAAGAGGCCTCCGTGGGAGGCCTGCTCCCCATCCCCGTGACTCTGCACGGACCACGTGATGAGGGGCAGGGTGGTGGCTGCTATGTGTCCTTCCTCATTTACTCCGGGTGCCATATGCCAGGCCCAGTGCTTTGTGACAGTGGGAACAGCAGCCACCATGGGTGGGGCTGAGGGCAGCCTTCACACTTGCTGCATTTTACTCCTAACCCTGATGAAGCCCAGCTCCCCTGTCACATCTTCCCTGCGTCAGAACTTGAGCTTGCCCGGTCCAGCCCGGCCCCTCCCCTGCAGTGCAGCTCACTCACTGGAAGCAGGGCCCTGCTCCGGCGGTGCCCCGAAGGTACTGGCGCAGGGAGCCCAGGAACTCGCCCAGCTGCTCGGGGCACACGGCCATCTCCTGCCGGACCAGCTGCAGGTGCTGCAGAGCAGAACGCGGGGTCGTGGGCACTGGGCCTGGCTGCCCCCACCGCAGGCCTCGCCCCCCAGTCCGAGTCAGGACAGCTGGGGCAGAGTTACAGCCGTGCCTCTCACCCACGCTGCACCCTCACCCGAGAGCTGGCTGAGCGGGACCAGACCTGCAGCAGCCAGGCGTGCACGGCCGCCCCCAGCCCGACAGGATTCGAGGAGGCTGGGAGGCCAGGGTGCTGGGCCCTGCAATCTACACCGGTGCTGCTCAAGGCTGATTTGTCTGGGTCAAAGCCCTGGGCACAAAGCGCTGGGGCTGCACTGCCCTCGGGGTCCCAGCGGGAGGGGGACGGGAGCCACACAGACACTGCGTCCCTGCTCCGGCAGGGAGAAAGTGGTGTTCAGACAAAGGGCCTCACCATGGCGGTGCCTTCGTCGTCGTCGGAGAGGCGCTGCTGCAGGTCAAACCAGAGGGTCTGAAAGAGCAGAGCAGGGAGCCCTGCCTGAGACAGGGCCACCTCCACCAGGGGGCCCTCCAGGACCCCACAACACTGGAGGACTCGGGCAGCCCAGGGTTGCAGCCTTTGCCTCTCGGACCAGGGCTGCACCCATAGGGCTGCCTCAGAGGGAACCCACCCTAGGGAGCAGCAGCAAAGCTCCTGTGCCTTTGCCCCTTGGGGCACAGAGGTGGCACTCAGGAGGCTGCACATGCCTTGCTGTGGGGGGTGGCGGTGACCACTGGGAAGCTCCAGGCTAGGGCACTCGGGGTTTTGGTGGGGGCTGGGTGATACTGGGGCTTGAACCCAGGGGCTTTGAAATGGGCTACATCCCCAGCCCTTTAGTGAGGCAGGCGGGATTTGAACTTGCATCTTCATGCCTCAGCCTAAGTGTGCACCATCGCACCCCTCTTGACGCGGGAGTTTTGCCACAACTGCTGATCAGAGCCCTGAGGTTTCTCACTCCCCACACACTGCCAGGCTTGGCCTCTGACTCCCCATGGAGCTACGGGCGTGACAGGGGTGCCCTGTACTGGGGCCCTCCCAGGCCCTGACGCAGAGGGTTACAAATGCACCTTAGTCTTCTGCCTCCTGAAGCAGGAGCAGCGCCACTTTGAGCTCTGTCACCGCACCTGGTGCCTAGTACGGGCCCAGCTCTCAGCCTTGCTCGAGACACCGCTTTACAGCGGACAGCTCTGGGCTTGGAGCTCACGAAAGCAGGTTAAGGGCCAGGGCCTAGTTCGCACTGACCCTCTCTCCTCCTGCACGTAAATCACCACTCTCCTTCCTTTAACTTGGGCATCCAACAGCCACAGGCTCTGTCCCTGCCCATCCGCAGGGCGACAGGCTGGATTCACTTGGAGCACACAGACACGTGTGCAAGGTATATCTGTTGTCAAGGGAAACAGCGGCAGGTGGCCTGGTGTGACCCATACAGTCCGCACCTGTGACTCAGGGTCACTCAAGGGCCCCTGCACAGCCTTTCTGAGTGGCTTTGTGAATTATAGTCAGAGAGGCGGCCCCGGAGGGAACTTTCTACGCAGTGAAGGCATACCCAGCAGGGACATTTCTTTACAACCATGCACATGGCTTCTAGAGGACTGGGGTAGCAACTGGCTTCTCAGAGGATTGGGGGGACCGGGTGGCACCCAAATCTGCCACGGCAGCCAGCACACTTCCATCCAGTGCCGGCTGGGCCAGGAGGTGGCTCAGGTTGGCCTTTAGGGGATGGGCCAGGAGCCAGGCCCTGATTGGCCGATGCTCGAGTCCAGAGGCAATCGGAAACCAGGAGGGGGGCCCTGCCCGGTCTCCAGGACGCCCAGGTGCTCTATGGTAACCAGCCAGCATGGTTGTTAGGGCGACCAGGGCACTAAAAATAAGCTTCAAAGAGCTTCCCTCCAGAGGCCCCTGCTGAGTTGTTATGACAACCGGGCGGCAGGGTCCCAGGAGCTGCTCCCACCAAGGCAGCCGGCTGGGGGTGGGGCTCCCACCCTGGCCTCAGCCCTGCAGCCTCCCCCCTTTGACTCCCTGCCATCAGACCCTGCCTCTGTCGCCAGACCCTGGCCTCTGCCCCCGTGAATCGCTCAGAACCAACCCTCACATCCATCAAAGTACTAGTGCCCTCTGCAAAAGATGAAAAAGATGAGCAAATACAGAGAAGAGGAAATGTTATTTCGATCCTAGGCTGCGATACCTGTACGTGCTTTACGTAGGTACACAGGGATGGTATGTGCTTATGCGCATGAATTCTGGTAACAGAACGTCTAATAATAACTGCTAACGCTGCTAATATTAAATGCTAACTAGGACAGAAGGTTCTGTGGAAGGCATTAAGACGTCATCTGACTTAATCCCAACACCACCCCTGAGAGGGGTACTACTGGCCTGATCTGTCATCAGAGGTGGAGTCTGAGGCTGAGAGAGGGTGAGTCACTAGTCCATGGCCACACAGCCCGAAGCTCAAATGCCAACAGCCTGACACTCAATCCCACCCATCCATCCGTAAGCCTAATGCAAACTGTTTTCCTTCTTGCTCCAGACGGTCACACATACTGAGTCACAAACCCTTCCCTGAGAACACGGCTCTGTAAAGGCTGTTCTGTGTGCTGTCCTCTGTGGACCCACCGCCGTGTGTGCCACAGATTTCCTCCACTGGCCATGCCTGGTCACCCCGGGGCTCCCTCCCCAGGATGCTGTTTCTTGGCCCTGCCTGCTCGGGCCACCCTGCCACGTGGAAGTGACGTCCCCTTGCAGCAGGGTCTCAGGGGCTGACCACTCTCTGCTCCTGTAGCTGCTGTCCGTCCTGCTGTGCACCCCCATGCCTCCCCGAGGCTCCCTGACCCGCCCAAGCCAAGGGTCCTAGGGTGTGCGTGCGGGGGAGGAAGAAGACACGGAGGTGGGCAGGGGCAGTGCAGCTCACCTTGCTCTCCAGCCTTCTGATCAGCTCTGCCAGCCGGCTGATCTGGGCCTCCAGACTCTCCTCCTTCATGTCTCCGGGGACTGGGACAGAGAACCAGGCACCCTGATGTCAGGCAGGGCTGGGACTGGGTGCCGCAGGGCATGCAGTCCCCTGGCCCAGTGCCATCTGAGCACCCGCAGAGCTCCTCAGGACCCCCAGGCAGTGCCCCCACCCCGGGGCACTGCTCACTCTCACCAGACGGAAGGCTCTTCCCTTGTTCCACAGCCATGAGCTTGGGCCCGGGGGCACAGGGAAGGGTGGAGCTTCCATACCAGCTCTGCATGGTGCTGTGGTTGGGTTTACCGTGATTCTGCCTGTAGTGAGCGGAGAGAAACACAGTCAGCAAGGGCAGCGGCAGGGCCAGGACCACTCTCAGCAGTGTCCACAGGGCTTTTTCAAGCCTCAGCTCTCGGCTGAGCCATGCCCAGAACCTACCCTGGAGAGCCCAAACCCTGCAACCCCTGCAATGGGGGAGACATGGCCTCCATCTGACAGGGGAGGAAACAGCCCAAGGAGCCCAAGGAGCAGGTGGCATGGCCCAGGCCACGCACTGGCTCGGGTAGAGCTGGGGCAGGAACTCCATGGCATCCTCGGGGTCAGCCCGGGCCCTGTGCCCCGGGATGCAGTTCCAGGGCTGAGCCAGGTACCCATGCACCCCAACAGTGCACAGGCTCCCTGAGCACATGCTGAACCCAGGCATGGAGACACCAAGCCTCCTCCTTCCCTGCCTCACTAGAAGCCCATGTGGCATTCGGTGCCCTCTGGTGTGGGAAACTTGGGTTTGCACCAGCAACACCCCTGCCAAAAGAGCCCTGTGAGACTGAGTGGGGTTAACAGGACAAGCCCCTCTCCTGTCCCTGTGCGTAGTGACAGCTGGGCAGAGTGAGTCGGAGAGGCTCCCACTCTGCTCACCAAGCACCATGCCTGGCACATGGCAGGAACAGACACCCCCAGGGAATGACCGAATGGACCCTCACTGCAGAGGGCACTGGAAAACCCACCGAAGGCATCAACGGGCGTGACACAGCCCTGGCACCGCTGCCCTAGTATGTTCTGGGATTTACCTCCTGCAAACCTCGAAAGCCTGGTGAGGCTCTCTCCTGTGTGAAGGGGGCGAGCTTGGGCCCCGAGGGAGGCGAAATCTGCAGCATCTTTGAGGCACCCAACATGGCTTCTTTACAGGCCAACAGCGAACTGTGTCCTGCAGACCATGAAGGGTGGAGTAGGAGGCCCCGGGGGCGGGGGGCAGAGTTTGAACCAGCGGCTTGTGCCTGAACACAGTGGCCTAGACACAGGGGGGCCGGAGGGTACCCAAAACTTGGGGTCTGGGGCAGTGTGAGGTGGCGCTGTGCGTGGAGCAGCACTCCCATTGTGACACGCCATCCCTCCAAAGTGTGCCCAAGTCAGGCCCCACCCAGGGGCTGGCAGCTGTGACTCTAATGTGACAGAGCTGGCATGGTGCAGGAAGGAGGGCCACAACAGGACAGGAAGCGCAAGCTTTGGATCACAACAGTAACCAAACAGAAAAAGAAAATCTTAGTGTCAGCTCCCAGCGCACCGGCTCTTAACTCTGGGGGCTCCCAGGTTCACAGGACTGAGTACGGATGCAGGCCCTCCCCGGGTCGGCCACCCGGCAGCCAGTGTCTGGATGTGAAATGTGCCAGTTGGCTGTCCCTGGCAACTGGGCCCAGGCACTCAAACGCTGTGAGAACGGGGTCACCGAGGGGCCTCCACAGTCCCATCTGCTCGGGACCAGCTCCTCTCCGCCCAGACACCTCAAACTCGGTGCACAGCCAGCAGCATCCCGGGTCACGCTGGGCCTCTCTGCTCAGCCACCCAGGGCTGTGTGCAGAGAAACTTCAGGCCAGAGCGTCCAGCCCCTGTGCGAGACCCCCGGTGCTCGCCTGGGCCAGGCACCCAGGCAGAAACGAGACTCTGCACGCTGGGTAACCTGTGAGCAGTCACCTGCCCTGTGCCTCTGTCAGGGCCCCCGGGAAAGTCTCAACAGGATCCTGCCCATCTTCCATGCCCTTCAGCCTTCTGTCCCTGTATAGCAAAGAGGGCACAGGTGGTGGGGCTGGGTGGGCACCAGGTGAGAATTGGCTCTGATCCCTACGGCTACTGTGTGACGCTTGCTGTCCTGTTAGTGTGGCATCCAGCATTTCTGAAACTCACTTCTAGTTTTAAAAAGTGGGCCAGACAGTGGAACTGTTCTGTGTAACCTGTGAGTGGTACAGGGACAGGGCAAATGGACCAGAGCCCCGGAAACGGCGCCTTAGCAGTGTGTGGGAGCTGCTGTACACACGCACACCAGGCCCAGCTCCTCAGTCTGCACTGTGGCTGAGGCGCTCTGTGCATCACCGCTCCCGTATCATAGCTAAGGGTGGAGGCAGAGGGCCATGCGGCGCTCTGGCCCAGGTGACGGCTCCCAGGAGAGCCCACGGCCCGCTGACACACCGGATCTGGCTGGTCTGCTCCTCGATGGCCTCCACCGCACTCTCCACGGAGCTGAGCAGCGACTGGATCTGACTGGCCGTCTCCTTCAGGAGGAAGCGGGTGACGAACTGGTCCACGTTGCTCCCACCCTCGTATACCTGTGGAGGGAAGGGCAAGGCACTGAGGGGAAAGGGGTCCGAGGGGACACACGCAGCAGGGGGCCTGGGGCTGGGGGCTGGGATCTGCCTCCTGCGTCTTCGAGGCTTCAGACCATCCAGAACAGGGCCACGAACTCAGACCGGGAGGTGAACCCCGGGCTTGCCACACACCAGCTCGGCCTCTCGGGGCACGCCAGGCAGTCCTCCAGTGTGCATGCTCTCCCTTCGTCCTCGCAGTGAGAACAGGGCTGCTGCAGGTCTACCTCACAGAGCTGTAGTGAGGACCCAAGGGCAACAAGTATATTGGATGCTAGCACCGTGCCAGCCATGGAGCAAGTGCTCAGTAAACAGCAGCTGCTACGACAGACACTGGTGACGGTGCTGGTGGTGCTGGTGCCAGCAGTGATTGGTGGTAGCTTTTTTGTCTTTGTTTTTTGGGGGTTTTGGGTCTTTTTTTTGTTTCCTTGCCTTTGTTTTGTTGGAAGAATGGAGATAAAGCATTAGGGAAGCAGTCACAACCTCTGTTCTTTCCTTTCTCCTACACAGAGAATTCTTTGGGCTCCTGGGTCTTCATGTTGGCACTCAAAGAAATGATAGAAAAGAAACAAATGCAGCTGAGCAGGTAAACCAGGCTCCCAAAGAAAGTGCCTGAGGCTCAGGAGGGAGACGCAGCACACACCACGGGGAGGGGGCTCTGGGAAAACACTCGAAGGGGCTTTCCAGCAAGCGCTGCTCTGTGGTGTAAGATGGAATTTCTCCCTTTGTCACAAGCCTCCAGCACTGATGTTTCTCGGCTGAGATTCTTTGGCTGCAAAAGGCTTTATAGCCGATGAGAGCAGACTCTGGCTATTCCAGGCCACTCAAGGAATGAGACGCAGATGAGAAGGGCACAGCCACGATGTGGTGGGGCAAGGGGGAGATCCCGGTCTCAGACCCGGCACTATTCCCCGGTCTCCTTCACCGAGACCCTGCCTCTCTGAGCCATCCACCCCCGCACCTTGGAATCCTGCCCAGTCCCTGGCAGAGACAGGGAAAACAAGGCTCTCAAGGAGAGCAAATTAAACCATCCATCACTCTGACTGGGAATTAATTAGCAGTAACTGCAAAATGGGAAACACGACCAGGAGACAGGAATGAGGGAGGCAGGAGCAGGGCCTGAGGGAGGTACACAGGGGGCATCCTGTGCCGCTGCCCAGCCAGGGTCACCAGAAGCCACTTCGATGGGCATGGGATCCTGGCTGAAAGTGGCAGCCTGATGGATCGCAGTGATTGATTTTCCTTCAGGGTCGACAGCTGAAACCACACATGGCCCAGTGATCAATGGAGCCACAGGGAAAAGCGAGCTGGGTGTTCAAGAGCAGCCAGCGGGTGCAGAGGATGTAGGCAGGGATCAGGAGGGGTGGCTGGTTTGACAAGTTCTGAGGAAGACAAGTTATTTTCAAAGGTGTAGAGATGAAGTTTTAACACGCGTCCTCTCTGCCCCAGTCGGTGGCTTGGCCTAGAGCCCTGCTCTGCAGATTCCAGAGGGAAGGAGCAGATCTACCAATTCTGCATCCAGCAGACAAGTTACTGTTTGCAGGATGATAGGGAGAGACTCAGAAATCTGCAGCGTTTCTAACGTTTACCAGGTAAGCATGTGTTCTGCAAAGAATGCTGAAGAATCTCTCCTAGATACCTCAAAGAACTGGGACTGGAAATCCCATTTGACCCCGCTATTCCTCTGCTGGGGATCTTCCCCAAAGAATTAAAAGAATCATACCACAGTGATATATGTGCACCCATGTTCACAGCAGCGCAGTTTGTGATAGCTAAAACTTGGAAACAGCCCAAATGCCCATCAACTGGAGACTGGATAAAGAAAATGTGGATTTTTATAAAATGGAGTACTACTCAGCCATAAAAAATGAGGAATTAGAGACATTTATAGCTAAGTGGATGCACATTGAGGCAATACTCTTAAGTGAGTAGGACACAGATGTGTAAATACTGAATAGTTTCTCTGGTGTGAGAAACTAAAAGTGTAAATAAGGACTAAATGTATCATAGGTCATGTGAAATAGGAAGAAAAGGGGCAAAGGGGAAGGAAGTGGGAGGGCTAGGGGAAAGGATAGAAGGGAATGGGATTAATATGAGAAAATGGAAAAATAGGAACAAAATTTTTGTAAATAAGGAGGGCTGGAGGGGTTGAAGGGAGGGCTGGGCAAGGGTGAAAAACAAGAACCAAGAGAGACTATGTAAAGGTGCAAATTTCCAATGATGAATGTCATTATACTGTATACCTAAAATGAACCAATGATTAGAACGAATAATCGATAATGTAAAATAGGAAGAAAAGGTCCAAAGGGGTGGGGGTAGTGGGAGGGGCAGGGGAAAGGAAAGAAGGGAAAGGAAAAGATGATGAGAAATGGAAAACATGGAAATAAAGTCTTTGTAAATAGGGAAGGGTGGAGGGTGTGAAGGGAGGGCTAGGAATGGGGAAAAAATAAGAACCAAGATGCATTATGTAAAGGTACAATTCCCAATGAGAAATGTAATTGTGCTGTATACCTACAATGCACCAATGAAAGAATTTAATACAAAAAAAAAGAATCTCTCCTAAACCATCTAAATTGCAATTGCAGAGGGAAAATCCTTGAATAGGAAAGTTGTGACTGTAAGTACTCAAATTACACACAAAGGTTGCAGAGGTCCAGAAATAAAAAACATTCACTGCTAACGGTTTGATTTCTATGACACTGGGTTGTCAATACACTACGGGAAAAATAAGCCCAATCTCAAGCACTCCTTTATTCCCAAATGGAACAGAAAGTGTCATTAGCTAAGTATAAAAATAAGATTATGAATATTCAGTTTTTTAAAGGTCACTCATAAAATGAAAATGATAACTTTTACCCTTTAAGTCACAAGCCACTTGACAGCAGTGACCATCAAATGGAACGCAAACGATGTGAAGAAAGAAAATGGGAAAATGTCAAATTAGATCAGCAGTCAGAGCAGATAGAAATTCCTAAGAAAGAAAGAGGCTGGGTCTCCAAGTAGAGGTAGCTCCTGAGCTGGCGAGACACGAGTGGCCGGGTCCCCTCTGCCAGAGCAGCACACAGGTTCCCAAAGGGAAGCACGTGCCAGGGATCTGTGAGCAAGTCTGGTCGGACGAACGGGATTGTACGGATCACTACTGAGCTAGAACTGAGAAGAGCAAGTGCTGCCCGAGGCAAGAAGGGGAGAAGAGGAGGATGTGAGGTGCGCCGTCTAGCAAGCGTGTGCCGCTTCTATATCTTCACGGTCCAGGGGGGGACACTGCTGCTGGACGCTGACGGATCCAGCTATTATCAAAGCAGTTTTGCTGGATGTCAAGAACCTTAAACTGTTCAGATTCTTCCCAATTCTGATACTCTATTCTTAAGAAACAGGGCAAAATGTGAAATGTGTAGGATACTAGTTACAGTCTTGGTCATAACAGCAAAAATGTGGCAATAGCTCAACATGCCCAACAAATGAGGGGAAATTAGTAAATTCAGATAGGAGTATTTAAAACGATGCTTTTCAACAGTGTTGGTAACAAGGGGAAATCGTTTACATGTTAGGTTACAAAAAGAAGAAAATAAACTTTGGTAACAGAATATTAAAATATTAAAGGCAGGGCAGGGGATGTAGCTCAGTGGGGCCACCACCTTCCTCGCAAGCACAAGGTCCCAACTTGGATCCCCGGTACAAAAAACCAAAAAATTAAAGGCAGTAAATGAAAATCTCCATGGAAGTTAAGGATCCTAGAATTTTTTTTTTTTTAAGAATCCTAGAACTAAAAGTGATTTGCAACTTTTCTTTACGCTTCTCCCCAATTCCTAAATCTCACATATTGAATATCCATCATTTACGTAATAAAAATATAACGAAAGTATACATATTGAACAATGTGGCCAAAATACAAGAAAAAAACATGAGAAACACAAAGATTAGATGACAGAACAATTTAGTGTGAGAAACTAGCTTGCCATTGTCCTATAGGACAGACAGGTTAGACAGTAGCAGGACACAAAGGGTATCACCAGAAAAAACTGTAAACACCTTTGAAATGGGAAAAATGAGGCCAGGGTTTCTCATCTAGCACCCTTCTCTAGATTATCTAAGTCTTTCTTTACTTGGGAGCTATTTTTAAAAGTCTGTAAGATATAGAAAATCTGTAACAATGCAGTAATGCTCAATCACAGAAATGCCCGCCACTTTGGTGAAACTCAACTCACCGTTCCTTCTGTTTTTTTGGGTTTTGGTACCGGGGATCGAACTTGAGTCCTTACGCTTGCGAGGCAGGCGGCGGAACCACTGAGCTAAATCCCCAGCCCAACTGTTCCTTCTGTATAGTGATCAGTTTGGTATTTACTCATAAATTCATTTCCAAATTCGTAGCTGCCTTTACACACATAAATTCACACGTGTGCCTCCTCAGAATTCTCCTGAGCCAGCTGTAACATCTCACTGGTTCAGAACCCTTGCCATGTACATTTCAGTATTTGTAGAAGAGTCACTCTTTTACCTCTATATGTATATATTTTAAAAACTGCCATCCAGCTGTATGTGGTGGTGCATACCTGTAATTTCAGTACTCCAGGAGGCTGAGGCAGGAGGACGCCAAGTTCAAGCTCAGCCTGGGCAAAGCAGCAATTTAGCAAGATGCTATCTCAAAATAAAAATGGGCTAGCGCTATAGCTCAGTGCAAAGACACTGGGTTCAAAATCCCAGTATCAGCAAAATAATAGTAATATATACAACCCCTCCACAACACCTGTCTTAACAGCATGTATTTCATAACAAAGGATAATTATTTTCAAATTTTATATTCTGCAAGCACTGTATCTTCCCTGGAATTCATGGGAGAGTTATAAAAACAAATGAAATCTTAACGCCATGACGATACCTCAGTACATTGTAAGACAGGGAAGAAAGCTTACTGGTCTCTTCGTTTTATAACAACACTAGGAAATGAGAAGCAAGTGAGGATACAGCAGACTATCCTGAGAGCAAAAACACCAGTTAAACCTCTGAAAATTTCATTCGAGGGTAAATTTTTAAAATTTCAAAGTTTTTTATCCGAAGGAAGACCAACTTGCAGCATTCTTCTTCACATATGGAAAAGAGCAGCCACAACAAAACAAGGCAGGGGGATGACATCAAGGGGCAGGAACAGCGCAGCAACTGGAGAAAGGACCCCACAACTTCAAGGAAAGTGTCAGGGCTGGTTGTCAAAAACAGCCGATTAGAACAGGCAAAACTCTGTCAAAAATAGGAGTTTAAAACGTAGGAAATTTGGGCCCGGGATTTAGCTCAGTGGTTTCGCCGCCTGCTGTACAAGTACAAGGACCCGAGTTCGATCCCTGGTACCAAAACAGAACAAAACAAAACAAACAACAACAACAACAACAAAATATTGGAAATCTGCCAGGGCTGGTGACATGCACCTATAATTCCAGCACTCAGGAGGCTGAGGCAGGAGGACTGCCACAAGTTTGAGGCCAGCCTGGACTGCATAGACCCTGTCTCAAAAAAAAAGGTAGGAAATGGGATCAAATTTAAAATAAGACCTTGGCTGTCATCACATTTTATTTCCCATTAGTGCCTCTTTTGTGTCAAACTGTTTTAGATTTTTAAAAATAATCCTAAGATTCTCTCATATATAATGGATCAAAAAACCAAAGGTGTTTAGGATAATTATTCAGAACTACACCAAAATGGACACAGAAAGTAAAAAAAAGAACTAAACCTACGGTTGACCTTAAAATACCTATTAAAAGTCATTCCCTGGCCTGCTTGACACCTTGACCAATTCCGTTTCTGAAAAGAAAAGTGATTCTCTGACAAGGAAGCCGAATCACACCCAGCGAACATTCAAACCATCATCCTGTCTCTTTCCCCAGGAGAGACATGACGCATTGAGTGAGTGACAAGGACGGTTCGAGCTGATAAAAGAATAATGTTCCCCTGAGACTTTACCACAGGCGGCCACGGCCTGTTCAATATGAGAATCTAAAAATAGAACCCACCCCATCAAGAGCTTCAGCAAAATCATCTGATCATTTATAAAAACCGAAAAGGCATTTGAAAAAAATGCACTACCTCCTCCTGAGACAAAATTTTAACAAAGAGAAGGCAAAAATATTTCTGTAACAGGCTGGAAAGAGTCTAAAATAAGTGCTGGTATTAGGACTGTAACAAGTGCAGAAATGCCAGGGGGTGGAGCATCTGGGAGCAGAAACACAACAGCGACCCCCAAGTGGCATCATCGGGGAAACGGGGCCCAGTTAGAGACACACAGAGAAGCCGGCCTGGTAACAATGGACCAGTGTCACCCCTGAGTCATAAGAGCATAGCCGTCAACTAAAGTCAGACACACAGAAGCATTTAAAATATAACCAGTGAGCTGCCTTTCTGCAAACAAGGCCGGCCAGGAAATTATGCAACACACAGAGACGCTGGTCACCTCCACGAAGGGCTCTGGCACCACCCCCCACACCCAGTGCTGTCTCTCAGGCCCTGGGCCGCACCTGGGGACACCTGAGACCCCCTCCCAGGAAGAGCCAGGTCCTGTTCCCGGATGTTGCTGGCCAGAGGCACCGGCAACGTGGACAGGGCTCCTGGCCCACAGCCACCATGCAGGACTTTGGGACAGCAAAGGGCACATGGACAGGAAGTCGCTTTAAAATGGCAAAGCTCGACCTCCTGTGACTCGGGGACAGGGACGGCAGCAGGGGCTCGGGATTTGGCCCTGATGTTCAGACGTGCGGTCAGGGCGAGTCTCCGATCCACACAGATGCGGACTGGGTGGTGAGGGAAGAATGTATGCAGTTGGTCTTAAACTATTCCTGGGCACAACCAGGAACCGAATGATAAAAGCAAGCTGTGCCACGCAGTGCGCCCACAAGGTGGCCCAAGCAAGGCCCAGGGCTGGTGCTTGTCCTCACAGACCCAGGCACCCAGAGGCAAGGAGGCCCAGGAAAATCTGGAAGCAAACCACAGCTCTGGCCCTGGCCCTCGGGGCGCCCCCGGCCCCACTGACCTTCTTGGTGTAGCCCATGGCCTTCAGGACAGAGTGGTTCAAGGTCTCCAGGGAGCCCAAGACATCTTCATAGTCCCCCATGTGGTCCACAAAGTAATCTGGGGGAGGGGAAGCAAAGGCTGGGGTCGCAGGGATCCTGCCCCTCCCACCAATGCCGCTTGTGCCCACTTCCGGCCCCACCCCGCCCACCCTGTGCCCCATCATGGCCGCTGCATGGCCAGGCACCTACCACACAGCTCCTTGGTGTCCACGTGGCTGCAGAGAGAGGCGTCAGAGTGGTGGACCCATCACTGCGAGTCCCCTTACAGGAGAGGGGGCAGCAGGGCCTGCTGCCCACTGCCCCCCAGTTCTGTTGGAGTCTGCAGACCACACCAGGGGTAGATGGGGCCAGGAAGGGAGGGGCCTGGACAGCGGGGCCAGGACCGAGATGGGCCCTCGGGGATCTCAGCTGCCCACTGTGCCACCCCGGCCTCGGCAGGTCCCGCAGGTGGCAACCCTGGGATTCTGCCGGGACTGGCAAGGTGCAGAGCTCTCCGGCTGGTGTGAATCTCTGGCCCAGGCCACCAGGGACCTAGGTCCCTTGCAAACTGGCTCGGTGGCAGCTCCTACTCTAGGCCATGTCTAGTTTTCTCGGGACCCTCAAATTATCCAGTCTGCCCCAGGCCGCTCCCAGCTCTAGTCCTCATCCTGAGTGGGCCCCCATCCCTGAGGGCTGGAGCGAGGAGCGAGGGGCGAGGGGCGAGGGGCGAGGGGCGAGGGGCGAGGAGCTCGGCCACCTCTGGTATAAGGGGCCCCAAGGAAAGGGCAAGGTGGAGTCGGGCTTGGGTTACAGCTTGATTTAAAATGGGCCTGCGGGGGGCGGGGGGCGGGGGGGGGGCCTCAATGCCACAGCTAAGGCTGGGACCAGAGAAAGCACAAGGCCCCAAGTCAGGGTTGAGGTCTAAAGGGGAGGGAGCCAGCAGGACAGTCACTGCCAACCGGCACTGTGCAAAGCTGAGGGTGCCCCCTTGCCTGGCCACGCTGCCAGGACAGACACATCCGAAGTGCCGCCCTGTCCACTCCCTGTGTACCCGGCAGGGAGGCCAGACTGATGGGACTCTGGAGGAGCCAGCTGGGGTGCGGCTCAGGCCTCTTGCCTGAGGGGTCCTCTCCTCCGAAGGGACCAGAAGCGGAGGGCCCACCCTGCGCATCAGACCCACTTGGTGTTGTCGGAGTCGATGGTGTGGAAGAGGTCCTCCAGCTCCTTCTCATTGAGGACGCCATCTGCGAAGAAGAGCTGGAATTCCTCCAGGGACAGCTTCCCGTCATCTGCAGGGCACAGGGAAAGCAGCTGGTGTCTGCAGATAAGCACCCCCTACCCAGGCAGCTCTGATTTGATCGGCAGATAAGCTCCAGCTGGTGCAACCCCTGCGCAGCTGATCCCAGCCTCACGGACAAACCGTTTCGTTTCATTATCTCTTGCAGTACTGGGGACTGGACCCTGGGTCTTCACACTCAGCTACAGCCCCAACCCATTCTATTTTGGGACAGTCTTGCTAAATCACTAAGTTTAGTCACCCAGACTAGACTCAGACTTGGACCCTCCTGCCTCAGTCTCAAAGAGTACTGGGATTATACTTGCACACCACCACACCCAGGCTGTACCCCATTTTAGATCTCTCCTGCCTATCAGCTCATTCCCAAGTTAACCATTCCACTGACTCATTCATCCAGGTATTTCACGAACAGGTGACTCCCCAAGCCAACAGGTACTACCAGAGCTCACGGGCTGGCGCCTGCTGCAGACCAAACATCTGACAGGCATTCCACACGTGCAGAGTGCCTGCTCCCTGCCAGGGATGCTCGCCTTCACTCTGAGAGCCCCCAGGGCGCCCTGTTTAAAGCAGGCAGGCTTCAGTAACTGGCCCAACGTCACACCACGGGTAAGACGGACTCCAGCCCGCAAGCAAGGGACCACCGCATGCTACGCTCCAGAGGGGCTTTTGGGGAATCACCCCCACCCGGCCTGAGTCCTGCTCTGGGACAGGAGACCCCTCCGTGCTGGGCCCAGCGCTGTCTGGCACCAGGCAGCTCAAGGTCACAGGTGACGCAGGAGCCACCACCCTGAGCTCCTGACAGGCCAGCTCGAGGGTCTCCGCCTGCCCTCAGCGTCACACGCTCCCCTCCAGGGCTCCTTCCACACCACTGCTGGTCTGCACACACCCACGGCGTCACAGGTAGCACCGTCACTCCATTTCACCGAGGGGAAACAGAGTCACAGAGCAGGGAGGGGACAAACCAGTTCCCAAGGTTGCAGCGTGAACTCTGACCCTCCAGTCGCTGGGGCAGGACCTTGTGGCAAGGCCTCCATCTCCCAGCATGCAGTGGGCGCTGGCACACTCCCCTCCCTCCGTAGTGAGGCTCAGTCGGGGTGGTCTCACATGGGGGCTGGCAGCCAAGCCTGGGCTCAGCAGGGGTGTGCTGTGGCCGCTCCACCATGCCTGGCCCCGGCACAGCAAGGACTCCCGGCAGGCCCCAGGCCCCTCCACCTCCTCCTGTCTGCCCTGGCACCTGGGTCCCCTCTCAGGAGAACAGGCAGACAGAGGCCTGAGGCCCCAGAGCACAAAGCCCTCTCAGCTGACATTTACCCTGCACGCCAGCCACGGGGCTAATGGACCCCCCAGAGCTAATGAGGGATAAACATCTCTGTCCAGGCCTGAGTCCAATTATCGGAGCCAAGTGGGCGGCACCTCTGCCTCCGCCCAGATCCCAGGCAGGGCCTTTCCAGGTGTTTCTGCTAACGAGCCTGCGCAGCTGATTCGGTGACCTTTCAAATGCTGAGAGCCTGGCAGCCATGGCATCCCCCGGGGTGTGCTGGGTGGCCCCTGCCCCTCTGCCAGCTGCCATACCCCTTTCTGGGGTCCACACCGGCTGCCAGGCAAGGCCCTCGCTCTAGTTTCCTCTGGCCCAGTGCCTACCTCAGCCGAGCCCATCTGTCACGAGAGCCCATGACGGCCAGCCTGTTCCTTGTTCCTTTAATCTCCAAGGCCTCTGCCCTCCAAGACTCAGGCTGGGGTGGGCCGAGCCCGCTGGAGCCCTCCTGTGGGTGCTTCATGGGTGTGTCTGCAGCCGTGCCGGCACCTACATGCACACCTGTTCTCAAACCTACTCACACACTACTGTGACTGTCCACTCACTACCAACCCACACCATGTTTTTAATCTCGATGACCGCTCAGCATCTGCTGCCACTGCTGGCCACCGGAAGGTGACCACCTGCCTGCTGCTGGCCTGGCTTTGTCACCTGGGAGAAGCAGAGTGGCTATGCCAGGAGAAGGGCCACTCCCACCTTGGTGTGTACAGGTACTCCAGGAGGAGCCAGACTGCAGACAGCTGCACCCCTCCGAGGGCCCTCACCCCCCGCCTGGCACTTGGGAGCTCCTCTCTGCACATAGCCCAGACACAGGTGCTGACGCTAACAGTTACAGATCGGAAATGGAGGCCCCTAGCATGGCGACTTGCTTGAGAGCACAGCATAAGGGGCTTGGTTGGGGTGTGAACCCAGGCAGTGGGGCTCCAGGTGGACTCAGCACGGTCCCTGTGGGGGCCAGAGGAAGGGGCCTATCTCACCTCCCATAGGCCCAGGGCCCCCCAGATGCCTGCTGGTAGCAGCATGTCAGGCCCACATTAACCTTGGTGATGACCGCCCACAGACACGAGGAGGAGCAGGCCCAGCCTCCGTGGGGGCCGCGGGAATGAAATGGGGGTGCCCGCAGCTGCGCTCAGAGGGTGGGAGGCAGCCTGGCAGGGCTGGGGGCAGCCAGAGAGGTGCCACCCACACACCGCTGCAGAAGTCAGAGGCACAGGCGGCAGGGTGCAGAGGCGCTACAGTCAGCCAAGGAGATGACAGCTGACAGACACTGCAGCCACGCCCAGAATCAGTCACTCAGGGATGCGCCTCGAGACGGGACAATGCCAAATTCCTCATCCCAAAGATCCCGCCATTGTGCCACACTGACTCACTGCTGGTGGCCCTTCAGCCCAGGACCGGGAGGCGTGCCAGACACCCCAGGGACAGGGACAGGGTCAGGGAGGGGCCCCGCGCTGATTCCAGCATAGATGTGTACCTGCCCCCTCCCACCCAACAGGAACCCCTGGAGATGGGCAGGGCAGTCAGCTGAGCAGGTGCTAACACCCCAGTCTGAGGAACTGTGCTTTGGCTGAAGTCCTCAGGGATGCACTGAACCCAGTAATAACTGTGTTGAGCATGGTGTGACGCTCTTTCATCCCTCCCTTGTGAGGTGCAAACCAGCCTTTCTGGGGGTTGCAGTTCTCCCAAAGACCAAAGGACTAGAGGTGCCACGAATTCCGGGGCCACTGCCATATACGCTGCTCACTGCTTGGAGGACTGAGGGACAGGGGACACTGCGGGGTCTGTAAGGCAGCCTCAGCTGGCCAGGACAGGGCTGCAGCAGATCCCCCGCGGAGGCGTTGGCTAGGTCAGGAAGGGCCTCGAGTGAGGCTGGGCTTCCTAAGGGTGCCCTCTGGGTCCCAGCTTGTACCCCTAACCGGTCCATAACGGCGGAAGTACTCAGGTGATCGCTGCCAGCTCGCTCCTGACGTCCTCCAGGCAGTCCTGCTAAGCAGGGGCGGTTAAGATGGGGAACCTGAGGAACAGGGCCTTCTGTCTTCCGTCTTGTCCATGTCACCTTCCCCAACCCCTTGTCCCTGAAGCCTTAGGACAGACAGGGTGCAGTACCCACGCAGAGGAGTCCGAGAGGTAACTCACCGTTTTTGTCTGCACGTCGGAAAATCTGCAGAGAAAAAGCCAGGCCTGAGCAGGAGGGGCAGGCGCCCCCCAGCGGCTTCTGCCCGCACTGAGCCCCTCACCGCCTCCCCAGGAGCAGGTCGGGGCTGGGAAGGCTGCACTAGCTTCTGGAGACCCTAGTTGGGCCGTGGGGAGGGAGCCTGGGCGGGGCCCCAGCTGCTCCTCGGAAGCAGCCGCCCCCGCTCCCTCTGCACTGCTTGCCTACCCACGCCGTGGCAGACGCACGCTCGCTGCACTCACACACCCACACAACCCTGCAGAGCCCACAGGCTCCTGATGGTCACACTCGGGGGGCAGCGTCCCCTGGGATACACGGAGAACCCCTTTACCCTCAGGGGTCTCCAAGGGGCTGCCTCCATCTGAAAGAGGCCTCCCGGGGCTTGGCAAACCTCGGGTAAGGCAGGCCGAGGGCAACACTTCCCAGCCGGTGGCAGGAGCCTTGTGCCCAGGCTAAGCCAGTGGTCCCTCCCTTGGGGCTCCTGACACTTCCCTTGGGCCGCACCCAGGCTGAGCCCCAGCCAGGGCATCAGTGCAGTTAAAGCTCCCGTTACAGCAGATGTCCAAGCACGGGCTGAGGTGTCCGGCCACGGGCACGTACTTCTGGGAGTCCGTGGCACACGCAGCATGTCGGCCTACCCTGGACCCACTGAGTCAGGACCTACGTCTTAGCCTGATCTCCGGTGGCAGATTCACCCCCATCATGGGTCTGAAGAGGACCCCAGGGCCTAGGGTAGCCCAAGCTCAATAGAACCGGTTTATTACAGATGGGAGGCTCAGCGACTTGCCCAAGTTTCCCAGTGGTTCCTGGATACCCGGGAGGTGTCCCAGGACCAGGGAGCTCCGAAGGACCCCCTGCCCACCTCCCTGCCAGCCTGAGGCAAAGGCAGGTGCCCTCCTGCCCTGCACCCTCCACGCAAGGAATGGGCATCTGCCGCTTTTACAGGCCCTGGGCTGTCAGAGAAGCAAGGCTTGGGGAGGACGGGCCAGCAGCGTCTCCTCCTCTCGGCGGGCGCCCAAGTTGCCTCAACATCAGCCTAGGCACCCACATGGCTGCTCCTGACTGGGAAGGTTCTTGAGGCTGGGAATCCAGCCCAGGTGTCCCCTGGCCACAGCCCCACACCCCGCTTCACAGATGGGGAAACGGGGTTTCCAGGCCCGGGGAGTCTCAGCCAGAGGGAGGTGGCAAGAGAAGCTGGGCAGGCTGAGCTTCCGCTTCTGCCCAGGCCAGTGTCCTGGGAGGGCGCATCTCTGAGTCCTGCGGGGTGTGTGCGTGCCTGCGCGTGCCTAAGGCACTAGAGGCCCCTCCCCACGCCATCCAGCCCACCTATGGGTTCCTGATTGAGAAGGGAACAGAGAGAGGAGCCCCTCTCCTGCAGGCATGGGGGGGTACACAGAAACCCACAACCCAACACAGGCTGGGGGACCCCCAGGGTCCGGTCTGCGGCCGGACCCCAAGTTTCCTCCCCGGCTCAGCCTCTAGGAGTCTCCCATCCCCCAGCTGCCCCACCCCCACGTGGGAGAGGTGGGCTTCCCCGGGGTGGGCGGCTGGGGACAGGGTGGGGAGTTAGAGGGGGGAGGGAAGAGCCTGGGGTCCACGAACAGAAAGTGGGTGGTGGGGAAGGGAACGGCAGGTGGGCGGGGGCTTCACAGCCCAGCGCGGTCCTGGGGGAACTGGTGGGGAGAGGAGTCGGGAAGCCAAGAGGCGGGGCGGAGTGGCCACTTCCAAAGTGGGGTGCAGAGGGCCTCGGGATGGGAGCGGGGCTGGGGGCTGGGGAGGGGCTCGGCAAAGTCTCGCTAGGGCTGGAATCCGGATGGAGAAGAGGGGCTGGAGGCGGCTCCCGTCCCGCAAAGACCAGCGGGATCTCGATAGGACAAAAACGGGGGGCGGTGGCCGGGTGTGGGGGCTCAAGGTCCGGGCTCCGGGAGAGGAGACGGGGCGGGGAAGGGGGCGCCCGAGACCCGGGCGGAGGTCGCGCCGCACGGAGGGGCTGAGCCGGGGTTCCGGGCGCGGCGGCGCGGGCCGCGTACTCACGTCCAGGATGACGGCGGTGCCCCCGCGCAGCGCGGCGCGGCCGGGGCCGGGGTCCGAGGCGGGGGTCGGCGGTGCGGGCGGCGG